ATATACATCACCAGATCCCGTATCGTTGTAGGCTTCAGTGATCCTCGACGATAGTGACAGATATCCCGAGCAGAATTAAACAATCGCTCAACGCCCGCACCCGTTGCAGGGATAGATAGAACATCTCGTGCAACGCTTGCGAGCATCGGAAATTCGTGCTGATGGCCTTTCCAGAAGGAACATGGATCAATTGAAGTAGTGCCTAGATAATTCAGTTTAGCTACATTCACTTTAGAATCAAACCGGGTAAAGACTTACCACTCTCAAGATAATTCTCAACCTCGTTATTGTGGCGAGGTAGTGGCTTTCGGTTCGAACCGACCTGCGCGATGAGTGTTGCGAGCTGTGAACCCTGATCCAATGATGCCTGGCTATTTGAGAATGCTTGGTTATTGGACATTCGCTCGTGATAGGGTCGAACATAGTCTTTAAGACTTTGTCGATATCTCTCACGCGATGCGAACTTGTTCTCTGCCCATTCGTCACGCGAAAAGAACTGCAATTTGTGCTGTGGTGCAAGTAATGTACCAATCGCGTAAAGATCACCATGGGCTTTAGTCGTGCTACCATAATAAGCTGCAAGCTTTTCCTTTCCCGCCAGAATTGCAAAAAGCATTGATTGCTTCCAAGGGACTCTCTTTTGTTGAAGTTGGTGTATCGATTTTTCAAGATGCCCAAAAAGAGAGTGATAGATCTCGAAGACGATATGGATAGTCACCTCCTTGGTTTGGCAGAGAATAGTGGTAAATTGGAAAAAAGGTTGGGTCAAACACAGTAGGTAGTCGATTTGTCGCCATTCGTCCCGGTCTAACGTGAACTGCGCATACTGATTCTCAGAGCAGTATTTGTTAAACACTAGCTGTAGTCTCTTTGCGCGTCGAAGCATCAGGAAAGTAGAGTTCCAGCGGGTTTTGACATCTTGGATTGGCAAAAGCTTTGAGCCTTCAATCTGGAGACTTCGAAATGTATCACGACGCTGAGGGCTAGCGTTAATAAAAACCGCTAGGCCCCGAACCTGTAAAATTAGTTAGTGTTAACTTTTGCGAGAGGATTGGATTCTAACCTTGCTAAGGGTAGAAATTATACCCTTCCTTTGACTAGCACGGAGGGATTGGGACTGGTTTTCAGACCATTCTCTCTGTGTAGCCTCATTCACTGGTTCAAGCTTCATATAACCGAGAAGGCTCTTGAGACTCAGTTGAATAACATGAGCAATACATGGAACTCGGATAATCGGTGTTGTAGTGCTGATATTAAGCGACTCCAATTGCTCATGCACTCTTCCTACTAACGTTTGGTTATTTGAAGCGTTATCTGTTGTCACAGCCAACACTCGTTCAACCAATTGATATCGCTGAAGAACCTCAAAAAGAACGGTACCAAGATTAACGCCAGTGTGGGACCCATGAAGTGGTTCAAACCCGAGGAGAAGCTCACGGTATTTCCATTTATCATCAATAAAGTAGCCAGTGATAGCCATAAATGCTTGTTGAAAAGGAGAGGTCCAGCAGTCTAGTGCAATAGACATTTTGGCCTCGGCGGGTAGCTTCTTGAGTACACATTGGTGTCTTTCCTGAACTGTATCTCGAAGCCGGCACTGTATTGTTTTTGCCGAAGGGAACTCAAGAGGCAAAGGGGACGACTGGGCTCGCTGAAGTAACCTCTGGAATAATGGGTTTTCGATGATCAGGAAAGGGAGTCGTAGACCAGTAATAGCTGTGAGGATATCTTGCTGCCATAGTTCTTTTGTAAAAGACTCGCGTTTCTCGTGGGCTGGATAATCGCGCGCCTGTTCATAAACGATAGACATCAATATCGAGGCAATCTACCTTTTGCCTTCCAGTGTATTCCTTACCTGGCGGGCAAAAAGTTCTTGAAGAGAGCTATTTCCGGCAACCCGATTGCTAAGTCTCTGGCACTTCTCTCCTCTGAGATGCCTTGCCATTGGGGTAGTTCCATTCAACTTGCGGCTTGGATGATCAAGAAGCTGACCGCATTTTTGGCATACTATCTTTGGGTCCCCAGTCACAGTATGAGCTACCTGCTTAAAGCTATTCCATGCCTCTGAATGACTTCGGGATCGATCCCAGAAGCTCTTATTCCTTTCACGAAGCTCATTTCCGTGGATAGTTTGAAGCCACCAGAAAATAAAATCCTCTTTGCTCATTTCGGAGTAAACAATCCAGTCGTTTCCGAATCGCTCAAGGGAGGAGGAGATCAGAGGATGTAATAGTTCGGAGGCTGGTGTTGATTCAATGGTTTGCTGACTGGACTCTAGGTCAGACGGAAAGAGGTCTAGACCGTAGCTACCGTGGAAAGACGACGAGGCGAGGTCGGTGTCTTGAGACATGATCCAAGAGTATGGGATTTTTATGGTGGAAAAGAAAGAAAAGACTCCCTGAATCTCATAGATTTGGGTGATTTTGCCGGTTATGACCGTCTGTCTACCTAAAGAAATAAAATCTGATACATCGCGCATGAACGCTATGGCCTCCAACTTCTATGAATTGCGATTGGATATGGTGGTGGGAGACATGCATATTTAGCGTGGGCGGACTTTGGACTGTCCAGAGTCCGCCCAAATACCCGGAAAATTTGCTTGAAGGACATGCCCCCTTCTACATTATTATTTTATAAAGGACAGTTTGGGCATCTCATTAAGTCACGTGGTACTGCTATCTCATGCTTTCTAGTCTTTACTCTCCACAAATGATATTTTCAACCTCTTATTGATAGTAATGGTATATATAACTAATTTGATTAATGAATTAGATGTGTAGGCTGTTTTTCTTGGGTATTTGACTAGAACCTGCAATCACCCAATAATGGTAGGAACTAGGAATGAATTAAATATGAGGTGCACCCACGAGATATATATTTCTCTCACTAAAATAGCTTCAAGTCACAGAAGACTGTATACACACCAAATAGTCGCAAATAAGAGAGAAGATCATTGTTCCGTATAAAGTGAACCAAAATACTTGAGAATTTCAACAAATCTAAATGACCGAAGAACAACTGCTACTGCAAAAGGATTGTAGTGACTATGACTAGTGTAAATAACCGTTTTTTATTCTGCTGAATCATCAGGTTATGCGGCAGATTTATGCATTTTTGGGCGGTTTTGGACACTTTTGGACACTTTGGGTAGTCCATGGGCGGACACCTATCGCCCAGTCCAAAGTGGGTCCGATCCAAGTCCGCCCATGGGCGGACTTGGACGCCATGAGGATGTCCATGGACGGGTTTTGGCGAGGTCTAGGCAGGACGTTGATCCGGGTCACAAGTACATGAAACACCCTGCCGCAGCGTGCTCGCTTGACGGCACAGAGCTTGAAGGTCAAAATCGGCGTAAGTGAATATGTCGGGCTTCGGATTTGGGGACATTTCGATGGAAGAAATTCGGGAAGGCAAGGAAAATGGGGTCAAAAAGAATATAGGTCCGTTGCGTTTGCAGGTCGAAAGAGTCCCAGGGATGGATGGTCTAGTTCCGCTTCAAATGATCTACCCTTAAAAGCGGTGAGAGCCAGCTGATCATCTGGAAAGTGTCTCAAAGTTACAATTCCAGTACGCCCCGAAATTTGTGACCGACTCCCGACCCGCACGTCAGACGTCTTCATGGTGTTTTCCATTTGGGGCGTCATAGCAACATGTTTTTGCTTAGTAGCATACCGACCGATAAGATTGAGCGGATGGCAGGGAGGGGTAATATACTGGAAAGCGCAAGTTAGTGGCTTATCTTGCTCTTCGGGTCAGTTACAGGAAGCACAGTCAATGTTAGTGAAGGCTTGGTCTTATTTAAACAACGACATGGACACATCATTCGTCTTAACCAGGTTATCGAACTTCACAAAATGGATTCCGAGCTGATATTTCAACTGACTGCGTCGACAATAGCATCAATTTGCTGCGGAGCAAGTCTTGCTTTCTGGCTCCTGTCGATCAAGGCTATGAGCTTGCGAAGACTGAGCAAGGAACCACTCATCTCCAGCCAAGCTGTTATAGGTGGTCTCGTCTTCCTGGGATCAAGCGCTTCCATTCTGCTAGCGTTTTTGCAAGTAAACGCAAAGGACGGCAGGTTGCTCACTTCGCGGAACCCAATTTCCTCTCTAACCGTATATCAGATCAGTCTTGGCCAATACTACGGCAGGAAATCAGCAGTATACTTCTTTTGCTCATTTTAAATGAGGTGAGTACAGTGAAATAGAAGGAGAGCGACACTAACCTCTGCTAGTATCTATGTGTTTCTACTTTGCAACCCTGGATAACCCATATGATATCTGCCTTGCTATTTATGGGAACAATTACCATTCTGTCACTTTCTATTTACCTCTCGGTGCGCTTCAACTGGTCGCTCTGCCTTCTATGTGTGCTTTATTGACCAAAAAACGTAGAAGAACCGCAACACTTTATTTTCTTCATTTATGATCGTCGCTTTGGCTAGTCTCAGCTTCGTTCACGCCCAAATAATTAGGGCCTGGGTCATATGCATGAGGCCATTGAATATGCAAACAAGTACTTTCAAATTATTTTGGCAGTATCCGCGCCTCACGGCTGCCAGGCACCAACGAGCCTTGTGGGTGGCGTCCATTGGCTCAATAGGGTTGTTTCTTGTTTCATTAGGTTTGACTACTCTTGCCTGTATACAGACCAACCTGCAGACGCAAATTGTGACGGTACGTACCGTGACTAAACTGCCGTCGTACACTACTCACGCGCTACATAGCTCCAAATTGCCATAATAAGCCTAAGGAAGGCGGTCATTTCATTTTGCCTTTTCCGCGCGCCAGAAAACACCATAGATGTGTTACTTTCAAATGAGCATGTCCAACAATAAGAACAGAGTAAAATGCAACATGAGGGAATCAGGGAGTTGTGCAATGTAAATAAACTATGTGAAAGCACAGAGATGAAGCACTTCGCTACTAAGCCTGTAGCGTCAGCATGCAAGAAATGACGCATTACCCTTTGCTATTTTCCTCCCTTATTCATTTACCTAGCTAGCCAATAATATCTGGGTCGGATGAGTCGACCAGCATTTGGTGAACCAAGCGATTCCAGTCGCCATGTTCATCACGCGCACCGAACATGATTGTCACTGCGGAGCGCTTGGCTGCATCGCTCGCTCCTTCTCCTCGTCCACGGGACTTGTCCTGTTCCTTGTGCCGCTTCGCTGGCCTGGCCATGTCTATTCGTGTGCGCCCATCGGTCTGCGTGGAAGATTTTAGTAGTCACGGTAGAGCCTGCTGAAGAGCGTAGGCGACAGAAGGCCACACATCATATAAACTGGCTCTTCGTACTACTTCTCTTCTAGTCCAATCATTCTAGGTCCAGACCAGTCTTGAGATAGTCTAAAGGCGACAGGACGGCGATCAAGTCAGACTGCCACCCTTTCATTGGCTTATCAGCTTGCTGTGGGAGCGGGTCTCTGCAGCGGCTTTCATTGGACCTAGAAAGGCCCATGGAAAGACAGTGTGGTTGGTTCACTCCTACTCCTTTCTCCACCTTAGAGTAGCTACATCCAAGGGCATTGCCTTCGTACTTCACTATTTCGCTGGAACAACTGGAAACTATGTTGTATGACTGGGCTATTCAAACTATACGCAATAGTTTTTGGCGAGAAAGAAAAATTCCATAGGCTCGACCTTACCGATGGCCGCGGATCTGGGGAGTGGACTACCGCAGCACGGAGGCTCATCTGGTTGGAATACTTGTGTAGAACTGTGGACTTGGACCACCAACACTCAACTACATTGTTGAATTCAGTCCTCAGTTTATTTACGTTGTAGTTTGTGGTGCAAGAGAAATTGGTGCAAGAGAAAAACGAGGGAATGGTCTAAGTGTCGATTAGGATGGCATTTCCTACGTGGCAACCGCCAAAGATCGCCGCTGTTTCTTGAGCGTTGTGCTCCAGTACACCTGTATGGACCCTTTACTCCTCCCGGCGAATTTCTGTGCAAACTGTCTCGTCACCTCCGACCAAGCAAGATTCTGTCCTTCCCTGAGCTTCACCAATAAAGATACTTCTTCCTCGGACCATAGTAAACCTTTTCTCATACAAGGGGTATGTTGAGCATCAACTAGTTCGGTATTTCGGCTTGGCTGGTCACAGTCGTATGTGATGTCTGAATCTTGGTTTGCGATGCATCTTGGTACAGTGGCATCTGCGCTCAAAGGTGTAGAAATACAATGCGATAAAGCACCCTCAAACAACCAGGACAGGAATTCTAGCCGGTCTTCGACGGGAAGGGCCGAGAATTGAGCACGAACGGTAGGAAACGAAACGCTGCTGCGACGATGGGGCCCTTTATTGGACCGGGCGGCACCATTTTTTGAATATCTCTTCTCAGCGCTCGAACGTTTATTTATTTTGGACTGGCGACCAGGAACCGCCGTTCGCTTTGCGTTTTGTCGTCTGGATTGAACAGGTGGGTCTTGATTCGGAGAGTGATTGAAGTTGGGGTTGCGTTTAACAGCATATCGAGTCTGCTGGGAGGCTCAACTGAAGGTGAGAGAGGTAAACCAGACACCGTCTCGCGGGCTAGGACGGTCAAAGCCGTACTAGACTTCGCTGAGGCGTCACAAAGATTCAAAAGTCGCGCGCCATGAGGGCAGCCTAATAACTCGAACGGCACCTGGGCCACGATAGGCCTTGACGAGGCTCCAGGTTCGTTTTCAGGAAGTGGGACATTACACATGTACATACAAGGATATATATAGTTGCTGTATCCTGTATATCGCCAAACGCAGTTGAACCCTGGATTACGGTACAAGTGTGATGTTATTCATCCATATGAGGAGATCCAGCTATTTGTAGTTGCAGCAGCTCATCTCCCTGCTGCCTAGCGGAGCCTAACAAGCAGCCACTTCTATAGATCTATATACATCACGTGACCTGGGATCCAACTAACGCGAGGGGTCAGGGTAAATGATATCATCCATCCATCCATCCATCCACCCATACTGTAACAATGACTTTTTGTTTTTTCTTCATTCGGCCATCACGTTCCAAAATTGCCAATAAGCAACATGCGATCATTGATGGTGAATTCCAAAGCCTGAAAGGTATCACAGAGATATACCTAAATAAAGACGTCGTGTCTTTCCTCGAGGATGCGCATCTATCGCTCAAATCCAAAGATATATGCAACCCACGAGGGCCTTTTGCCAAATCCCTTATTCATTACGCCACAATGGGCGACTTTACGAGCTCCTTCTTTATCTACTACAATGGAAGCAGGGGGCAGCAAAGGAGGACCGCGACCAAAATAAGCGAGCACCTCTCTCATGGGCTGCAGAATATGGGGCATTGCGTGTTGTGAAAATTCTGCTGGAGAACGGGGCAAAAGTTAATTCTATGGATGACAAGTATTTAACACCATTTTTATGGCTGATACAGGCAGGTACGGGCACGAGCCGGACGGCCACAGAAGCCTATCTGAGAAAGAGTGGTGCGACAGAGAGAAGTGCTAAGCGGGCTTGGATTTTGAGAAAGCTCAGAATGTTCTAATCGATTTAAACATGATTGACGCTAATCCCCGAAAGCAATGTGCAGACTATAGAGCTGTATCTACTGTACTACAATTCTATCTATTTGTGTACATGAGGCTGCGATGGCGATGGTCGCGGAGTGATCCGTATAAACGACGACCGGCTGGTCGGCGGCCTCTATGAGATGGCGCACTTTCCGTATGGTCCAGGTAATGCAGCTGACCTCTAGCTCCGTCGCCCAGTAGTTTTCTCGGCGGCCGTTAGAAGGCGGCTGAGAATCATGATAGGTTCCGTCATTGCGGCTGGGGGAGGTTTCGCCAGATCCTTGTGATTGTAGGACCTTTTGACGTGGTAGATAGCCACACCGAAACCGGTATGTTGGGAAGCATCGATGTCGACGTACGCCTGTCGATCGTTGGCCCAGTGTACGAGGACTTTGGCCTCCGTTCGGAAGTTGTCCTGTAGGCACTTGAAGGCGTTGATCTCGGTGTCCGTAGGCGATGTGAGACGGGTTTTCTGAGCCCATTGTTGTCTTGTGCGGCCTGCTAACGGACCTCCTTTAAGCAGCAGCGTTTTTCGTTGTTGGAGAGGTTCAACCTTCTGGGCATAGTTCGGAATAACATGCCGTAGGTCGCCCGTCATACCGATGTACGTCTCCAGTTTCTTTAACGTGTCTGGGAATTGCAGGTCGAAGATCGCCTTCAGTTTCTCTTTCGGGGTGGATAGTCCAAGGGCGTCGACTCGCTGGCCAAGGAGCGCCACTTCGGGGAACCCGATGTACGCTTTATTTGGTTCCAGGCGAATACCATAGTCCTGAAGCCGTCGGAATAGTCGATGTAAGTGTGAGAGGTGGTCGTCGAACGTCGTGGAACAGACGACAATGGCGTCGAGATATGTGCGGCACCATTGAAAGAAATTCTTCAGTATCAAGTCCATCTCTCTCTGGACGTAGGCCACCGAATTGCAATATCCCATGATGGCCACCTTGAAATATTCCTGTCCCCTATGAGAGATCACGGCCAGGCGCTCCCGATGTTCTGGTTTGACGCGCCACTGATAGAAGAAGCTCTTCGCATCGAGCACGGAGATAAAACGGGCGCCTTGGCACATGCGGACAATCTCGTCCTGTGTCCGCATCGGGTAAATATCAAGCTGAGAAGCTTTGTTAAGTCCCCTGATGCCAACGACTGGTCTGGTCTTCTCAATCGTCATCCGGTCCGGCGCCGTCACCTTGTGATGGACGACGAAGACGGGAAACCCAATCGGGATATGCTTCGTTGTCCAGGCCATCTTGCCGTGTCGATGAAGTTTGTCAAACATGTCGTCGACGATTTTCCGATCGGCCGGTCCCAACGGGTATACACGGGGTTTCGGGATCAGCTTCTCCCAGCCGTCCACCAGCGGTATTTCCATCCATCGACCTTTAGGAATTTTTACCAAGCCTGTGTCATCGCCTGACCCCAGACGTCGTATACGTTGACGACGTCGGCCAGTTTATTAACCATGGATTTGCAGGCAAAAATCGTGATGCCATTTGGCAGGACGTTCTCGTGTTGGGCGTGCTTGAGGCCGTCGTAGTAGATCGGTTTCGTTGGAACGGATCTGCCTAATTCGGCTCCGTGCGGGGAGACGGCGTAAGCTGCCGTTTGTGGTTGTTGGTCGACTTCCGTCAAAGTGCCGATTGTACTGCCTTTGGGTACCTGTATTGACGTGTTGGTGTCATTGACGGCTAGCACCCATGACATGTTGGCGTCGACTATGTGTGAATAGAAGCTCGCGTGAGGGTGTTGGCCTTGGAAGATGTAGTCGCGATCGGCTGGTAGTGTCGCGGTTAGGGTTTGTACTGGGGTTGTCGAACGCGGGGGAAGGATTGTGTGCACTGCCGCCTTCACACTGCGACAGTCCTGATGATGGAGTCTACTGTGGACGTTGGCGGAGAAGGTGAACCCCATGCACGATGCAATTCGCACCGTCCGGGTATCCAGGTCTAGACGAAATCCTTCGTGGGCCATAACGTCCATTCCTAGGAGCAGTTTCGCTGCCAGGTTGTCGACTACATGTGCTTCGGCGTTCAGCCGGGCGACGTTGTGGTCGCCGAAGAAGAAAATTGGAAGATTGATATATGTAGAAGATATGTGATTTGAACCGATGCCGGCAACTGGTATATCTGCGGTTTTGTGAAACTGTAATTGTAAGGTGCTGGCCAAGGAGCTATCAATGATTGTCATGACGCAGCCTGAATCTAGGCAAATTGTGGATTTGTTATCTGGGGAGCCGAGGCCTACGGTTGCGGACAAATACCGCTATGTCTTGTAGACGTGGCCGGTGTTTGCTCTGTCGTGCTTTCAGTCTGATTCGATGATCGGTTTGTACTTGTCATCACTACTGTCCTCACCGACAGTGGTGGTCAACGCCTGCTAGATGCTATGGCCGGCGGCTCGGAGATGTACTTGTTGCGGGAGATGAATGATGTCTCGCAGTGCCAGCAGGATACGGAGATGTTGGAATTAGGCGCGGTTCCCCCCGCGAGCGCCGTGCTCGTGGAGGCCGCCCTCCGAAAAGGAGGCTCCGCAGAGTCTGGGTGACCAGGATCGTCGTATTCATTCGCACTGTCAGACCCTCTGTTGTCATCCTCGTCGTTGCCGTAGGACATGAATTCCTCCGGATCGTCTGGGGGATTCCCTAGGTACGCTGTTGTATAGCGCGGTCTGTCCTGACCCTTCCTGTCGTCCGGACGACGGTACCTGTCTCTCGTGTTGCGGTCCCTATCCGGTCCCTATCCTTATCCTGACGAGGATTACGGTCTCGGTAGTCGTCGCGCTTGTCGTCCCGCGGCCGCATGTTGTTATCTCGGTCGGTGTCGCGCTTGCGATCGTCACTCCGTCGTTCACCATATTCGGGTTTCCTGCGGTCGCGATCGAAGCGACGGGCTCGGTCCTTGTCGCTGGCTGCAGCCCTCGATTGCCGTAGTTCCCTGGTGCGGGTATTCATATTCTGCCGTTGTGGGAATCGTTTGTCCAGCTGGGAAATGAAGGAAGCAACCGTAGTGCCCTGACCCGGTTCGTCTATGTCACGCTGTAGGTAGGGCTCTAAACGGGTCCACACCATACGTAGTTGTTGGGTCGGATCAGTGATGTCTGCTGCCCGTGCCAATCGCAGCATAGACTGAGCCCATGCGGTGGCCGATCGGCCGTTCCGGACGTCGGACCACGTATAATACCCATCCATAAGCTGTTTGATCGCCTCTGTCGCTGGTGTCTTCCACCGTCTCTCGAGTGTGGGGAACCAGCCGAACTCATGTTCGACGGGGTACGTCCACAGACCGGCTCTTTCGAGGTCCGTCAGTTCGGAATTATACCATTCGTATGCCTCTCCCCTTGACAGGATTGTATGTTCGCCCGGACCATGCCTTCCCCTCTGAGTGGGATCTGGCTCTTAAGTTGGTTAAAGGCTGGCGTCGGGCGCGAAGAGGCCGATGTCTTCAGCCTTCTATGCAGTGTGCACTGGGAAAGCGCGTACTCCATCATATCCATTACGCCCCGGGACGCCGTCGCGGCCTGGGGGTCCGGATGGCCCGGCTGGTGCCTGGGCGGTGGCTGCTGAGACCATCGCGGCTAGCTGTTGCAGTTGAGCCTACGAGAATGCAGAAGCTGCAGGTGATGGTTGAGGAGGGTGTTGTACGTGCTGCTGCCGTACATGCTGTTGTACTTGCGGGTCTGTGTTGGTGGCAGCCGCTGGCGGCCATGGCCAATGTGGCAGAGGTGGAGCGGTTGCTTGTGGGATTGGTGCATATTGTATAGGTGGTTGAATTGCCGCCGTTGTCGTCGGTTGTAAGGGGGCGCCTGTCATGGCGGCCGTAATGTCGGCGAACTGTTGTGGAGAAACGTGCCGGCGGACAGCATCATACAACCTGCGGGTGTTCGGGGTGGAATGCGGTGGGCTATTCGTCCGAAACCTCGCTTGGTGTGTCCTGATGGATGCCAGTCATCGGTTGTACTGGCACGTCTTCCACCGTTGGCTGAAGGTGTTGGAAAGGTTGTTGCTATACCGGCAAGGTTGTTAACGGCTGCAGCGGTTGGGACTGGGCGACCCGGCCTGGGTAGGCCGTAGCTGTCTGAGGGATCTGTTGTAGCGACGTCATGCTGCAGTCGTCTTTATGAATACTGCAGCCTTCCTGGAAGGCTTGAGCAAGCTCGGCACTTCCGTCGACGTGCCGATCTGTGATGTCGGCGCGGTCTTCGTTTGTTTCAAGAGGTAGTTCGTTGCTTGGGGCTGGAGAAGGTGACGATGGCCCGGGGCCCGGGATTGTCGCGGTATTCGCCAAATGTGGCCGTTGGACGAGGCCCGAAGATGGAGTGATGATTCGTTCCCGGCCTTAGAATGATGGACGGTCGTTGTAAAGCCGGTGGTAAGGGCGTTAGCTGTACCGGTTCCCGGGCTGTTGACGTGGCCCAGGTAATTATGGGGTCCGTGACCTCGGGATCGGCTGATTGCTTAGCTCCAACGGTTGTGGAAGTGTAGCTGGCTGCTCCCGTAGCTGTTCGGGGAGCGTAGGTTCTGGGCTCTCGGGAAAGCCGTCTAAAAGGTTGCGTGGCAGCTTCCCTGCCTGACGGACGAAGTCTTTAACGGCCTTCTTGAGCGTACGCCTTGACTTGAGGCCCCAGTCAGGTGGGTAAAACAGCTCTGTGTTGGGGGCTCTTGGCAGGTGGGCTCGTGATATCGGCTAGTGAAGAAGCGGATTCAGGCCAACAGTAGGGGGTCGAAGATGTCTTGATGAAGGTTGGATTCGTTTAATCTGTAGTAGCGTAACTGGTACGCTGTTGAGATGAGTTTTCAGAGGGTCTTGTTCGTCGGCTCCAACGACTCCGATATGGGTGTCGTTGTACTTGTAAGGTTGACGTCGTCAGCGATCACGTGGTGGAGTTCCTGCCGGCTCCTTCAGGGAAGGGTCACGTGATCCTTCGTCTGCCGACTCCTTGAGGACTTGGCGCCTTCGTCAGTCAGGCAATCACTTGTCGCCGGTGAAAAGACGTTTTGCCGGACGACGACTCTGAGATGGCGGATCTGGTAGCTCCGTACAGGGATGTGACCGGGGGTGGCAGCCCCAGCGAAGCGCTCAGGCCGTCGCTCGTAGTTTATTGAAATAAAGAAAATTTCGCGGCGGGCAGTGTCACCCGCCGTTCTACTGGTCGACTGGCTCGGCCAGGACGTGCTACCAGCTGTAAGCGCTGAAAGCTAAGGGGAAGATAGGATGATGTAATATCTCTATCTGACGACGGCCGTCTATGTTGTTTTTGTGTTGGGGGGGGGGGGGGATCACATGACCCCAGTCACATGGTGACATTTCTCTCACTTAACCCATTGGCCAATATCTCTCACGAACTGGCGTGCGATACCTACCATAATCCCTTTGTCGATAAAGAATGATGGATCTTGGTCCTCGTGGATCAGTTTAAGATCTAAACCAGTGGCTAAAGCCACATTGCATGTTTGCCGAAATTAAGCTTTCAAGCTGTCGTCGGTGACATTTGCTTCATGCCACGCGCTGTAGTCTCTGATAGCCACGTCTCGTAGACCAGGAATATTGAGGTCATCTATGACTTGGCCATTTAGTGGCATAGGCATTATTGAGACCAGGGTTGGGCTGGACGCCTCTGATTGAGGGAAAGGTTGCATCCCATTGAGATTGATGTTCATAGGAAGACAGCTCCCTGTGGTGCCGACCATCCTATTATTCTTGGATTGTTGGCTGTCCAGTCTGTGCCGCTCTTCCATATATAATTATTTGCGAAAATTGTCCGGAACATCCTTATGAGATAGTAAGGTGGCGCCTTTCTCCACAAAGGCGATTAGACGCTTTAAATTATGGCTCCTCAACCATAGTGTTTTTTCCCCGTGTGGGTCTTGCCAGAAATGTGGGCAACGCATCAGGTAGTAAACACTCCGCCGAACTGATTCTTGCCCAGATGCGTTTTAAGCTTTCACCATTAATGAATTGATTGTGTTCCAGTCTTTCGATAGCTTTATATCACATACCTGGCCCACCAATTATTTCAAACTGCATCCGATTGGCACGTAAATGGATCCACTTTAACATCCCCACTCCTTATAGATACTATTTTATAAACAACCTTCAGGTACTGTCCTCCTGGCAACATTGGCCGTGTGGACAATTCAACGATTACCTAGTTCCGCAGTAATCGGGCGAAGTGGAGCATAACCTGGTGCTTGTGGAAAGCCTTGGCCATTTTCTCTCCCTCCAAAAACAGGAGGCTGGGGCTTTTCCGTTGCTGAAGTTTTGCGAAGGTGGGCGTCCTTGCCGGATGTCTTTAATGTTATCCCAATTACATACCAATACAGTCTTCAACGAACGCGTGAGTGGGAGGTGCAAAGAGCATGTGTTTTGATGAGCCAGATGATTCGCCGCCGTGACGGATTGAAGGTTGAACTCTGATGATGCATTCGGAAGGGATGGCTATGTAGATACAGTAGAACTCGAGATCAGCTTCTACGCCTTGATACATAAGATTCGCTTTTAACTATTTTGCATGAAACACGCCACCGCATAGGTTGAGTGAAGTCGTGGACAAGAACCAAGGTCTTATCACTTTCAGGGGACCTATCCTCCATCGCCAAAGTATCATGATCTGGGGATAAACAAGACCTTTCGAGGTGTAATGTCAGAACTAGACCTCGCCAAAGTCCAATTGACCCATCGATGGACATGTCCAAACCGGTCCATGGGCGGGTTTGGACACCTTTTTGGTGTCCAGTGGGCGGGCCGAGGGGCCCCCGTCCGCCCACCTGGACGTCCTGGACAGTCCAATGGGTCAAAAGTGGGGACATTGTAATGTGCATAGAGTTATGTAGAATTTGCTGTATTTAACGGTATCTAGTTTACGCCTGTAGATAAATTCTTGTAGCTGCCATTGTATTTGTGTGCGTATTCCTTTGTGTGCGTATTCCTTTGTGTGCGTATTCCTTTGTGTGTTCTAGATTGTGGAACTTGTTTCTTAATATACATCATATCCCCTTAAACGTTTAGAAGGTCTACATACTCTCCCTGATGAGCGCTTTAGGGAGTGATCCCTTGGTAAAGGATGCTCACCATCATCATCATCACCCGATTCTCTGGTAATTCCTAAAACCTCTTCTCCCTCGCTAGAAGAACCCTGTAAAAGATCCAACTGCTCCCGGCCAGAATTTAGCCCAGTAGCCACATGTGCATTGATTTCAACTTCCCTAGATTCAATCCGTGGATTCTCCTCGTCATCGCTGATAGGATCAAGGTTTTCTTGTGGATGCTGGACATCCTTCTCTTCATCCGCCGTTTCTCTCTCTTCCCTCGAGAAGGATTGCCTAAAGGTTTCTAGTTCTTCCTCCCCGAGGTCAAACTTAGTTGCACACATATACATCACCAGATCCCGTATCGTTGTAGGCTTCAGTGATCCTCGACGATAGTGACAGATATCCCGAGCAGAATTAAACAATCGCTCAACGCCCGCACCCGTTGCAGGGATAGATAGAACATCTCGTGCAACGCTTGCGAGCATCGGAAATTCGTGCTGATGGCCTTTCCAGAAGGAACATGGATCAATTGAAGTAGTGCCTAGATAATTCAGTTTAGCTACATTCACTTTAGAATCAAACCGGGTAAAGACTTACCACTCTCAAGATAATTCTCAACCTCGTTATTGTGGCGAGGTAGTGGCTTTCGGTTCGAACCGACCTGCGCGATGAGTGTTGCGAGCTGTGAACCCTGATCCAATGATGCCTGGCTATTTGAGAATGCTTGGTTATTGGACATTCGCTCGTGATAGGGTCGAACATAGTCTTTAAGACTTTGTCGATATCTCTCACGCGATGCGAACTTGTTCTCTGCCCATTCGTCACGCGAAAAGAACTGCAATTTGTGCTGTGGTGCAAGTAATGTACCAATCGCGTAAAGATCACCATGGGCTTTAGTCGTGCTACCATAATAAGCTGCAAGCTTTTCCTTTCCCGCCAGAATTGCAAAAAGCATTGATTGCTTCCAAGGGACTCTCTTTTGTTGAAGTTGGTGTATCGATTTTTCAAGATGCCCAAAAAGAGAGTGATAGATCTCGAAGACGATATGGATAGTCACCTCCTTGGTTTGGCAGAGAATAGTGGTAAATTGGAAAAAAGGTTGGGTCAAACACAGTAGGTAGTCGATTTGTCGCCATTCGTCCCGGTCTAACGTGAACTGCGCATACTGATTCTCAGAGCAGTATTTGTTAAACACTAGCTGTAGTCTCTTTGCGCGTCGAAGCATCAGGAAAGTAGAGTTCCAGCGGGTTTTGACATCTTGGATTGGCAAAAGCTTTGAGCCTTCAATCTGGAGACTTCGAAATGTATCACGACGCTGAGGGCTAGCGTTAATAAAAACCGCTAGGCCCCGAACCTGTAAAATTAGTTAGTGTTAACTTTTGCGAGAGGATTGGATTCTAACCTTGCTAAGGGTAGAAATTATACCCTTCCTTTGACTAGCACGGAGGGATTGGGACTGGTTTTCAGACCATTCTCTCTGTGTAGCCTCATTCACTGGTTCAAGCTTCATATAACCGAGAAGGCTCTTGAGACTCAGTTGAATAACATGAGCAATACATGGAACTCGGATAATCGGTGTTGTAGTGCTGATATTAAGCGACTCCAATTGCTCATGCACTCTTCCTACTAACGTTTGGTTATTTGAAGCGTTATCTGTTGTCACAGCCAACACTCGTTCAACCAATTGATATCGCTGAAGAACCTCAAAAAGAACGGTACCAAGATTAACGCCAGTGTGGGACCCATGAAGTGGTTCAAACCCGAGGAGAAGCTCACGGTATTTCCATTTATCATCAATAAAGTAGCCAGTGATAGCCATAAATGCTTGTTGAAAAGGAGAGGTCCAGCAGTCTAGTGCAATAGACATTTTGGCCTCGGCGGGTAGCTTCTTGAGTACACATTGGTGTCTTTCCTGAACTGTATCTCGAAGCCGGCACTGTATTGTTTTTGCCGAAGGGAACTCAAGAGGCAAAGGGGACGACTGGGCTCGCTGAAGTAACCTCTGGAATAATGGGTTTTCGATGATCAGGAAAGGGAGTCGTAGACCAGTAATAGCTGTGAGGATATCTTGCTGCCATAGTTCTTTTGTAAAAGACTCGCGTTTCTCGTGGGCTGGATAATCGCGCGCCTGTTCATAAACGATAGACATCAATATCGAGGCAATCTACCTTTTGCCTTCCAGTGTATTCCTTACCTGGCGGGCAAAAAGTTCTTGAAGAGAGCTATTTCCGGCAACCCGATTGCTAAGTCTCTGGCACTTCTCTCCTCTGAGATGCCTTGCCATTGGGGTAGTTCCATTCAACTTGCGGCTTGGATGATCAAGAAGCTGACCGCATTTTTGGCATACTATCTTTGGGTCCCCAGTCACAGTATGAGCTACCTGCTTAAAGCTATTCCATGCCTCTGAATGACTTCGGGATCGATCCCAGAAGCTCTTATTCCTTTCACGAAGCTCATTTCCGTGGATAGTTTGAAGCCACCAGAAAATAAAATCCTCTTTGCTCATTTCGGAGTAAACAATCCAGTCGTTTCCGAATCGCTCAAGGGAGGAGGAGATCAGAGGATGTAATAGTTCGGAGGCTGGTGTTGATTCAATGGTTTGCTGACTGGACTCTAGGTCAGACGGAAAGAGGTCTAGACCGTAGCTACCGTGGAAAGACGACGAGGCGAGGTCGGTGTCTTGAGACATGATCCAAGAGTATGGGATTTTTATGGTGGAAAAGAAAGAAAAGACTCCCTGAATCTCATAGATTTGGGTGATTTTGCCGGTTATGACCGTCTGTCTACCTAAAGAAATAAAATCTGATACATCGCGCATGAACGCTATGGCCTCCAACTTCTATGAATTGCGATTGGATATGGTGGTGGGAGACATGCATATTTAGCGTGGGCGGACTTTGGACTGTCCAGAGTCCGCCCAAATACCCGGAAAATTTGCTTGAAGGACATGCCCCCTTCTACATTATTATTTTATAAAGGACAGTTTGGGCATCTCATTAAGTCACGTGGTACTGCTATCTCATGCTTTCTAGTCTTTACTCTCCACAAATGATATTTTCAACCTCTTATTGATAGTAATGGTATATATAACTAATTTGATTAATGAATTAGATGTGTAGGCTGTTTTTCTTGGGTATTTGACTAGAACCTGCAATCACCCAATAATGGTAGGAACTAGGAATGAATTAAATATGAGGTGCACCCACGAGATATATATTTCTCTCACTAAAATAGCTTCAAGTCACAGAAGACTGTATACACACCAAATAGTCGCAAATAAGAGAGAAGATCATTGTTCCGTATAAAGTGAACCAAAATACTTGAGAATTTCAACAAATCTAAATGACCGAAGAACAACTGCTACTGCAAAAGGATTGTAGTGACTATGACTAGTGTAAATAACCGTTTTTTATTCTGCTGAATCATCAGGTTATGCGGCAGATTTATGCATTTTTGGGCGGTTTTGGACACTTTTGGACACTTTGGGTAGTCCATGGGCGGACACCTATCGCCCAGTCCAAAGTGGGTCCGATCCAAGTCCGCCCATGGGCGGACTTGGACGCCATGAGGATGTCCATGGACGGGTTTTGGCGAGGTCTAGTCAGAACACAAGGGTGGTATAAACCAAAAAGTGTTCTCTTCGTTTTCTACCTCTGACTTTGCTCTTCGAAAGGGGGCAGATGCGGGTCCAAGATCTCTTCGCAATGAGGGGAGGGTGGGTTAGAGGGATGGCCGACAGAAATCCTTTGATGATTTCGGGGTCCGCCACGCGCATCCATCCGGACCAACAGCAAACATCCATCGGTGACGGGTGATCGTTCTCCCACTGGGTCGCCTAGACGATCAGGCGACATTGGGGCTGAGGAAGGAGAGCTGTGTCAGAGACGCGCGGTCTAGCGCCAGATCATTGCCACCCCAAGGTGATTGACCGTCGACGAGTGCTACGGCTTCTCGGCCGCCTGAATAGGGACGGCTTCGTTGAATTACCCCGGCGCTCGGAAGGGTCACAGCTCAGGAAGCTCGTCGGGCAGTTCTCGAGCCAGTGCTGACGGAGGGCATCGGCAACCTCATACGCGTTCCGGTCTCCGCGCTTCAGACGTCCAATGATCCTGGACCGGTTGTGGCCAATCGGGTGGTAGTGATGTTCGTACGTACTCCGGGCGAAGGCGGGGAGGAGAAGACCCCCCCCCAAAGCCTCCGAGCTCGTTAATCAGGCTCATGTTGCGGCGCCCAGCCTTCGGCCACTTCAAGAGGTTGACGGCCAGCATCTGCTCCAACCCAGGAGAGACTAGGTTTGGATCTATATATCGTTCAAAAGCCGACAGACCGAGTCCAACATCGACCGCGTGGAAATGTCGGGATCGTGGTCGCCCGGGCCGACGATGGGCGTGGTTGCTACTTGGTGGAAGGAGTTGGGGTCGATGGCCCAGTTCCAAATGATCGCAAACGCTTCCGGACTGAGATCGTTGGGACTCCACTCCTCGCACAGCTGGTTATAAAGGCGGTTCTCGTTCCTGCAATAGCGATTCAGGGGTGGTCGTGAGGCGCCGGGGCGCATTTCGTTCCACAGACGACAGACTTCGTCCAACTTGGTCGTAAACTGTCCGCCCCGGTCAGCACTTCAGAGCCATGGCATCGGGGGAGCTCCCACCGCATAGCAGAGCAAGGATACGTACCTAGGCATCGTCCATCCACTCGTCAATATCGTCAAGGGGTTAGTTTTTGAGCCTGGCTGCCAGGTAACACATTCTCTCACAGACATCGACGGCGGACATGCTGATGTTTGGCAGGAGGGATAAGAAGTAGGTAAAGGAAGTAAAGGGTCGATGGCGGATGGTGGGTATAATTTATACCATGGCGGATGCGGTGGTCGCGTAAACGGTCATTCGAGGGACATGTCCAGATTGGGCGATGTTTTTGGACGATGCGCGCACGGGCGAGACGAGGGCGTCCACGAGAGGCCACCGTCAAGGGGAAGTGTCGAGGCCGATTGCGATCCGTAGAACAAGGGAATCTAGGGAGCGTTCGAGTTGCTCAAGTGAGTGCTACCGTGCGGGAGACAGGACGAGTTTGGGTGTCGGGAGGTTGGTGGGATGGATCCACACAGTGCTCCCTCGGTGTTATCATCTTATTGTTCTGTAGTTCTTTTTCAGATGTCAATCCATTCCCGCTTCCCATGGCGGGCGCTTGATTTTGATTCTTCAAATACATATCTAAGTATATGGATGAATAAATATATCAATTGATCGATCGATCGACTAATGATAACGGCCTCGGTGCGACAGGCACATCGTCAAATGTACTAGGTGTCTGCGTGGTACTGATCGCCATATCGAATGGCCGAAAGAGCTGGAGAGGCAGACGTGATATCTCCCCATGCTCTCGGTCAGCCCATTATTGTTTCAGTAGTCGATAATGTGAAAGAGTGCTATGTACTGGTTCGGGAAGATGAAATTGCCTTGTGTCGACCCCGTGTAGGCCTTTTGTTGGAGAGTGTTTATGAAGTTTTAATGAACCTCTGCCGAAGACCGCTGCTATCCGGTAGACTGGATCTTTGACTTAGCCAAAGCTCTCAAAATCATGCCAAACCATGTGTAGCCTATTCGGCCATTCGAGGACATAGTATATCTCCAGCTGTTGAGACAGAGCTGTGAAGCAAGAGGTTGATAAAGTTAGCGAATCGCATCCCATCTACACACCAAATGGTTGAGCTTCACGTTTCGGATGACAGGGAATTGTTACATAAGTGGGGAATAAATGCGTTGCCGTTACGAATATTTCAAAACTTTGGGGTTATGTTCACCTGGCTGGATATTGACTTATAACGTAGTTCCACAGCGAGAGACCCAGTCCAAACCACTCCTGGGAGGGAGCCCGGGGAGTTATCAAGGTCAATTAACAGAGGTGTTTTATTCAATCCATTACACTCGCTTGTCCAGGCTTCTAATTGACCACGTTTTCATAGCTTCTGAAGATGAATTTGAGTCTTAATTGGAGCGGAATGCTTCCCATCTATCTTTATTATGTTGAGCGAACAGAAGAGCAAAATCGCTGAAGGATGGCCGTAGGGCACTTGAAATCGGTTATTGGTGATACTGCGCTGGATGTAGACCACCGTGCTGTTCCAAACCTCCTGGGACAAATCATCTTTGTCGATCTTCGTAGCCGAGAGATATAAAGCTGAGCATATTGTCGAAAACTGTGTTGAATACAGGGTATTTTACCTGGAGTAACACGGGACCGCCAAATGGCAGATCCTATACAAATTATCGTTACTAACTTACTAAGCATGTCCGTGGAAATTCCCCCGAGAATTCCAATCCTGTCATTTTAGTTGGAGATTTCAATATATCTGATTTTGTCCATACATTGTCGTACTGCCAGATTTCGGTCACATATCTATAATATGAATATGGATGGATTTGAGTGATTTTGCCTTCTGGCGTGACAATCTGTACTGCTCTGTCACTGGTACCTAAACACCTAGTGTTTACCGCTTCCTCTAGCAATAAACAGACACCTCTTTGTGGTGCAGAAGCCAAGATCTGTCATTGGGAAAGGTAATTGTGTTGACATACTAGATTTAGTCTTCACTTTCTTTCGTTCCCTTACATTCAGAGGAAAGTCGATCTTTGTGCCGTACGACGCCTTCCGGCCAAATCGACAGATGCAAAGGCTTTCGAATTATATGATAAATACCAGCGCGGTTGCGCTATTGGAAAGTGACCATGAATTCCGAGCCAAGCTATATTTTGTCCCTCCAACCTTGAGGAACATCTGCCTCTCGCAAAAACCTGCAGAGGTCTTTTCAGAGTCTTTAAATCCAACGAGACTGATTTTGCGTGGCTTATAATTGTAAGTTGAACCTTTATAATAAGTGCTGCTATAAAAACACGATAAAAAATATGATATTAACGTGAAGAAGTGTACAGCCGGTCCCGAAACTGGTGCAACCACTCACACTCTTTAATTAATTCTATAGCCCCAACGCCAAGATACACTAGTCTATGATGGGAGTTCTTCCGGAGCACCCCCTGTGGTTTTAGGTGTATTGTTTCTTACATAGATTACATAGTACTTGCAGGGTCTATCCATCACCCTCCCTGCCCCACCGCCAAAGCAGCCTCCAGAGCTCGAAAAGGTATCTTAACTTTCAACCATCACGAGTGGTCGAACCAAGATGACGCCAAATTTGGTATTGGTAATCTGGAGTTTGCTCACTGTCATGTAGTTAGCAAGTTTCACGCAATAAAGGGTGAAAAATAAAGGCAACCCGCTCCGCTAGCGTTCCTGAGAGGTGAGGCGGCTATGCTGTGTAGAGATCTAATTTATATATATCTATTTATTTATTCTAGCAGATCTCCTGGCTCCTACGAATAGTTGAAATCAGGCATCGAAGTAATGGTTCTGAATATTCCCCATGTCTAATATACTGTAGCATGCGACCGAAAACCCCTTTTTTTCGATCCGAAATATAGTTTATCCGCATCCAAAAATAGTTCATTGGTGCAGGAAAACCCCTGGGCTCTTGGGCCTGTGACAGATATAAAGGCCGTCCTGCTCTTTTTTCTCTCTCAACACTTCGGTATACCTGCGTCCATTTTCGACTACCTCTATACTTATTTGATTTCTCTTGGCGATGTTTCCCAACGATGTGCCACAAGAGAGCTATTTGAAACCTTTCATTTTACGGCAGACACCCAACTCCGTAGGAGTATGGCCTTTCTTCTCGATCTACGTGGGCTCTAACCCTAAGCCTTTCAGTATGAGCCTGGACACGTGCAGTTCTATAACGTTCGAAAGACTACTGGGTCATTTTAACTTTTCTTGACGCTAATTAATATTAGATGGCTTTATTCTTCGCTTATACCCGGATCGATTCGTCACGGTCGCAACACATACGATCCGACAGCCAATGTTCTATACAGTAGCGTAAACGCTGGCTTCAGTTATGAAGATGGCCTTGTCGTTGGTTTTGACAGAATGTATCTTGACAAGTTAAGATTAGGCGACACTACACAAGGAGACCAGCTGGTATTTAGAGCTTCATCTATTGCGGGTCAAAGTGGTATAGCCCGGAGCATTCTTATGGAAGGTATATTTGCATTGAAGCCACGCTATGATGCAGATTGTAAGTGCGCACTTTTTTTTTAGAAATGCCTTTCATTTTCAATGTGCCGCAAAGGGTGGCTAATGATTGGGGTGTATAGCAAACTGTCATACCGTTTGGGCGAAACTAGCAACCGATCTGCCCGAGCCTGTTTTCGTGGCCAATTTGAGGTTCAACGATAGAGGCAGATACGTTTTCGGCAAAATCCCTTACGAAAAAAAGGACGTAAAGTTTTGGGATGGTGATATTGAGGAGAAAGACTTTTGGAAACTTCCAGTTACATCATATGCAATCGGCGGAATCGAGAACGGCAGAAAAGCAGCAGCAAAAAAGACAGATTTCAAGGCCATAGTCGACACTGGTGCCAGTTCCCTTCATCTTCCATCTGAAATTGTACAGAATTACTATGCCAAAGTACCAGGTCATATTCAACAAAGTGGACAGCACCTTGTTCCATCCGGCCAGGCGCTGCCGGATCTCGTCCTCTACATTGGTGAAGAATCCTATCCAGTTAGAATTCTAGGGAAATTCCTCCAACCTCAAGGACCTCTCAACGAGCTTTGTGAGTTAACTGTATCTAAGCCCTTAATGAGACAAATACTAATATCCCCTTCCATTAGTCTGTCTGGGTAGGCTCGAGGAGAGTACGAATCCTCATGTCCATATCTTAGGCCACCCATTCTTTTTTGCTCAAAATGTCATTTTCAAAGGTATTGACGTCCTTTCTGTGGGCCTGGTGAAGAAAGGTGCCGAGGAATGTTGTTAAGGGGCTCTGCTATTTGGAAAATACAGCAGGTAGCTAGCTCCAGCAGGTGAATTGATCTTCCGCAATTTTTCTTGGACACCTAGATGACAAGAATACATTTCATGAAGAGGCATGAAGTAAATTGAGTTGGGACTGTAGGGGCGTTATTCTACAGAGACCCACACCCGTTATATATGTATACTATTTATACAGAGTATCCATATCAGTTATATAGATCTCGTCGTCCCTGAGATACCTGGGGTGGTGGATGCAGGTGGAGCCCGTAAGTTGACAATACAAAGTCCATTTTCGATACTATACAGAGATGACAGTATGCTAGCGTGGGCTATTCTTTATTCGTTCTATCTAAATCAAATGACTATACTATCACAAGAACTGACTTCTCCCCGTCCCTTCACCCAAAGGCCGATGTCGTGTATGAACCGCCGAGCAGCACCTACTTTCACGCCATGCTTGACGAAGAAACCTGGGTCTTGATCCTCATAAATTTGCGAGAGATTGGGGCAATTATCGAGAGTCACACCCCAGACGGTCACTTAGAGATGGGAGTGGTAGAGGGTAGTGACAGCTCATCAGACTGTTTAGGCACTTTCCAAGTCTGGTATTTGCTTTGTTGTATTGCTATGGAAAATTCCAGTTTCCTTGGATCGCTAATACAATCACGAGACTAGACCTCGCCATATTGCTTATTCGGGTACCCGTGGGTTTTACCCACGACCCGCCAAGAACGCAAGGGCCCGTATATTACGGAATTACACACGTAATACAAGCAATAACACATATAAAGCCCTGTAACATGGTATATATTACTGTTATTCAATTTTCTTGGTGGGTTTTGGGTCAAGGGTTGAAACCCAACCCACGACTTTGGCGAGGTCTACACGAGACATAACGTCGTATTTCATTAGAGTAAGGTCAAAGAGTTTTGATGTTCCGGAGCTATTTCTAATAGGCGAGGAGTGGTCTTGGCATAGGGGCTAGAAAATCAGTCGAAGAGTGGAGGTGGTCGCACCAGTTTCGAGACATACTGTACCTCAGAATATCATAGATACGATAACTTTCTGTCTCTGTTACTTGATCGACACAATGAACGGCAAATTTGACTCCCTTTGTCATGTTGTCCTTATTCATGGGAAATGACGAGGCGAAAAAGAAAGCCTTACCACTACTGTTCCAGGTCGCTGAAATAAACAGCGCTGATACCTTTGGAATCGGCCCTGGAATGAGAGAGGTTGAAGCAGATGTGTTAAGCAAGCTGTATAACCTGTCTCCTGAGAAATGGGAAGGTTCTACCCCCCGAGATAACTTTGAGTCCCGGCAGGATTCTAAGGCATGGGAAGTTTATCAAATCATTGTTGGCGGGCTAGTATCAGAGGACAAGTATTTGCAGATCCGACTATTGATGTGATCCCCTACAACGTGCAAGACAGCAGTATCTGGTGGGAAAAGCTGGAACCATGTGAAAGTCATCACAAAGATGCTATATTATCTGTACCGGAAGATTGGTTCGTTGTTTTCAGAGATCTGAGACAGCCTACTTGAGTGTCGGATCGTTCTTTGCGGCATTATCGTGTGCTGAATTCACCGCCTGGGTGATTTTTCACGGCGGGAAGTGGGTGCTTATATGTGTTTGTCTTGAGAATGTGATTCAGAGCTATCATACGAGTGGCGGTGGCATCCTGAATTCTCTACTTGATGTTCCAATATATGAAGTAATCGGTAAACAAGTCAGTCCACAGGCGACCCAACCCACACCCGTAGATGATGGATGCTTTGTAAAGATGGCCGAGGTCTTTGCCGTGTGCGAAATATCTTCTGATCCGGGTGACCTGAGGTAGTTCCTGGTATCCACCAAGACTCCACCGCAGCATGATGATAAGCAACGGGGAAACTCCCAAACAAAACCTAACGTTTGGTTGGGCCTTATCTATCAATATACCTAGATGGACCCTACCAAAACACGAAGAGAGTAAAGCAACTGCGCGAGGCAGAAGAGAGAAGCCGAGACTTTGCCAATTCAAAAGATTGCTAGATTCGTTCTGTTTGCTTCGTTTGCAGAGAACCCTTTGTTCCAGGCTTCTAATTTCAGCCTCTTGTATCTTTGTGACCGGCATCATGCAAGGAAATTGGTGTACCGGGTAGGCACAAAAACGTGTTACATTAGGGTTTGAAAGAGCATCTTTATGTTCCCGGATGGAAGGCGATGCTGGGGGCTACTGTCAGCCTAACAGTGGAAACGGCACTGGGCTACGAAAGGCCTCGACGAGGCTCTACGTTCGTTTTCAGGCAGTCATACGCCCTATACATAAGAGGCAGCCTGTATATCGCTCAGCGAGTTGAAATACCGAGGTACAAGTGCAATAATGAAACAGGGTAGATACCGCTATTTGTAGTCAAGATTGTTGCTGGGCATCCTGTTTACTCCTATAGCTAACCCGTAATCTGGGATCTAGCTTAGCGATGTGTCGGGTTATTCCTATATAGAGTGAAAGATAAATATGTAATGCCTCGTCGAAAAGAAAGAAGATCGCTGGTGTTCAGGTCAAAGGACGCTGGGCAATTATCATTATGGTAGGAGGAACACGCCCCTTCCAGGTCGACAAAGAGGAGGCGATGAAAACTTCGCAAAAGAATGAAAGTATATCAAGAGAGGGCCGATGGAATAGAGGGTTAAAGCTAACAGATGTCCAAAGATAATATGAGAAAAAAAGGATATTTCCATCCAACATTTTTATGCTATCTTCAAGCAGACGGCTGATCAACGATCCAATGAGTATCATGTTCTTAGAGATGTGTCGAGTTGTTCGTATAAGACATAACAGTCATACGAAGGGAGATGGTTTGCCTCTCCATCAAGCTGTTCAGATCCTCAAGTGGAACGAGCAATGATTGTGGCACTGGTAAGATCGACGACAGAGTGGACTCGTATTCTACTCCATGAGCCATTTAATACCTGCTCGCGATTTCCCGCTAAAAGCAAAGCCCCCCGACATACGACACACGAGATGACCGACGGAGACGGAAATGGGAATAACCGATGGGGCTAACGCTTTCGGTCGCTACCCCATAATCCGAATGTGACTATGAATATGCGTATTACATCGGCAACATGACTTGGTGAAACGAGGGATGTGAAAGTGCCGAGAATTTGCACACTGAAGATCGATAGATCGAATTAGGTTCGCAGGAAGCGTGAAATCTGAAGAAGGCTTGCGCACTAAAATAACCAAGAAACAGTAACTCCCAGTATTTCCACAAGCCTAGAAATCTTCCCCACCAAGACGCGCAGCCAACGCCATAACGGAACGCGCAACGGGGCCAGCTACCACCCAACCACACTCTCAAAATTCCTACTCCTAGTCAGAGGATGACGTCTCAGTTCGTGAGGAGAGAGGATTGCCATAGAGGTGATCTCGGGATTCTGCTATTGGGGCTAATTCGTTTGCGAGTTGAGTGGATGTGAACCCTAGCGTCTGGTCATATGTCATCCAGCGTTTTGGCTAGTATAAGACGGTAAGATAATGTACTCTTGAAGACGAAGGAGAGAAAACATACCGTTGCGATTTGTACTCCAAGCCAAAGGACTCGATGTGTTCTAGTCATAAAGGCCGAAGGTTCTTCGCTTGATAGTCTGTCGTCCTCTGTAGGAGCTCCGTCGAAGAAGTTTTCGGGGTAGTAAAGCCGACTCCAAGCCTGTCCTCTAATCAAAAAGTCTTCCGGTAGCCGTTGGAAAGTCGCGTCCTCAAGATGCGGGAATGATTCATCCTCGATTTTTGATATGATCGTGTCGCGGCTGAACTGCTTGTTCAGGTACGTTGCAAGTAGCGACCACGGAACCAGAGGCTCCAGTCGTTTTATAGCGGCCCGATTCAACGTAAGACACCAGATAAATGCCATTGAGATGTGCACACTCGCAGACACATTTGAGTCTCCAGTTTGTCCGAGCATAGTAATCAATGTGTGAAAGGCGAGAGAACTTGCCCGAAACGTAACCTGAGACGAGATATCGGTGTATTCGCTAGCATCGACGGCGTTTGCACTAGATGCCCACAAGCGATCTTCTGCCGTGAGGTTCGTCTTGAAGTCCCTTTTCATAACTCCATCTTCGTTTCCATATTGAAATATCGCAGAGATATTACAAGATGTGATCTGGACGCCTTGCTGCCCTTCTAATCCATTCTTGCGTAAGGTAGCAAGAAATTCAATCGTCCGAGAAACGAATTCCTCAACCGGAGCCTGCATGAAAAGCGCACCATGAGTAGCCACGAACGAAGTGGTCATACTTCGTTCCTGAGCTGACATGTTCATAAGAGGGGTGACTAGCCGAGTCATGCCATCGAGAGCACCTGGGAATGGGTCCACGCATATCAATGCTTTCGTGTAGTGGAAGAATTCCTGAAGGTGGTCTGGCTGAGCTAAAACAGCAAGATGATGCTGGATGCGGCCATTATCTGAGCTTTGATCTGCGGCCCGATTGTACCAAGACCTCGATATCACTGCCCAGAATTCGCGGGCCTTCTTGTCGGATATATCCACGACCCTTCCGTAACGTGCCAGGTCACCTAGGCACTCGGTCCACGTCTCTGTGAAAACTGGTACGCTTTCCAGTAGCGATGTTATCATCGTGTACGAGAGATTGATGAACCAGAGCATATACTCCTCCGAACCGGGGAGTTTCTTACGTAACAGCTCTAGGAATGAATGGATTCCATAACGCCACATACGCGCTGGTATTTTATACTTATCGGCTAAATATTTGCAAGTAGGATTAGCTGACGGGTGTTGAGAGAAAAGGAGGAAGTCACGATGCTCGTCGAGTAGCGTTGCGTGATTCGAAATGTGTACCAGCCACTGATCGTGTGATAGGTCAACTTTTGATTCAGCATGCTGCCTGGTTGTTTGAATGCACTGCTTTTCCACCTTGACAAGGTTGTCATAGGATTTGTTCACTTCCTCGATCAGTTGATTCTCAGTGACTGGAGAGCCCACTAGTTGTTTGATCATTTCCCCCGAGTATGCACGGTTTTGATCTGCTGGTTTCCCGTTTCCCATCTCACCAGGAGGGGACGGATTGGCGGAGGTACTGTTGGGATCCGGTAGGCTATTTTGGGTCGCGCTATCCATTTCAATAAATTGCTCTGGAAAGGAAGGTGTAAGTATCTATGTGAATAAACTTGACTGCATCGTAACTAACAATCGAAGTTGAGATCTTTGAGTACAAAGAAAAGCTAGAGTGCCAATCAGGATTCAGCCTCACACGTTGTCATCTAAAGAGGTGGTCAAAGTTATGAAGTGTAGAAGATGATATGATCAGTTTATAGCGGGATTTTATTGTGGGCGAAAAATAAAAGTCTAAAGCACCCTAGACACCCTGGTGTTAAGACTAGTGCTCCTTTGGATTGGGTGTGCACGTGCCAGAAGAAATATAGAAGCCACGCTCACAGAGCCCCATGCCTACTTGAAGATCCCATCAGAAAAGTGACACATCATGCACCTCCAAAGGTGAAGGTTCCCGACCCGCCATGCGGCTGATCCCCATTGGCTAAGCCATACGGATTACTGATTATAGGGCAATCTCAAGAAACCCATTTCGTTAATGCTCTGAGTTGCCACGCAGAGCGAATAGAGTGGCCACAATGCAGTGGAGAAAAAGGGGGTGGAGTGAAATGGCAAGGATGAGGTGTGATATCGTGACCACGCTGCAGCGGCATGCAAATGCCTGTTTTCCGAACCCTGCGCAGTGCTTAGGAAAGCGCTGCTTCGATCATCTTCTAAATTGCGTTCTCCGCCACCCCCTTTTTTGGTTCCCATCAGGCTTCTTGTTTACGGGATTCATATAGGAATGGGTTGATTCCAAATCAGCCTCTGTTTCCCATCACGGCGTTTCGCTTCAATTTCTTGTTTCATTCAGTTAGAAGCAACGCCTAATACATACGCAGCTAGTTAGACTGAAACAGGCTAACGGAACTTTGATTGATTGATTTGAGTTATTGATGTTATTAGCAAAGCCTCGTCGCACGGCTGATACCCTAGACTCGAGGTGGGCTCATCAGCGCTGTTCTTGGTAGCTATCTCTAAAGAATGTTGAGTAGTATATGGTGGACTATAATAAGCTAGCTTCCTGTGGTAGATAGAGAAACTATCCTTCTTTTCTCTCTCTCCCAGTAGCCAGATCAATAAGCACACTGTCGGTCTCAGCGGATGGTAATGAAGAGGCTTCAAAATCAACAGGATTAAATATGGTGACCGGGTTTTGAAAAGGGATCGCTCTCTGAAATACTCAACTGTGCCAATGGGGACCTATTGCTGGCAAGCTAAATCCAAGTCACCCAACCCCTGGGGCATCTAAGGTCAAGAGGTAGTTGAAAATGTGATAACTCGCAGGATGGATAAACCATTCGAGCAAGACATGTGTTTCATAGCGTTATGAACGATTAACATACTCTCTGTTCCAAATTTCAAAATATTAGTCCCGCCTTCATGTGAGCATGTGGAGATTAAGGGCTTATGGGAACAATGCAGTTGTTGTTGGAACAGGAAACCTGTTTCCTGGATCTCATATTGCCGTCTCGGGCAGAGCATATTTCTATGTAACCATGTAGAATTCTAATGATATCATACGTCTCTCCCATTAATTTTCCACAGACTTAGCAACTACAAGCCCTTAACGAATGTGCGATTAAGGACAGAGGCTCCTTGTAATATTAGTGCGTTGAGGCATCTCAAGGATTGCCGAGTTAAGGCCTTTATCATTTATCCCGAAAGTGTTTGTTTGACGAGTCTCTTTGATCGTAGGAGCGCGCTTCCAAATGGAAATGGTAATGTCTCCGTACAAAACCGCCTTAATGCTTGGTCTTGGTTATTTTCCGTACCACTGACCGTGAGAAACTTGGCCGACCCTTACACCTGACAGTGTTACTTTTGACATCTTTTCCAAGATAAACTTCCAGCATCGCCGGATGGAGCCAACACAAGATACGATGGTGACAATGTTGAACTCAATACTGTGATGTGATGAGGGATGAACTTTACGCCGGGACTTGGACGGGGCCACTTACATTGTCAATACGGTGTATGCGGTCATTCGGCCTGGAAGGATGAGTGTTAGGGTTAACCTAGGCGGAACGCAGAGTTAGGGGCCTTACTCGTGTAATTTTCTTCAGCAATCACGGAGAGTGTCGTGCATCTGATGGCCGTTATAGGAGCACCTCTAACTTTAGTTAGCAATTGCTGATCTACCTTCACAGAGGAAAACCCACATGATAGGCAGACCTAGGATAAAACAGACAGTCAAACGCTTTCTAATGCTGAGTTTGAGCTGCCACACTCGATAGACTGGGTAGATAGTAAAACAAATGTAGAAAAGGGCAGCAACTACTGTAAAGTGTTAGCTGAGACTTGGCACATGAGCCTGTTAGTTTAGGCCCTCTTACCTCCATCCACATAGGCCATGTTTCTAACAAGAGTAGGACTGTGACAGATTTTCCCACTTTTCTGGATGTCTTTAAACGTGTTCAGCGTGCTTAAAAAGACAATCACCCAAGCCAATGGTACTGCGGATATGAACGCAAGGGGCCAACACAATGGCAATGGGGGTGCTATAGCAGGGGGCTTTTCCGAGCGCAGTGAAAATGTGGGTATTGCAATCACTTGGTTGATCATCACGAAGTTTAAAACCCTTGAGACCGTAGTAAGGAAAACGCTGAGTACCACATCTAGAGCGATCCAAATAGTGACCTTCTCGAGTGGTCCAGAGCTAAAGAGCGTGATGTGCTTGCCATAACCATAATGAACTGCCATCGAGGTAACAATGCAATATATGGCCCCCGTAAGCTAGATGTTGTGTTAGGTGCTAAAACTTTTGCAACAGAGACAGGGAGAATCTCAGGAAAAAGGACTAATTTACCATTGTTCCTACAGCCAAATAATACGGCTTTCCAGAGCGTACCTCGTATATCCTGATCATTGCGAGAAGAGTAGCAATGGGAGTCAATATCCAAAGCACCCTCAGTACGAAAGGGCCATGATTGTCATCTTGGTCCCAAAGCCTTGTCGACATTGTTTTTATGGTGATCGAAATAGTGCAAAAGAGAATGATATTGAAGTGTAGCAGAGATGCTCCAACAAAATATACTGCGGATGATTTAAGCACGTACCTCTACAGCAGTTGAACTTGCTTTGAATAGCTGTCGCTCCACGCGGCAACTCTAGATTGTAAATCCGTTTAATAATGTCTGCAATGGGGTATCTCGCAGAAATCTACCTCGCCCGACTTCCACAAAAGCACCTGAAATGAGTTAGGCAGGGTACCCTCCCCATGTCGTAGAATATAATACAGAACGGTGGCAATCTCTATAGTAAAGACTAAGTAGCCCTTACATTTTTTTTTCCAAAATTACGGACCCTCACAAGCGAGAGTCTGCCCACCCATATGGAAGGGATCACCCGTTTACTAGGCAGACCATAGTTACAAACGTGAATGCAGGATTCTAGTACTACGATATAGTCTAAATTGCTAATATAGCCTAGGATGTATATTACATCCCTATTTTTACAAATATAAGATACAAGCCTTGACTTCATGATGAAGCTGCAGAGATGGTCTAAAACTATCGCATTGCATTAGGATTAGTTAATGTTGTATTGATATCTGCCAGCATAATTTGACGGTAAGATAGTAATTGCATGAATTCATTAGTCGCGTAAGCGAGGCATATCATCACAAGATTGATGGCGAGTCAATGTCTGGATGCTGTCTTTGCATTGGAGCGAGAGCGGGCATGGTTCTTGTGGAGATCAGGGGAGGCCTAGAACAAATTATTCGTTCAGCCAACGAGTGAAACAACTGGACGGTAAACAGTAAGCCCTCAGGTCTTGGCATTGCACCTAGGTGCAATGCCAAGACCTGAGGGCTTACTGAGGGCTTACTGTTCTCGAGGTTTACGTTTGCTTGTCCTCTACAATACTCTCATCCAAGATGCATCAACTTGAAGATATATTGAACGCGGCTTCATTTCTGTCGGCAAATTTATCATCTATAGATGCCCAACAATTGTCCGAGGATCACCGCAAAGAATTACAGCTTGCGTTAGATGGATTAAAGAGAACGCTGCAGCCACGGATCAGCTACGATTTATCCTCGCAAAAGATAGCCACTTATAGGAGTGGAAACTGCCTGCAAGCTTCAGGGATCGTGCCTTCGGCGCTCTCCCAACTTCAACAGCTAGAGACATCAATACCTTCTCACACTGAAACAAGCCAACCAGCCAGCAATACCCATAGCGTCGAAGCCCCTATCGCACCAACTCTGCCGAAAGCGGTTGCTTCGTTCATGAAGAAGCTCCAGGATCATTCCGAAGAGATTCACAGTTTGGTGAGCGCCAATGAAAAACTTCCAGATTCCCAAATCAATTTCCAAACCAATGACTGGACGACCGAAGAGGATCCCCGCATGGTTTACATCGCACTGTCAAGTAAAAAGCCCACCCCTCTGGAAAGATTTCAGGGTTGGATGAGCAGATATTCATGTGCCGAAGAATACCGAACCTGGGCAGAGAAGAAGTATGCGCTCACCGATCTTTTAAATCTGAGTCTGAAAGATGCAGACAATAAAGGAGCGGGTCACGTTGCTGAATTCTTGTCCGTCCACGGTCGACAAGACGATAGAAGATACCGCGATGCGATACAATACGGGTTAAAGTGTATGTCATTTGAGGGAATCTATGAAGACCCCGGAGTCTCTGCAGTTCTCTGCCTCATGTTTACCGCATTCCGAGAAGTATCCTACAAGCATTTGGACAAATTGGCGCAAGCAATTCACAACTCTACGGAATGGTCTGAGTTCATAAAGGGGAAAGCAAAGTGGATATCAGATTGCCAATCATTGCACGATGATCGGTGTAGTAAGTTCAAATGCCAGCCCGTGTACGATTTCTGAAGCTAATATATACAGACCGTCAGCGAGAATGGCAACGTTCCCGGAAGCGTACACTTGAGTTTGGTGAACAAAGCCAGAGCAAACGTTTGGAACCGGCTTTTATAGCACAGGGCACCAGCTATGCCTCAGCAAGCTCCCCAAGGATTTACGACCCGTTAGAATGGGATTTCAGATTCCTTCTCGAACAAGAGCCGATGTCTCAGTCTAACCCAACCCCGCCTATACTATGAGCTGTACTACATGAATACCTCCTCTTAGGCTTGTTGATCATACTTTTTCTCCGACATCCTAAATTCATGTCAATACATACACAGTCCTTTAGGACAAAATCCACGCTCTGTCATGGATTTGTATCACCCCCGAGGGCGACAACCACCATATCACAGTCCGTACCAGAAAATAACTTTCCGTCTTTGATATAACAATAGGTATCAAGTGGGAGTTTAACTTTAGGACCAGGGGAGGTCACATCAACATCCCCTTTAACTTTAGGACCAGGGGAGGTCACATCAACATTCCCTTTAATCAGAATGATCAACCAACGAAAAGCTTCTTCTGCGTTGGAAAAAAAATCTGTCGTCCCATTGGGGAAATGTCGTACACGGCAGCCCAAGACCTACAATAGTTAGTAGTCTGCAGTTGCGAGGGCGGAGCGGCGTTCTCTCACTTTCACATTTTTGAGCTCTTTTTGAATTTGAGTTCGGAGTGTCTCGACCGACTGCAGAAAAGGTTCACCTCCATATTGCCAGCCGCCCTCGGTCACCACCCCAGGCTCTGTGATTTTTTGCGCGATTTTTTGTGCGATTTTATTGTTGATTTGATCCCTGATGATTTTAATGTTGTGTTTCAAGTCCTGCGAGGTTGGAACGAGATCTTGCGAGATTGGAACGAGACACATTTGGAGGGATGAGTAGCCTGGATTATATAGGAAGTTCTCAGCGTATCTGATAATGTTGTGAGAAGAGGAATAACTGGAGGGGTTGTGATTCGTGCCCAATATTTGGCCGACTGACGGCTAGCTGGTGTGGGGCATGAAACGGACATGAAGCACGTGATATATAGCTTACCGCTAAAACGGCTTCCGGTTAAATCATCACTTCGAATTGAACTATCTGATCGGCCATCTGGTACATAGATATCAGTATCAACAGAATAGTCAACTCGTCATAAACCTCCGGAGAGAGCCCTCACCTTTCTGATAAAAGATAGCCAAATACTCTTAGTATGTCAGATCGTCATATTACATCTAAATTTCGATCCATATCCAAATCCTCCGATGACTGTCATCTTTAATTTCCAATTTAGGACTCAGAACTCAGGACCTAGAAATAGCCCCCCTGATAGTTTGGAGAGCAAAAATGCCCAGCGGCAATATCCTCCCTGGATACTAGGCTCATACCCTTATAAAAGGGCCGTGGAACCCAACATCTCCCCCGAGATTGGAACATCGTTGTCGCTCTCCTTGTGCAAATAAAAATATATCATACCATCGACTTCGATCGTTGCCTTCGCCCTCGAATTGCTCACTACGATATCGAGTCTCTACGCTGAATACTCTTGCTATACTACATTTCAATAGTGGTCGTTTTCTTTTAAGGTTTGACTCCCGCGTTCGTTGTCCTCATAAGCCAATGTCTAATTTTATATCCCGGCAGAACTGGAAGTCTCAGCCAAGGAAATCTTCACAAAAATGTCCATATTTGGTGGTGGTCTGTTTTTCGTAAGTATCCGTTGCTTCACAATTGATATCAATATTAATAGAATTAGAATGGTGGTCGCGGCGCGTATGATACTACAGGGGTAAAAAAGCCGGGTGTGCCACCGCCACCTCCTAAATAGGCACCCAACCTCTCATCGATTGATAGGGCTTGGCAATTAGGGTTCGAGAAACAATCGAGGAGTATAGGTGGCGACACTAGTTACGGGATGTACTGTAAACTGGGGGCCCTAAACTAGCAAATAATTTGTGCGATAGGCATTGACTCCATGACTTTCATCTCCGTGCCCAATTCTGAGACCTCACATTTGCATATCCTCGTCACCTACTGCCACCCTATATCGTGCATCACTTCGTATCACAGCAAATATTCCCTGGCAGACTTCACCTTGTCGCTTCCAAAATGGAGGTAGGTACAATATCTAAACCTAACCCATGAGCTTGAGTGCCTGAAGCTATACCATTGAGCCCACAGCTACAGTGGCGACCGCTTTCGCCTTCCATGTCTCAAGCATGAACAAAGTCTTTCAAACCCTAATCACATGAAACACTAATCCATATGTGTTATGTGTAAATAATCCGGTCTTTAGCTAACCAGGTTAAAAATACCTCTATCTTTAAATACCAGTATAGAAGATACAAGGAAATCTAGAACTTTCTTAGAAGCCTGGACAGCAGGAAGTCGAAGGTCCGATGCAAGCCCAGCAAACAAAAAGATCTTGAATCGAACAGGCACTATGTCAATAATGCTACTTTGCATCTCGCAGTTGCGCTGTTGCAGAAAGCCTTGTGCTTTTGGAGAGCTCGTCAAGGGTCAACAATAAAGCTTTTTCTTTGGGACTTCTGCCACTGCTGATCATCATGCTAGGGCTTTTGATGGGTTAGTTGTATCCAATTACTCAACACAGCCTTGGATTTCTGACACGTGACGATCGCCTGTCTGGCTCCGTCTCTGCTCCTTTGTTCTTTAGTTCGCTCACGCCAACACGAAAGTCATCTTCTGGCATCTTAACCAAGTATTCACCGTTCAAGCCTACGCCATTAGAAGAGCTCATCAGGGCCTGGTGTAATATCTTCTCTTCTCCTGACACAGAGCAAGGCTAACTCTAAACGGTTGTCAAGCAGACTCCACGACCAACCTTTGCCATATCTTACCCTCACGTCGCGCTTTACTTTTGCAACATCGCAAAGGATATCATCGATACGAAACCAGAACCTACCGATTTGCAGAGCAAAATTGAGATACATCTCGGTGTGGAGTTACCACTTCAGCTGGCACAGGAAATATGTGACGCCAAGGAGGGTACATACATTAAGCGCCGTGGCATCGACTCAGAATGTGTTATCCTCATTGCTCGACTTTTAGCGAACGATTTGATACCGCCTCCTGAGCTGCATCGGTCAGTAGCTCGTATCTTCGAAGATCAAAGTGGGAAACATCTCCGAGAACATCTCAGCAACTCTGATGCTGTTAGGGCAGAAGCGTTCGAAGAGAACTTTCTAAGCTTAGCAAGAACATCTGAGGCTTGATTGAAAACGATACGGAGTACTAGTTCATGTATCTGGGTTTGAAATTGCTTTTGAAGAAAGTATTAAATGATGAGAGTTACAGTAGGATGTGCCATGTACCGTAGATGGTCTACCTCCTGCTCACAATACAAACATTTACCTATTTTAGGCCAGATTAATGCTTGAAACTGTTGCGAAGTTCTCTCAAGCTTTCGTTCCGACATAAAGCAATCCTTGACGACCAACCCGAATAAGATTGTTTCTATGAGCAATGAAGGGGGTTTGAGGGATATTTCCCGCTATATCACCCATGAACTTCACAATCACGTTATGCTAAAGCGTTACAAGCGTGAACATGAGAAGATTCACTCTGCCATAACAAAACGTACCCAATATGGGTAAGTGCTTCTCGAAAATATTATTGACAAAGTATTGATCGATATGACTTCTAGATTCCGCCATGCGATGCACCTGGTTGATAATCTGAAACCGGCCGCCAGTATCGGGCAGCTGAATAGTTTGCTAGCAACGTCCTCATTACCTCCCCCACCCAAGATGATGCACGTAAGGAAAATCTTGTTTAAATCGAGGAAATAGAGAGAACGGGTGTTCGGTAGGTTTGATCCTCCCTATATGCATGTACGGTTAGAATACAATAGTCACCCAGCTAAGCCTTCTCGTTCAGTTGAAGCTTCGCAATATAAGCCAACATCCAAGTCCAAACTGCGACTATATCTCAATATCCAACGGACATCTAACTAGACCTAGCATTCTACTTTGTTGGCCCCCTCTGCATTGCGATCGGATGGATATCCGAGCTAAACTCGGGCCTGGGCATAGGTTAATGAATAATATTCAGCGGAAAACCATCAGCACCCGGGACCAAATGGCGGTTTCGACTTGACACTTCGGCGGCAACCTAGATGACTGGCCAGGCGAACGTTGGGTCTTGATGTATGCATCCACCTTGGCTAATTGTGCTGCCAAATGAGGGCCAATTCGAAGTGGGCATTTTTGCGATAGATGCATGTCTTCCGGGAATAGATCTGATCGCATACCATTTAGGGTTTTTGGCAAGCCAATCATTCATAGCCGAGGTGTTATGCATGCCGTGTCCTGTTATACTTCTTTGCCGTAAGCCGGATTGTACACACACAATTTATTAACGCCCGGCGGCTAAGCCGAAAGGGCAACTATCTTGATCTGCCGGATTGTACAGTAGAATTCGAAAACAGTTTACCCTTCGGACACACACACTAATTTCTCGGCTCGTACCCGAAACAGGTGCCATTTTTATTCGGATAAGCTAACAGATTTTCTCCATGAATACGGATAAATTGCTTCTCCCAAACCGTATTATAACATATCGTAATCTATATTTAGCTACCTCGTAGGCCACCCTTTTCTAAAAATAATCCGTTTTTTTTTCAGAACCATTGCGTGACGTGCGATACTGTATCTTACAGGAAACGACTACACACTACCCCTTTATGCCCCTCCATCCTCATCATTCCGCCCGAAGGAAGAGAAGGCTCGCGATAATCCGTTACTAAAATGCAACCTGAACCAGCAACTCTTTCCAAGAATCTGGTTTAAACTGTATGGCATACAGCACACCTCTAGTCATTTCATTTACCCCAAGGCCCTAACAAGTCATTCATTCTACAAATTTCCCACAAAGAAATCTATATCCTCACAGTTAGTACCAGCCAAGAATCCTCACTCCCCAGCTGCGTTAGACGAGCTTTCATTAATCTGAAGCTACCTTGAAGTTTTCTTTTACCATATTACGCCCATGATGGCCTCAGTTGGCCCAGACTCTTTGCATCCAGACCTAGCCAAGAAAAACCCCACAACAGTGCAACCGATCTACTTCCGCATTGCCTATGAAACGCTTGAACTTGTGTACTTGGTGGAAGGTGGATATTTGACTAAGGACAAACAGCTCTGGATTCCGAGCTGGGGAAAAGTGTGGGAAAAAATACCGACAGAGCAAAGGGAATCCTATGACGGTGCTATCACTAAAGACGGGAAATGGTATGCTCCAAAGGGCGAGGTTGACACGACCTTCGCGACGTTTACACGGTCTGAGGCACTACCCCCCGTGCCCGAAAACTACGAGGAACAGAGGTCCTGGGTAGGAGAAAAAAAGGTTTATCAGTTTTTCCAGCATTCTAAAAATGTTCAGACAGTGTCTTATCGAGCGGGCCAGGATGATAATTGGGTGTTCTGTCCGACAAGTGACTGGTTCTCTATTTGAGATTTTCCCATCCTGTTTGGGTTGGGACAAGTAACTAGGAATCTTCTACGAGATTCTACGGAATTTTTACAGTATTTTACAATCACTCATCTGAAGACAACATTTCATACAATACAACTAAGCAGGGTTGTTACGGAGTAAATCAAATAGGGATTAGGGTGGTTTCGGATACGGGCCGGCGAACAATTCGTGAGTGTACGAATGGGAATCCTTTTTCGAATTCTACTGTAGTGTGGACGCGTCCGAGTAAGATGCTCTTACGGCAGGTGCACGGGAGGTGCTCTCTCAGCCGTCCTTTCACGGGCCATTCTTAGCCTTACACATTAAGAAGTGGTGGCAATGCTTCTAAAATCTTGGTGTGTTTCGCCTGTAGCCGCTTCAACTATTTAGAATCAGCCCCCCGCCAATTCACTGCTTATTCGCGCATAGAAAAGGCCTTATTTCCAAGCATCGATCTTCTATTTCTCGCGGCATTTGCATCTGAATTAGAGAATGCTCTTTCACATCTTCACCTGCCCCCACTTCAAGATGAAACAACTTTTCATCATCGTTTCTGGACGATTGGCGGAGCGACCCCGAACGCACCATACATATGATCGCCCTATCCAACGGATTACCCCATATTCACAGCCACGCCTGGGCCCCATTTTTCGACGGTGGATAAAAGGCGGGCCTCCCGCTTCCGCCCGTTGCCCAATCTCCACGATACGTCTACCTCACAGACTGATCACTGGCGTGAAGCTAACCATGAAGTATTTTTCTGTTATTGATTATCATTATCGCTGACATCCCAGTCATGCCAGCATGGATCGCTTTCGTGACCTAGGGGATGACCAAATTCAAAAATTCGGGCAACGGCTTCAGGCAATCACTTCAGGCGCTCGATATCAATATTCGCTAATACCTTGCATAGGCATGTGTGCTCGCTCATCATCATTCACCGCCACTTCTCTGCCGACGATATAACTAAATAAGAACTGAAAGAACTAAAATACTGAGTAGTTAGGCTAGTCCACATATCCACAACTTCACCGCTGGTTGTGTGGGCCGTTTGCTTATACTCGACCATTGGGACAAGTATGCGCTCTGTGGCAACATGTTGACAGATCATCTGTAACTACCAATGCATGGCACCTTTTACAAGCTGACAACTGCACAATGCATTCCTCTGGCTAATAAGTGCGAAGCCTTTGTAGAATGTGTTGGCATTCTAAAAGGTTACTGCTACATACTCGTATTGAACTAGAATATTGGTTGGTGCAAAGTGAATTATAGCAGCCACTGATGTAACCCTTCCACCGTCTAGTCGACCTGTACCGGCAGAGCCCGGACTGTTACGCTCCGACGCATATCTCAGATACCATTTTACAGCAAAATCTATCGCTTTTCCTTGGGATAAAAGGCCTTCGCAACCACGCCTAGCTCTGATTCCCAGGTCGATACTCATGCGACTTGATTGCCTACTTAGATTCATCGCTATGATGGCTGCCCAAGGTCCAAGTAATCAAGATGCCCCAATCAGTGAATGTTATATTCTTCTCACTTTGTGAATGGAATTTCCGCTAATATGAGCCGTAGACGAGCTCGTGGGAAAAATGATGTTCCGCGAATACGTCACGGCGATTCTAGCCAGATCAAACAATTACTCGTTAGTTTCTTAGTCTTCGGCTGAACTGAAACGTCTATGCTGAGGCTGACTGATTAGGAGACCGAAGTCATTCAATTTATTATGTCTTATGATTATCTTGCAGCAATGCAGACTCTAGAAGCGGCGCGCATCGCTCCCTTTCACAATCAAGAGACAGACCCGAAAAGCGCCGTCTTCCGAGTACTTGGCTTTGCTTATCGCTCTCTGCAGCACTCACAGGCGTATACGCTTATGTACAGCCTACTTCAACTTAGCCACCTAGGATGCCACATGGAACCTCATATCAGTACGTTGGCTTCATTCATCACCGGAACCCCACAGTTGCTGCCACCCCGGAGTACCCAGACTATCGAGGTAAACACGCAATCCAACTCCCACGGAGAAGAGGATCTATCAAAGTATACCTCTGCGTTGAATGAAAAAGGACAAGAAGATGGGAAGGCACTCCAACATATATATTCAACACTCAGAAAGGATCCTCCTCAGTTCAGTGCGGAAATTCGTTTTGGGGACTTGTATTCATTTGGGGTCGGACGAAATAAGAAGATTGCTGGCCATTTGGCTGCAAAGGATCTCTGCCGTCGAATAGGAATTTCAGTTGGAAGGTGACGGTAAAATGATCTAAAACTTTTATTTCGGTTCAAATTGCACCATATCTTCGTACGCCTTCAAGCAAATCGCAAGTCCCTTCAGGACTTCCAGGCATGATTTTTGCAAGCCTTACTGCCTGAAAATTCAAATCAAGGACTTCACTAGCTATGCCAAAGCTATCCTAGCGCCTAGATAATCATATGTATTGTTCGATAATCTTTGCTCGCGAGATTTTTGTCCTTTTTCCTTTTTCTTTTTTTCTTTTCTTTTAAATACAAACGTTATTTACTGTTGAGAGGCTTCTGGCACTAGTTTAGGAGGTGTTTCTTTTTCGTGCTTCCTCGTAGTAACAAGAGCCTCATAGGAGACTGTAGCATTAACGTATCATGAAGGACACACGGCCACCTACAAATGACTATACCATTAGGGAAAACCTGACTTGACCTAACAACACCACCGCATCTTATGAGGGTAATTATTTCGAGACTGTTGGAATAGATACTGAAGATTCCGTCCGTTTTATCGGAATTTTTAATTTCTCCGTGGTTTATATAATATACTGCATTGAAGTTGGCCATTTTTCGACGACATGGCCCAAATGGCTTACTTAATCATGGAACCCGATTTTTGTCCTCAAAACTAAGCCCCTTTCGAATTAAATCTGTTGTGATCTGAGGCTGGTGCAGATCAGGAACCAAGCCGAACCATCGGAATTAATCCCGAGGTGCCTATACGAAGAATCAAGCTGATTGGAAATCAACTTGATCATCTCGTTGTATATATAGCCTCATGTTTCCCTCTGAATAAATACAACAATTCATACCTCTGAACAACAACAGGTTATGAGCCCGGGAGCAAAATCTCGGGTGCCGTCTCTAGTGGCGGCGGACGGTTCGGAGAAAAAAAGCTCCAACACCCTTGCAGGCAGCATCTGGCCCGTCCGTCAATACGGTACAGCAGTCCGCCAAGAAATGCAACTATTGCAAGAAGCGCGGCCATGTGGTCGCGCAGTGCTGGAAGAAACAGCGAGAAGGACAGCCGTCTAGGGACCATGCCCTGAAGACTGAACGGAGTGTTTCCGGCTCACCAAGAAATGATTTACAAAATATACCATCAAGCCAGAGAGAAGATCGGCAGGGCCCACCGACTTCCAAGAGACCGAGGATCAATATCGTGAGGGCGAGGGTGACGACCCTTTATACCCACGCACCGCAACCCCGGTGGATCCTGGACTCGGCCGCCACCAGCCACATCTGCTGGGATCGGAACTGCTTCAGCAGTTTGCGGCCCCACCGCGAGATGCTGGACACGGCGGGCGATCCAGTGGAAGCCGAAGGGATTGGTACGGTGAAGCTCACGCTCCGGGGGAAGTTCAACCAACCCCTGGTGTTAAAGAATGTATACTTCGCGCCACGCGTCGGGATGAACCTGATCAGCGTGCCGAAGCTGTTACGAGACCGCTACTGGGTGGTTGACTGCGGTCGCACGGTGCGACTCGCACCTCCACCTCACCAAAACATCTACCAACTTTCAATCGAAAATTCCTCCACTAATACTTATCGAATCTACTATAAATTGGAACTATATAAAATCTACAACTGGGAATACAATTTCTGCAAATATAAGTATGATCCGACGCCAACTGCGAAATCGAGTGGGAGTCTGAAAATTAAAGCGAGTGAGCCCTGACCCACTTTTTTCCTCCCATACAAAAATATAAAACCCTAATCCGAGTCAGCCTCACTCCCCCTCCCCCCATGGGATAGAACACCGAGACCCGTCGACTGAGCCGAGTCAATGCTCGCCTGCTCAACACTTTTACCCGCAAGGAGACCTCTCATGACCCAATATCCGCTCTCCAGAATGATCAGTCGCGTCGGCGATACAGTGAGACTTGGCAGAAACTGGTCTGCTACTGGGAGCGAGTGGTTGAGCAAGAACAACTCTCCGACACGCCTTTTCGACCTAGCGATGATCAGCTTACCGCGTGGGTCGAAATGACCGACGCTGCCGATGTGCTTGTCGATTCTCCTTCCGATCCAGACGACCCAGCTCAGCGGCAGGGGCAGCTTGACGCGTTAGACGAAGCTACACTCCGGTTCAGCATGAACATTATCCGGCATGCTGTCCCCCGACGAGCCTTTGACTCAGTACTCGTGTCATTCGCTGCGGTACTCTTCTGGAGCCCGCAATCCCGGCGATGGCTGACCTTGGCTCAATACACGACATACCTCTCACAATTGATCTACGATTGCCAGATGATGGTTCTCGCTCATTCTCTGGCGCAGGCTGCCGAGGACAATCTAGGGGTAACCCTGGTCGAGATCCGAGATCAGTGGCTACTGAATGACACTGCTGGGCCTGTGGCGGAGCTGCTGGAAAACCGACTTCTTGGTTTTCACATTGGCCGTACCGAAGTGCCTCCGGCTCAGGTACGATGGTATCAGGATGGGCAAACGGCCATCTACCAAGATGTGACCCTTCACCTGACCGACCTTCATACCATCATCTGGCGGGGTCTTCAGGGAGCCTAGACGATCTTCACGGATGAGCTTTGTCTCAGTGGACGCTCGGCCCCGGTGACAGACGTTCCCAAAGTGGACCTCAGTCGGCTCGTCGACAATTGGGACGTCACATCACAGGGACGCTTTCCTCACGGATCCTCGTAATCATAGCCAGGTCCAGCCTCTCCGAGACTGGCTCTTCTGCCGCGTGGGACAGACGCCGTCGCTTTCCGCGACCTTCTGGGCGCGGGGAGCGGACAGCGAAGTTGCCATGCGCGCGGATGTCGCAGACCAATATGAACAGGCCGTCCAACGGTTCCTTCGGGCCTTGTTCGTGCCATTCTTCCTCGGGTCCGGGCAGCAGGCGAGATGGATGGAGTTTGTTGGGCTCCGCTGGCGAAACACGTCATTAGAGACGCGCAATCTATATCTCCATGACGGGCAGATGCTCTTCATCCTCCAGTACCATAAGTCGATGAACCTGATTAATGCTTCTCGCTGGCCGGCGCGGTTCCTCCTGCCCGAAGTCGCTCAGCTTGTGGCGCAGTTTCTGATCCTCGTCCAGCCGTTCCGGCGGAGTCTGCAGCAGAACACTGCGATCCCCGCGGCCGTTTCGGACTATCTCTGGTCTCGAGGACGGGAGCCATGGCATCCAGACCGGGTGACCGAGACGGTGGTCGAGACAGGCCAGCGACTGCTCGGGAAGAAGATCCATGTCCGAGCATGGCGGCAGCTCACGGTAGGGATCGCGATTAAGAAGTTTTCATCTGCCCCCGCATCTCTCTGGGCAAGCGAGAGGGATATTCAGGAGCTCGAGGGCACGGAAGAAGGAGAACCCGGGGGCAGTATGGCAGCGGTGTTCCACTGGCAGGCCTCCCATACGCCACGGACGGGGAACCAGATATATGGCGGGTCAGTCAATTTCTGGGGTGCTTTGACCGACGCTGGCTTACGGAGTTTCGGCGTGCGAGCGAGATGTGGCACCGTCTACTCCGGGATGTTGTTGTTCAGAGGTATGATTGACTTGTTATTTCAGAGGGATACATGAGCCTATATATACAATAATTTAGCCAAGTTGATTGGAAATCAACTTGGTCGTCTGTATAGACACTTCGGAGCTAATTCCGACGGTGCGGCTTGGTTCCTGATCTGCACCAGCCTCATATCACAACATTCCCCCTCAGGATCGCTTTGCTGGCAAGGCGATACTGGATTAACGCTGTGCAGGCAAGCCTCGGTAAAACCACTCAAAAACCTTCGTGGGAAAATAAAGTGGAAAGAGCGCCTGCGCTGTCACGTTTGTTGCCTCCGAGTCTCCAAGGCTTCGATTCCTAGAAGACTACAGAACTTGGCAAAAGCCGTAGGTCCCAACGGCTTGGTAAGACCGTCAGCGGCCTGTTCCTCAGTAGGAACGTATTGAAGACCAATCTCGCCAGCATTCAGCACTGCTCGCTGATAATGGAATTTCACGTTGAAATGTTTGGTCCGTTTGTGGAACTCGGGATTGCGCGAGAGGGCAATAGCGGACTGGTTGTCAGCCATGATGTTGGTGACCGGGGACCGATACATTTGCGTTTCTGCTAGGAAGGTGCGGAGCCACTGTAGATGTAGAAGGGCATTGTATTGTCCAATGTACTCGGCATGAGTCGTAGACGTGGCCACTTCCCCCTGTCTCTTGGACGACCAGGAGACTGGTGCGCCTGCAAGTTGGAACACATAGCCAGACGTGGAATATGCCCCATCAGTGACGACGGAGCCACCGAAGTCGGCATCTGTGTATCCGATCAACTGACCACTGCGGTATGTAATGCGATGGCATTGCGTGGCTTTGACATAGCGAAGCAATCGCTGCAGGGCGACCTGGTGGTGCGATTGTGGCTGAGACGTGAAGCGACTCAACGTGCCCAGCGCAAACGCAATATCCGGCCGCGTTCCGACCATCAGATACATCAATGAACCGATGGCGGTTGCGAATCGTGCTTTGGTTTCCTCGTCCGGAGGTTCTTCGTCTGGACGGCGATTCAAGACTTGCTTGGGATTCATCGGGGTAGACTTCGGCTGACAGGTTTCCATGCCAAAGTCGGAGAGAACCTTTTGGATGTACTGTTGTTGGTGAATGGAAACGGCTCCGTCGGCATGGTAGTCGAATTGGATCCCGAGGAACGAACGTGGGGTTCCAAGGTCGTTCAATCGGAACTCTCTTTCCAATGCTCGTTGCACTTGATCTATCTCGTGCGAGTTTGCTGCAGCAACGAGAAAGTCATCGACGTAGACACAGATCACGCAATTGGATTTGTAGAACACGCAGTTGTCCGATTGTGCCATAGTGAAGCCATGAGCAGCCAGCACGCGGTGGACGCATTGGTACCAAATCCGCGGGGCCTGCTTGAGACCATACAAAGAGCGGCGAAGCCGGCATACATAGCCTGGCTCTTCGAAGCCTTCGGGCAACTCCATGTAGATGGACGAGTCTACGTCACCATGTAAGAATGCAGTGACAGCATCAAATTGGTGAAGCTTCCATCCGCGCAACACGGCGCTGGCGATGATGCATCGGACCGAGTCCATCCGTGACACCGCAGCAAATGTTTCATGGTAGTCGATGCCATGCTTCTGCCGATAGCCTTTGATAACTAGTCGCGCTTTACGCGTTCCGTTGGCTTTGGTCTTGAAGACCCATTTGCAGCCAATCACATGATCTCCGGCTGGTACATCCTCTCGCAGAACCTTTTCCCATGTTCCGTGCTCGAGAAGAGACGCATATTCTTTCTGGATGGCTGCCCACCATTCCAGTTGATTCGGGCCCGACACGGCCTCGTGAAAAGTCGATGGATCGACTGTGCTCGCAGATGCGGTATTCAGTGCGCCTGCGGTATACACCTTGCCAAGTGATTCCAGTAAGCGCCGTGAGGGTCTTCTTCTGCGGCCATAGATGGAATAGCCGAGATCCTGTGTGGACTTTGCTTCCTTTTCGATTGGATTGACCGGTGGAAGTGTTTCCTCCACATGCTGAGATGGCGTTTTCAGTCGTTCAGCCAAGTCCGGAGGCGATGCAGGTGGCGTAGGCAATGCGCTAGATGGAGGTGGCATCGCTGGTGGAAAGACAGGTGATGGAGGAGCATTGTCCGGGAGGTCGTTGCCTGTTTCCCCCTCGATGAGTGGCGCCACTGGGGTCCTCTCATCGAACTCGACATCACGGGAAAAAACTGTCTTCCCTGAATGAATTTCATACAGCTTGTACTGGTTCGGTTCACAATAACCTAGCAATCGGCACTCGGATGATCTGGGTCCGAGTTTTGCTCGATGCTCTTTCGGGATCAACACCCATGCGCGGGAGGCAATCCGCCGCAGATGCAACAGCGAGGGCGGCTTCCCGTATATGATTTCGTATGGGGTCTTCTTCTGCAAAATCGATGCTGGCGCGCGCAGCTTCAGATAGACCACCGTGTCCAAGAGCTCGGTCCACCAGGAAGGAGGAAGTTTCGCATCGGACAGGAGCGTGTTGATCCGCTCCCGGATAGTGCGATTCGTGCGTTCGGCCAGACCATTCTGCCCTTTGCAGTATGGCGGCGAGGTGTCAAACTCGACTCCCTGGGACTCGAGGTGTGTTCCGACGGGCAAGTATTCTCTCCCATTGTCGGTGAGGAACCTCTTGATCTGGGCGCCGAACTGACGGTGCACCCAGGCCTCGAATTGTCGGAACTTCTGGAGCGCTTCATGTTTCCATCTCATGGCATATGCCCCCGAGCCACGAGAATAATCGTCAGTAAAGGTGATCACGTACCTGGAGCCATCTTTGGCAATCGGCATCTCCATGATGTCCGAATGGATCATTTCGAAAATTCTCGTTGAATGCAGACGTGGCCGTCTTGCACGGGAGTTCCTCTTCTGATGCTGCTTACCCGACATGCACGCCGGGCACTGCGGCGTTGCCAGCAGCTGCGCCTGCGTCAGCGGTCGGTACGGAATGCCGGTCTGCCGGAGGACCACCCTCAAGTCTCCCCGGTTCAGATGTCCCATCCGAGCGTGCCACAACGCTTCGGAGGCCTGATCCATTCCTTTGCACGCGTCTTCTTCGAGTATCACAGCTTCACCACCGAGTTCAGAGGTTGACGTTGCGCATTCTGCGTCACTTGACTCCTGAGGGCCGTCGACGTCCATGGCCACCGCCTGCGGTTCCAGGGAATCTGCATGGCCATAGGCCGCCGGCGCCCTCGCCAGTTGGACTTGCTCTCGGGATCTTTTGCTCACATGGCACCGCAGGATCAACAGATCCTCCTCCGCATGGTAGGCGGTCCCCACGGTCCGTCCTCGGCGTTGCACAAAGACGTTCTGCGGGTGCGCCACCACCGAGTAGCGGTCTCGCAATAACTTCGGCACACTGATCAGGTTCATCCCGACGCGTGGCGCAAAGTACACATTCTTCAACACCAGGGGTTGGTTGAACTTCCCCCGGAGCGTGAGCTTCACCGTACCAATCCCTTCGGCTTCCACTGGATCGCCCGCCGTGTCCAACATCTCGCGGTGGGGCCGCAGACTGCTGAAGCAGCTCCAGTCCCAGCAGATGTGGCTGGTGGCGGCCGAGTCCAGGATCCACCGGGGTTGCGGTGCGTGGGTATAAAGGGTCGTCACCCTCGCCCTCACGATATTGATCCTCGGTCTCTTGGAAGTCGGCGGGCCCTGCCGATCTTCTGTCTGGCTTGATGGTATATTTTGCATATTGTTTCTTGGTGAGCCGGAAGCACTCCGTTCAGCCTTCAGGGCATGGTCCCTAGGCGGGTGTATTTCGCGCTGTTTCTTCCAGCACTCCGCGACCACATGGCCGCGCTTCTTGCAGTAGGTACACTTCTTGGGATTTCTCTGCACTGCATTGATTGACGGTCCTGGGGCTCCCTGCGGGGGCGTGGGAGACTCCTTTTTCCGGACCGTCTGCTCGGCGTTGGACAGCCGATTTCCGATAGTGGTCGGGTTGACCGGATCCTTGTCATTCTGGATCGCATCCACAACCAGGATGTATTCCGGTCCGATCTGCGTGAGCAGGATCGCAATATGTGTCTTGTCACCGATTGATCCTGGAGTAATGGCATTCAATCGATGTACGAGCAGCCGTACGCGATCAACAAAGTCACGCGCACTGGCGCATCGTTCGCCGGTTGTTTCGCGAAGTTGGGCAAACAATTCGCAGAAAGTGGCGAGTTCCATCCGCCGGTATCGTCCTTCAAGTTCATTCCAGAGGTCACGGGACGTCTCCAGTCCCGCGACATGAATGCTGATGTGGGGGGACAGGTACCGGAAGATAGTGTGGTAGGCCTCGGCTTCGCGGCGCGACCATTCACGGTGGCGCTCGAATGCCTGGACCTCCACTTCGAGGCGCGCTTCAATGGCTCGCTGTCTCACCGCCCCGTTAAGGTGGGGCTCCACCAAGGGGTGGATATCTGCCGTAATGGGTTCGGCGTACTTGAATAGACAGTCGGGACGCTGAAGGTCGCCCGACACTACATCCCAGACCTGCCTTGCTTTGAGATAGGAGGTCATGAGACGTTTCCAGGTCGCGAAGTTGTCACTTCCTGTCAGAGGCTCGATGGCCGTGACCGCTCGGTCGGGCGAGTCATGGACCAGAGCAGACATAGTGAGGATAGTGAAAGCGGGGTAGATATATAATCAAGATGGTCAAGATGATTCTCGGATGAGTAGAAACGGCACCCGAGAGGTTGCTCCCGGGCTCATAACCTGTTGTAGTTCAGAGGAATAATTGATTATTATTTCAGAGGGAAACATGAGTCTATATATACAACGAGAAGATCAAGTTGATTTCCAATCAACTTGATTCTTCGCATAGATAAGTCGGGATTAATTCCGATGATGCGGTTTGGTTCCTGATCTGCATCAGCCTCATATCACAACAGGCCCGTCTGCCTCCCTTGCTATACGAACAAATTCTCGTCGCATCTCAGGGTTAAAAAGGGTGTTTTTTTAGCCTGTAATTGATGCGGATGCCATGAATCCAACTTTGCCATCTTGGTCAATCAAGATGGTGGCATAATGACGCTGTAGGATCATTGTTAGTTCACCACCGAGTGCCTGAGAAGAAATCGTCCTTCTCACAATACATGATATTTGCTGAGAAGAGCTACTATCTGCTTTAAGAATGCTGTCCGACATGTTGTCTTTGTTTTGAAGGGTGGAAGGATGTCGATGAAAAAGCGCGACTGGCAGATTGCGAGAAGCTTACAAGGCTTTATCAATAGACCGCAAGTACTCATACAGAGATGGCCTCGTGAGAGTTCCTGGCCTGATCTGATTAATCTTTTTGTGGTTCTATTTCTTCATTTCAACCATTCCCAGCCGGCTAATCATTTATTGCGCCCTGCCCTCCTTCCTATTTGAATGGCACAGAGCTTTATGATGATCGTTTACGAAGAGTCAGTGCTAGGCGACCGCAAGGCTCTGCGTTATAACAATAATTTTCAGGCATACGCAGTCTGGTGCCAGGGGAGCAAGTACTGCCCCGGATCGTAGAAGACAGAGAGACATCGACGAAATCATAGGTACCGGCAAGCAGCTGGACCTTGAGAGGCTCCATGAGTCTGAGACATTGCTACATCGATTCCTTGTCCTTTGTAGTCAATCAATCTGATAGGCGTACACTAATTTTATTGTATATCACAGCGATATATCCTAGGAGCATTCGTATCATTCCAAGGCTGTATAACTGGCCAATGGCTCGAAGCATTACATGTGGCTATGCACGGTAGAAGCCAGTAAGACCTGTCCATCACATGCATAAGCGCCTGGGAGCAATTCGTGTACAATAGCTTCTTGCGACCAGTAAAGGAGTTCGAAAATACCAAGTGAGCGTGATAGTGATATGCAGAGGCACTGGCCCCTTTTCTGCATGTCTATCACATTGAGTTTCCTGCCAACCACTAGATGTGGCGCTAAACAAAACCAATTCTGATGGTTCCGCGCGGAACCGTCAGAACTGTTTTGGATTGCACCCCGTAACCTGCCATACGACTTGAACACTGCTGCCTTGGTCCCTTGGTTGTTCTTTCCAGAAAAACATCCCCGCGCTCATTTTCACTCATCCTTGAGCCTACCATGGCGAACCAGCAAAAGAAAGGACAAGGTCCATCCGATTTGAAGAGGCTGACGAATGGCGAAGTTATTGAGTCCTTGGAAACTCTACCCCATGGGGGTGGGAGGAGTCACCGTGACTCGGATTAGGGTCTGGGAGTTAACTATGGGAAAGAAAAAGTGGGCCCACGGCCACTCGCTTTAATTTTGATGCCCCCACTCGTTCTAGTATTTGGCGTCAGATCATGCTCAAACTTTACAAAGTTATATTCCCAGTAGTAGATTTTGTAAATCTCCGTTTTAAAGTCCATTGAGCCAGGTTTGGTGGAGCAATTTCTTATTGAAAATTTGGAGGATTCCATAGTTTTTCCATGATTCTCGATGTCTAGAGTCCCGTACATGAGACTCCTGGATGGACTTGAAATTTTCAGGGCAAACACAATGTAGCAAACAAATCGTGTATGTAGCAAGAGGACTTCTTTCGGGAATTGACCGAAGATCTATGAACAGCGCTTAATGATATGGTCGGCGGTGTGGATGGGAGAGTTTCAATTTGCACCCGCAGCGCTCGGACTTCCTCATGTAGCTTCTCATTCTGGTTGCGGATGATGTTCTGATCATGCTTGACCTCCTCTAGGTCAGCGTTGGTGGATTCGATGAGCGTGGTTTAAACTGAGAAGCTGGAGTGGGTTTCTTGGGTGTTTGTGGGAAGGGGTTCGGGCCCTCCCGTAGGTGGGTCCGTCATCGGTGCGGGGTTAGCTCCCGCTCGGCACGCAACCACAACTAATATATTTTGACAGTCGATCGAGAATGATGCGATCCACGCCTCGAAGTGTTCTCTCCAACGGGTACCGAGTCCCGAATTCGGAGAGATAGAGGATGGATCGAAATTAGTTTCACCACTTGCACAAAGATATTCTTTCTCAGGCCCTGTTTTGAAATTCGGCCAATCAACGCCTTCAAACTAGTATAGTAGCGCCGCAGACCCCCACTCAGCAACCAAGGCCGTCCATTGACATACCGACACGTTTCGTCAGCTCATCGATAAATATGTCAGTCAATTGCCTTCCGAAATTCGTCAGCTGTCCGCGGGACTACAACCTATCTTCCCCGTAATGTCGTTCACATTCATGTAAAATCAGGCTTCTTCCACGCTCTCGGCTTTCATTACTCGAACCAAATATACAGAGCAATAATTTCACAGTCGAGTATTTGACAGATTGGCCTGCTCATGGCTCCACAACTCCGCCAAAAGAAAGGGCTCTACGCCGTCTATGACGGTCGCGTTGACAAGCCTGCCATATATTCTTCTTGGTAACTATGAGCCCAACATAGAAAGCGAGGAATGACTTTTAACTTTCGAATGGTCTAGGAGTCAAGTGCAACCGAGAGTGATAGGTTGCGACAGCGCCGATCACGAGCGATTCGACAACCTCAATAATGCCTGCGCCGCAATGGAATCAAAAGGCATCAAGGACTTCGATGATTTTACCAAAAATGCACCCGAGAGAAAGGCCAGGCCATCGAAAAATGTCAAATACTACGCTGTTGCAGGTGGCAAGTCTACTGGGGTTTTCACTCATTGGGAGTAAGTCTCCTTCTTTCAATGACTAGAACCTGTCCACTCACAGGAATAGTGAGGCTGAAAAAGCGAGCAAAGGAACCATTGCGTGCCATGAGCGTTTTAACACCAAGAAAGAAGCAGAGGATTTTATCGAGAGCTGGAAAGATGCATACGCTGATGTTTGGCGAAGGGAAATCAGACAGTCGTTGGACAATGGATGGAGACCTCGTGATATGAAGTTGAACATTGGATCAATTCTGTGCAAAGAAGACGGCAACAATGTGACGGAAGATCGCAATAAGGTACCCAAAAATAAGGTTATTGATAGTGGTGAGCTGCCAAAAGTGGAGTTACTGGCTATCAAAGAAGAAGACTCGCAGACAGGAGGTCATCCGAGTTCTGATTCTGATGCCGACGAATTGTCCGCGGATAGCGATTCGCCTATTTCAGAGAATTATCTGCAAAACTAAATTGACACCCTTGAAGAGGTGAAAGAGTTCATGGTATTAACGAATGTATTCCCCGGCCTACGTCAAGGATTCCAAGAATGCCCGGAAGTCAAAAGGAGGGTTAGCCGCAACGGTCTGAGCGAAAAAATTGAGGAGTCTCTTGCAATCCACGAAAACTGCAACTCTTCAGACCTAAGAACTGCACAACATTAGATATCAACTCATCAACGATTGCTCTGCAATTTTATTAATATGAGTTATAGATTGCCGACTAAACCATGTTGCCGAACCCAGGCCGTTGGAAATAGATACTGACGACTCTATACAACCCCTGGAAAGCAGTGACAGTCCCACGGCGACAGTTACAGTAGATTCTACACAGACAGGGGAAATGACAATATTATCATCATGGTGGCTTCGGTTTATGAACATCTACGCCCCACCAGCAGCCGGCTATCAACGTATCTCGTACGCATGCGTGAGTTCTCTTGCGTTTCACACTGAAACCCGCGTTGATATTGTTCTAGGGCTGTGGAGAACTTTCGTATCTCGATGTTAGAGAGCTGTCGGCCGGTGGGACTGAGAGGTTCCGGCGAAGACTCCTTAAGAGCGTCGCTGCTGTTAGTAGTCACACACAGATTTTACCTGGATCAAGTCGACTAGAACCCCCACCTCAGGCACATTTGAATCTCAGCTTGAGCTCAAGCCTGCCCAGCCGAAATGCGGAAAACCCGAGAGTCCCACATCGTTGGTCATCTCTATCTTCTCAGCCTGAGGATACCGAAGCTGGCAGCACAAATTTCCAGAATCAGGATCCTCAATTCGTTATCTTGTATATGAACACGAAGAACTCAACTGTGTTGGTTCATGTTGAAGTCGGTTCTTTAACCAACGACCAATACTTTTTTCAGCAAGTGTATCAGGAGTACCGGACACTTCGTGATAAACATGAATTCAGGCTTTCAATAATAATACCATTGTGGATGCACACCTTCTTTCGTGCGGCTTCTACGTGGCCGACACGGCTCCCATTATTGTCGAGGCCCTTTCATTTCCCTTCCATACTTCGCTCTATCCTTCCTGAAATGCATCTTTTCAGAGTCGCATCGGGAGATTTTGTCCGGGTACGTATAATCTATTTTTCTTGCAATCGGAATTTATGGAGATCAATCCAGTAGACTTACGCACCGTCCCAGTTTTCACTTGTTCCTATTGGAATGAAATATTGTCCCAGATGGTTCAAGAGAGAATTTCCACCCGAAGCCGAGGTAAAGGCAAGAAGATACCTTTACGAACCAGTCCCAGTGGAAGACGTTGAATTTTTCGATATTCCATTGCAACACCTGCTGAAGCCGGGACCTCACACTGACAGATTCTGGATAACCACATTTCCGAAAAAGCTCCGAGATCCATTGGTTCGGCTACCCAGAAATAATGAGCATCGTGTGATTGGATGGGGCATCCGTTTAAACGAGAGTCTGAATTGGGTCATCATTTTACCTTGCATACTCATCATACTGTTGGCAATCGGTGTCGGCGTAATTCTTTATGCAGCAATCATGTCGGATAGCTCATCTGCTTTCGGCCTGGGAGCGTTCTTGGTGGCAATATTTACAGTATATCTTACGTACCAATATTTTGCGTGGAAGGATAATATGTAGCTCAATAAAAGCAGATAATCGAAGTATATATATCGCAGCGAATTACTCTTGAGGCTGTCCTATGTCCTAGGTGGGAAGCCATATAACCAGTGCATTAGTTAGGCTGGGCTGAGACAATGTGTACTTCAACATACCTTTGGATGAAGCCCATCAGCGAGACTGAACCACTCTACGATGCGTTTTCCTGGCCGGTCATCCGGCCCTGACCACATCCAATTCAGACGACCTACCCGGGTCTTTCCACTCTAAGGGGGTATACGCTCCTCATCCTACAATCCAGGGGCGTTGGAAGTTTCTGTTGCCGCTGAACGACTGCGTTACCCTCGCCAACCGCGAAAATGTCTTGCCACTTTCTATTGAAGGCTACGTCAAGCAACATCCGCTGGTCCACGAAGCGGTGGTAGTGGGAGTGGGCAAAGCAACTCCGGGTCTTCTGTGATTGCGCTCCGAGGAAGCTGGGAGTTCAAAGTTCTTTTTTCCAGACGAACTTCCTTGCACAAGTTTTCCTTCGACGTCTCCATTGACCGAGGAGACCGGCCGACGGGTGGATCTGCAGAATAGGTCCCCGACCAGCTCGGATTCTTTAAAATGGTTCGTTGTTCTGGCAGTAAGGCTTATATGAGGATGTAGAAGGACGTTTCAGAGCTCTCTTTGTCACCTTGATCTTGATGAACTTCTTATCTCATTTGGGATACTGGCTAGGTGCTACCAAATTGACCTGATGATGTGTCCCCGGCGGGTTCGGGCCAGCTCGGATTCAGGTGAGCTGTGCTACAGCACCACTCTAATTACGGAAACCTTCATTTCTGATCGAAAAATTGTGTAATACATAGTTATTCCGCCGGTCTGAACTAATAAAACTTATATGGTCGTCATTATGACCCTCTTTGATTACCCTATCCCATGGGGGAGGGCCGACTGAGCCCTCAGTCGGATTAGGGTTTTGCATTTTTGTATGGGGGAATTAAAGTGGGACCACCCTCAGTCAAGTCAATTTTCACACTACGTATCCCATGGGGGAGGGGGAGTGAGGCTGACTCGGATTAGGGTTTTATATTTTTGTATTGCGCCAAATTCTGTGCTTGGGGATACTCTGTAGTCCGGAGTTGGATCTGAACTTGGGTTCCGTGCGCCGAATTTGTGATATCCTTTTGGCTTTTGCTTGTTCCCTATTCTCCTTTTTTGGGGGATTTCTTCGGACTTGCGCTTCTCCTTGGGTTGGACCTCGCGAGATTCTGGTCGAAGCGGCACAGCACCGTAGTCTTCAAGCCGAATTCTCCTGCGCATGATTTATTATCTGTTTACTCGTTTCATTGAAAACAGATAGGGAAACTCCGCTAGGATTCACCTTGAAAAGACTTGTGACAATGTGAAGTCTGCTGAAAAGGCGATCTACCACACAACCAGAAAGTAGACTGGCTTTGAGTTACATGTATCTCTCATGCTTCTTGTATGGTGGCTACGTACATCGTCAATATATTCACTTCGCCTGGACGGCTTTACCTGTCACTGGTTCATAGGAGCTAGGAGCTCAAGCAAGATCCTGGGAAGTAAAACCTTTAGATCATTGGCCCCGTAAGTTGGCACGGCAGCCGAGTAACCGTGTTTTCGCTCCCAAAAATAAACCCATCTTCTTCTTCCAGTATCTTAACTGAATGCCCCCAAGTCCAATGACAGGAAGAAATATGGTCTGTCAGAGGATAGAGGGATGCAAATAAGTCAGGGTAGATAACGCGAATAGAGCGGGCCAGTGGTTCTACGTAAGGACGGACCAACCTGCGTAGGAGAGAGTCAGAGAACCGGGTCCACAACTCGCGACGCGCATAGGAGAAAAGTGGGAAGATTGACGAGTGAGCCAGTCACGAGTGATAGGTTGAAAGGTGTGACAGACTACACGACGCGTATAATGGTGGGCGGGTGAAGTTATGACGGACAGCGCGATACGATTTACCACGTAGGATTACCTTGATTTACCCGTTGCATATGGAGTTACTTTTATTTTCTCCGAGACAAAAAAGTCAAACAATCCTGAATACTAACAATCTAGATGTAGACTCTTCAAATGAATGAACATACCTCAGTTTTCGAAATCCTGGCTTGAGCATAGCTTGGGAATGTATTGTAATCAAGAATGATAATAGTGAGACCGTCTTTAGAAAGAACCACTTTTGGATACCGAAAAGTATTCCTCGATTTTGCAAGCAGCATGCCCTCTTTCGACCACACCCTGACCTCAGACATGTGGCCTGCAGTGATCAGATACCTATCCAAGTAGGCAAGACATTGCCAGGCAGAAAACTCATCGAATGAGCCTTTCCGTTTGTCCTGATCATCAAATGTTGTGAATTGCTCCGAGTTATACTCGAGTTGTTGGGAAATTCAACTTGTCTCTTGATATATGACCATCGTTGAACTTGGTACATATGTGGTCCTCTAGCGACGGGCTTTCGTGTGCGAAGTAAACTGACTTCCCGAAGCAAGGATCGAAGCGTATGCATCCATGGTTTATGGGGTGAGCCATTTCCACATAGGGAATATCCAATTCTATGGGTTTGTAGCCTTGCAATGGTTTACAAATCTTGACTGCGCCAATAGTCTTGCATATGGAGACGATAGTGCTTTCTCCAGATAAGACCCAGGCAGCGGTTGCTTGACAATGATGTAAGACCTTGATTTCTTTTAAATTGCTGTTCCAAACAGATATCTCCAAGGAGTCGTCATAATCTCGGCGACGAATGCGAACAAGAAGGTCATGAGTTTCACTGAGACATTCCCAAGAATCATTTGGATCATCTCGGCACCCCTCCATGGCTATTTCTGCTCGCATGGTATTGTTGAGAAGATCCCAGACCACAAACCTTTTGTTCTTGCTATAAGAGTAACCGGAGCACAGACTTCCACCGTCGAAGATAAAGGGCCGCTCAAGGCGAGGAATCGTGAACTCCCTCTGTAGTCCCTGTATGGATAGAACTTCCTTCCTGACAATATTCGATATGACAATGTGCTCACCAGCAGGGCCTTCCCGATGTAGAACGTCCCACGTGCCGGGGTAGTCTTTGTACCGAAGTGGAAGAGTCCCACTGAACAAAGATTTATGCGCATTATGCATGCGCTGGGATTCACAAAGTTCTTTAAAGGTTCGACAACTCGACGAAAATGATTTGAAAGAATTTTCATCCATGAAACCACTGATAATAAACAGTAGCTCGCGAGTTAAACATGATAGTGTACCCCTGGTAGTCGGGACCTATCTGCTTGGTTAGAGTCGGAGAAAACAGGTTCAAATGGGTTTTACTTCTCACTTACAGAACTATTCAATTTATTTTGCTGGGTATTCTTCTTCCGTCCGTGAGGACTACTTCCTGACTCTGGGGCTCGGCGTTTTTGGCCTCGAGTCTGCATTTTGCGCGATGGCTGATAATTCAGTAGATTCATAAAGATATTTGCGCTCTTGAGATGAGAAAATTGAAGCGTTTAATTCATGGGAAAACATGTGTTAAAGATATTTCTTATATTAAGGGGTCGGAGGGCGTCGGTGGGTGCGCAAGGCAGACCGCTAGATCGAACGGAAATATGAGTCAGCGATCGGCCCCCAACGCGATTACGGCCCTTGGCAGAATCATATTTCCGAATTGGTCGCAGCGCGGTAGACAAGGGTTGTGATTGCCTACGCAGTACTAATCGACCCCTAGCCGCGACTGAGCAGAGTTTCTAGGGTGTCAGACTTCCTCCCCATTTATTACCCCTCCTTTCTCGCTAGGTCACCATATACGATAAGCCGAGTCAGAGTGGTCAGATGAACGTACGAAGTCGCTACAGTCCGCTCCAGATCACGCTTCAGGGAATATCGTGGCTACTTTGAAGAAGGTAAATGTATCATGTTATATTCCGAGGATATAATTGCTAAAATATTGTAGATTCGAGAGCTCGCTGTATTCATTACCGCCAGTCCTCAGCGCCGAGAGGCTTTCCGGGCGCTTCAAACAACAGAGCCCAAGCTTCTACCGATTCAAGATGTTCGTACACGCTGGAATTCTACTTTCTTGATGCTCGAACGTGCCAAGAAACTACAGCGAGTCTTCAACCAGTACTGTTCAACCCACCAATACGTTCAGTTTCAGCTCGGTCAAGAGGAATGGCGCCAAGTGGAATATCTCCTTTTGGTCACAAAGCCTTTCTTTCATTACACCAAAATCTTGTCCAAGACTCAAGATGTTACTGTTCATTCGATCTTCTGCATATATAAGGAGCTCTTTAGCCATCTTGATGGTGTTGCGGAGTTACTAGAACGCAAGACTGTCCCTTGGAAAAAGAGAATGATTCAGGCACTACAGGCAGCGAAACAGAAACTCTCAAAGTACTACGGAGCGACCGACAGTGAATCATTTGGCACAGTTTATGCAATTGCAACTATTCTGTGTCCATCGAAGAAGCTTCGGTTCTTTGAAGGCGATAACTGGAAAGGGAAAAACGAGAGGGGCGAAGATATTAATTGGATGGAGATCTATCGGGATAAACTACAGAAGGAATTTGACCAATATCAACAACGCATTACTCGCCACAAGGAGCCCTCTCGAGCCCAAGTCGCTCAAGAAGGGGATGAAGAGGAGCTTGATCTTATAATGGATTTGCACGCTACTTTACAAAGTGAAATCGACCGACCGGAGGATGAGATCACACGATATCTTGCACAGGGTTTGTATACTTCCCTGCTTTATTATACGGCTTTCCAGCTAATTTATCCAATAGGTCTTACCAAAGGAAAGCCAAGGGTGTTCTGGAAGGAACATGAGCATGAATATCCAGTGCTTGCAGCGATGGCACGGGATAATCTGGCAACACCGGCTAGTGGCGCTGGTGTTGAGCGGCTCTTCAATTGTGCTCGTGATGTCTGTCACTATCGCCGGGGGCAGCTTAAACCAGAAACAATCAGGTCTCTAATGCTTCATTTGTTCGCATCGAAGTTCGAGCTTCAACAAACCGAGCTCGAGATGATCAAGGAGTATCTCTCTAGTGGAGAGGCTGCCATACTCGATCAAACATGGAAGCCAACTCCGTCGCTTAACGATATCGAGCCAATCAGTGAAAACGAAGAAGATGGTAACCATGCGGAGGATGGATCGGATGATTCAGAAAATGATCTGGGAGATAATCATACAGTTGAGCACGCGACTCCTACACCGGTTACAACGCAGGGCAAGCAACCACGGCGCAAGAGGCTTCATAGTGCCGTTGAGCCTCAGGATGATGGTGATAATGATCTCCCGCTTCCTGAAATGCCAACTGAAGGGTCCACGCAGGGGAGATCGGGGAGGAGGATTCGGAAGAAGCCAAAGCAGCCAGATGGATTTGAATTTGATAACCTGTAATATAATCTTGAATAATTGAATGCTGTTGCAATAAAGCGAGGCAAAGTAGACTAATTTGGAGAAAAGATCGTAGGCCACTCATTCGCATGACGAATATACAATCAATTACACATTCAATACTCCAAAAAATACTGGAGAAAATGCATAATTTATGCAAACTCGATCAGGTCACGAGTCCTAGCATGTTTGCAATATTTGTTATCGTACGATAATCCGCGGATATCAGCAAATGAAAATATAATTATCGTATCGTATCGTTGCGGATAATTCGATAATGAATTTATATCGTTATCCGCAATTTACGGATACGATAATCGATTATCTGCCGATAATTTGGATAGTGCCGCAGCCTAGGCAGAGCCCGGGCTTCAATGTGGCCTTGGCCCGTTACAGGTACTCAGTAAATGCTATATCGAGACGAAGAGCCCGCTCAGCAGCCTAGAGGGCTTCTTGAGCTTGGTTAAGATGAGCATAAATTTCGCACAAGGAAGCTAAAGCTTCAAAACTTATATTCGCCCATCCAGAGGTGTTGAAACCACGCTGAGCGTCCCACTCAGATAGTGAGTATGAAGCGGCGTGGTAAGCGTCTTTGGCTGCCTTTTCATCGCCACTTTCCATTTCGGCGTGACCCTTGTCGACAAGTATCTTAGAAATCTGCAGGAGACGTTCGATTGGTTCGGCTTCGAAAGTATTCTTGACCTCCTCTCTCTCCTTATAGACCTTCAGGTGTGATGGCGTCATCATATTTTGAATTATATCATTGGTGGTCTCGGATGCTTCGCTTGAGTTTTCAATAAAAACTATTTTCACTCGAAGTTTCCGGCGGACATCACGGTCGCGAAAGTTAATCCAGTTCAAAAATCCGATCGTCATTTCTTTGTCAGCTGGATATCGAGAGTCAAAATGGTATTGTGACAGAAGGCGATATGTCTTTGAAAAGGCAATTTCCAAAATTGGTGCCCTGAGATCCATTTGCGAATATGCCCTGAATCAAGAACGTTGGCTCGGTTCAGGGACGGGCGGTGAAAGAAGAGATGAGACAGTATTTCTCACTTAGCATAGTCCTTGTAACCCCCTAGGTATCGGAGCTCCCGCTGTATCTAATTATAGATGATCCAGTCAACAGCGGTCAACAGCCAACATAGCTAGAACTTTCTCAAGCACAGGAACAACCATAGCCTCTCCCCAAGGTCAGTGAACGGTAGATGCTAGATCGTGAATTGACAACCGAATCCCTTCACACTAACTTCATCGAGATCCGGCCATTGATATGGCGCGAAAGTGACCATCCAAATTAATGGAATACGAGGCTGTTGAAGACATATCTATACTCTATTGTCAATCGAGGTAACTAAGTCGTCCACTCTGGAATTCAAGTCGATCGGTTTTCGAGACGTTAGGGGAAAAAAGAGAGTAGAAAACGCAATACATAAGTCAGACCCCACTGCTAGCACTGAAGTTATATCAATTCTCTTATGATACATGCAGCAAAGCTAGACAAATTCCTTCCTGCACACGGGACACGTCACCTCTAGTTCTTTGTCCGTCATCCACCCTAATATACATTCTGGATGAAACAGGTGGCCACATTTGAACTTGCATATCTGCTTCCCTGAGGAAAGTTCAAAACAGATGTTGCAGGGCTTTTCAGAGTCAACTGATCCATCTGGCGGAATCGATAGTGTCAAAGCTTCTATGTCATGTAGCTTGGACAGACAACTCATTTGGACATCTCGTATCAACTTCTGCACTGCTTGATTTTGACAATCATATGTCAAAGAACACCGTAGGCAGTTCGATGCTTGTTCCAACTGCTTTTTCTCAAAGTATACCCGAGCGCATCGATACAACGCTTTGACAAGCTTTGCGGGTTCGAGGTCGGCCGATGCTGAAGACATCATCTGCAATAATATCTCGTGCTCGTCGCCATTGAGGTTTCCAAGTTGCAACAAAGTTTGAACGATGTTTGACTGCAGATCAAATCGGATCCTCCTCCAAGGTATAGACTGCTGCACGTGTGCTGTAGATTCCAGGCCTGCCCTATATGAACGTACAGCATCTTCATATCTATTATTCCGATAGTAGGCATTTCCTTCTTCTTTTGACTTGGCGGCAAGACCTAGTGTTTGAATGTCTGGATCACTCATCCTCCAAAAAACAGCAATGAACGAGGTAGAAAGCTGGTTTGGTATTTCAGTAGCAAGTAGCCAGGGGCACATATGCAAGTAATTGAAATGAATTTTCTGTCAGGACGTGAGTCAATGCCAGGGGGCGCGGTCGCGCTAGTCCGTCACCGCCTTCACCGCTTCACTAAACATAGAAGCGAATGGGAGCTGATCCAAGGGCCAGTAAAGTATAGAGAAGGGCTGCACTCGAATACTCGAATAATTGGCTTTACAAATGTTCATTCGAATACAGTTTGTCTTAGTCCTGATTATACAATTCTGCGTGCACCCGTCGCCCGTGCTGTGTGTCTATTTTAGCTCGTAGACCCCTTCAAAATCCTCGAGCTCCGACGGTCACGAGTTCTGTCGAGAGTTATTAGCCAGAAACAAGTTCAACTCTTAATACAAAGCTATTAGGGAAGATAAGACTTTCATACACACTTAGCTAGAGCATCAGATCAGTATTAATCCAAAGGTGGGGTCCCTGCAACAATCCCCTTTATTTATAGCATAGTGCGGTGTTGGTATTGATCTAGCCGACCCTTTGATAGATTACCAATATTAAAAACAACACTATATGGGACTCCCAACTACCCTAAATTCTCGACATTACATGCACCCAATTTTTGGTTTCAGCCGACTTCCCAGAGATTCTGCCTCGCAGGGTCCGTGCACCAATTTTGTGATGATCAGGCGCTAAACAACCGGGGGATTGTTACAGGGACCCCCCCTTTGGATGTTCGGACCCCCCTTTACCTATTTAGACCCCCCCCTGCCTGAAATTGCCTAAAGATGCCTGAATATCACATGACTTTCTAGCATTATTTTTTTCTGCCAGACAAATTTCTGCATGTTGTTACGATCTGAAGATTGGATGCATGTTGTCACGTGATAGAGAGGTGGAATCGGCTTGTGATAGTGGTGCACCTATATGGTGCATCTCCTCTCTCTTTTCCTCTCTCTTTTCCTCTCTCTTTTCCTTTCTTCCCCATGTTTAGAATTCTCGTTAAATGCACTCTTTTTATCGAAGAATTGGCTCGTAACATATGTTTAAATTCTGGTTTACATAGTAAAAAATGCACTTTTAGTATCAGATAAACATGCTTATTTCTGCATAAGTGATGCCATTTATTCATACATAACGATCTTTTCTGCATTAAGCAGCTTCTCCAGCACCCTTATCAACCCTTAGTTTGAGCAGCCTTCTGCTTCGCGTTCCGCATTGGGCCTCGTCGCACAGCCCGAGCATCTCCAGCATCTCCATCATCCTCTGTATCCTCTGCATCCTCCGCACTTTGTCCTCGACCCCGATCTCGACCTCGACCTGTACCACGAGTAGCGCGAGGTACAACCTGAGAACCCTGAGCACGCCCACGACCTGCGCCACGACCTGCGCCGCGTACCTGCCCCCGGCTTGACTCCCATGACGATGGCTCTCGGTGAATGGACGTATCTTGGGTGGAAGGTTCGGTTGTAGCAGCAGTACTTGAAGGGAGATTGCGGGCGCCTCGTGGCCGCCCTCGTCGTCGTACACGGAGTGGATCCTGTATGAGAAGTAAGGGATCAATTGGGGGAGCGTCAACACTGTACAAGTGCCACTGCTGATGGAAGAGATCCGGTCCGATACGTCCGTTGTCCTTATCATTGTGTTCCTTAATGATATGGATACATGGAAAGCCAGATGTCTGTTTCGAATTGCAGTCGCATAACAGAGGGATCTCGGGTTTATCGTCACCAATTGGTAAGAACCGTGTGTATGTTTCCTTTGTGTATTCAATTGCCCGCACAGAGATCCGGCCATAAAGTAGTTGGTAAAGCGGTTCAGGCCTTCTCGCAGTCCGTCTCTTCTGATCATCAATTTTCTGCTTGATTTTCGAGAACTGTTCATCAACACTATGGTGGAAGCTGCGTAGCACAACGAGTAAATAATTGTTTGAGGCCTGGAGGCCAAGCTTAATAAGCCAATGAGCACTCTCAGCACGGGAGGTAGCGATCTCGTTTAAATGAAGATATTGTGCGGTGTGGACATGGAGGAATTTCTCTGGGCAGTCGTCGATCCATTCTGTCTGCAGATATTGAAGTAATGTCGCGAAAAGAGGGTCTGAATAACGATCTTTGAATGCCTGCCATGCGCGCTCGTATTGGGGGATAGTAGTGGCGTAAACTACTCGAATCCACCGGCGAAGCATAGTCTTCTATCCATCCTCAACCTTCTGACGGTCTTCTTTAGCTTGAGCAGGTGTACGGCGGCGGTTCGGTGCGGAGGGATCAAACCGAGCTTGTAAGACTTGTTCGGCAAGAAGAGGACGCGCAACCTTCATAATATTCATGTTGATATGCCAGAGACAGATCATATGTTTGGTTGTAGGGAAGATAGTCGTAATCGCATTGTAGAGGGCTCTCTCTTTATCGGTTAGAATCGTACAAGGATAAGGAGGATCAATTCTAGCTGCTTCGTATGCTTCGGCAAGACAAGAAAGCACAACTTCGTACGTATCCTCATGTTCATCACGCATAAAAGCAAAACCGACATGAAAGGTCTGTCCCGTAGCTGCGAAACCGACGATATCGAGTAAGGGTAGGCCATACCGATTTGTCTTGTAGGTACAATCCATAGAAAGAACCCAATGATTCTGCTTGAGCATTGCAACACTAGTTTTGTGCATACAGAAAAAGGTAGTAACATGATATTGATCGTCAATCTCGTATTTGAAAATCCATGAACCGTCTTTCGAGAGTTCCATAAGCAGCGCTTGGATTGGTGTACGGCACGCAAGAAACGTTTGATTCAAATTCACCCGGGCATTGTAGAGATCACGGGAAGTAAGGCAAGTGTCGGGATCGGCATCGCGAATCTCAATAAGGATTTGCCGGGTTGGGCGGCCTAGCCGGAGTGCAGTGTCGACCTCGGCCTTCTTATGTTTGAGTTCGAGAGCCCGTTGGACAGGATGGGTTGATGGTGGTGAGGGAGGATGGTTGTGCGATGGGTTCTCGATTGTAATATGCCAGAGATTTGATTGGAGATCTAGCCGTAAAGACATAGAGAAGGGGCATTCACATGCAACAGTAGTAGTATTTAGCCGTTTCTTATGAGGGGACCGATCATGATCACCACCCTGAGGCAGCCTCCGGCCACGGTCACAGATTAATCGAACTGTCTTCATGACCCCATGCTTTGTGGTTTTTGACCGACGTTTGGTGACTGCGTAACCATGGGGACGCGCGAAGGTGTTGATAGCAACCTTTCCTTCCTCAGCGGTTTGGTATGTCTGGTCGACTGGAGGTAGCGGGAATGTGTGGATCGACTGGGACTCGGCAGGGATCGTCGGCGAATCAGGGATCGGCTGGGAGGCAGCAGGTGGGTCAGGAACCATCGAACTCGGGTGTATCATTGGCTGAGAATCCGGGATGACGTCGGGGTCATCAGAATCCAGGTCATAAAGACCCAGGGAGGCCATAATGATAGAATGGATGATGGAATTAACGGTGAAACTGAGGATGGAACTGATGAAAAAATGATAGGAAATTGATGCAGAAAAATGGAAGGTTTGAAGGTGTAAACTACAATTCAAACATGGATTCCTTTTTTTACGGGTTGGGGTTTTGGGCGGGTTTTGGTAAGGCCTAATAAACCCGAATCAAGTAGTAAGAGTATGGCAGTATAGCTGATTTCGAAAACTACTGTATAATGACATTACTGTACAGTCGGACTGTACACCCTGGAAAAGTACTCTCACTCCCTTCCGGTTGAGACTATTGCGATATAAAATTACTGTGTGTACCGAGCGGGAACTAACCTCGGACCGATGGCGGACCCACCCGCGGGGGCTCCCGAGCCCCTTCCCACAAATACCCAAGAATCGACGTCCAGCCTCTCGGTTGAAGATTTCCAACCCAGAGTGACGGTCGGTTCGCTCGGTTCGCTCCCTGATAGCCGGAAGCGAACGCGAAGCGGCGATTCCTTCACGCCCTCGGAAAGCACTGGCCGGGTCACCACTAGAGAGGTGTGGAGGCTCATCGGCAGTCTGAAAGACATCATCCACCACCAAACCACGCTCATCGAAACGACTAAAGCCGAACTGCAGGAGGTCAAGCATGACCAGAATGTTCTTCGTGATCAGAATGAGAAGCTCCATGAAGAAGTCAGAGCGCTGCGAACACAAATCGAAACCCTCCCACAGGCGGCGCCGACCAGATCATGGGCCACAGTAGCGGCCAGCGGTGGCATCACTCCACCGCAACCGACTCACTAACGACCCGATAAAGATCAGAACTGCGTCAGAATCAGCACCCAGCGATCGTTGGTTGTCCCAACCGACAACGACAATAGCGGCCGAAACACCTTTGGCCGATACCTCCCCATAAATTCCGCCAACACCCATATCCGAGCCGCGCTATTGAGTGCTCCATCCACACAAGATGCTGAGGTTGCCGGGATCGGCACCACCAAGACCGGATACGTGGTCCGGTTCAAAAACCCAACGTCGGCCGAAGCGGCCCGCAACGACGCCGAATGGTTGAATGAGCTGGGAAACAGCACGAAGTTGGTCAAGCCACGATTCGGCGTTGTCGTCCACCGTACCCCGACCGAGGATTTCGACCTGAAAAATGCGAGCCCACAAGCTATTGAGAAAATCATGGACGAGAACGAACTGACGGAGCGAGGTTTCCGAATTGAGGAGGTGGCATGGCTCAAGAAGAAAGACAAGGAACTAGGGAAATTCGCATCGCTTGGTATTTGGTTCGATTCGGTGGGAGGTGCAGAATGGCTACTGGGAAATGGCCTCCTCGTCGGCCAGGGTTACATCGGCACGGTGGAACGCTGCGAGATCAAGAGGAAGAGATGCTTCCGCTGCCAACGATTCGGACATCTAGCATGGTCGTGTAAGGAGAAGCCGAGGTGCGGGCATTGCGCAGGCCAGCACGAACGGGAGCGATGCCCCCCAGGTGTGCGAGCCAGATGCCTCGACTGCAGTGGTGAACACCCAACCGGTGACCGTCAGTGTCCGACGCCCGCGACCTCCAACCCCTCCCAATGTTAGAGACAAATCTACGTGTACTACAGTTGAACATCATGAAATCGGGACCAAGGATGGAAGCGCTCATCAACGACCATCAGAGCCAGAACCTGGACGTCCTACTGATTCAGGAACCCTCCATCACCACCTATCACACACACGTCAGCCACAGCGCCTGGAGGCTGTACCGACCGACCGTCGAGAGTGAGGCTGTCCGTTTCCGCAGCCTGATCTACGTCAATCGAGGGGTGTCAACCTCTTCCCACCGACAGATACCGTGCAACCACCCAGACTTCACAGCAATCAAGATCTGGACAGCATACCAGCAGATTCTTATCTTTTCAGTCTACATCCCACCCGTGCCTATGCACAACCCCGATGGGACATCGGCAGAAACAACACTCACAGCCATCCAAAACACAATACAAAACGCCCTTCTGGACAGCCGGAAAGCAACGAGCATCGTGCTTTCCGGAGACTTTAACCGCCACCATCCCTCATGGGGCGGCAATCACATCCATCCGCGGTTTGTAGAGGACGCAAGCGAACTAATTAACTTCTTTCAAACCTAAGGCCTACACGGATGTCTCCCTCGAGGAACACCAACTTACTGGGCTTTGAACAATCCAGGGCAAAACTCGACCATCAATCAGACAGTGACAGTCAGACCGGATCTACTCATCAAATGCCACCTATATCACGACAATTATGGATCCGACCACCGTGCCACCTATTCAGAATGGAATCTTCAAGCCCAGCGTAGGCCAGCCGCAAAGGCGAAGAAGGGATACGACCGGGCAGACTGGGACAAGATCGCCAAGGAAGTGCTTCGACAGATAGGCCCATAGAAGGAAATCCAAACTAGACCAGCGCTAGATGAGGCTGTTGAAAGGCTCACGGAGGCGACTACGACGGCAGTCGACAGTCTCACGCCCGACTTACGACCGACACCATACTCAAAGCGATGGTTCACGCCGGACCTTAAAATCCAGCAGACCGAGGTTAATCACCTACGCCGAAAATGGCAGGATAGTTGCTCGGAGTTCGGGCGAGAACGCGACCAATCGGCGACCCTATTCCGAGAGATGCAACAGAAAAGATGAGCGTGGACTCGGACTATCGAGAAAGTCAAAGCGTCACATTGGAAAAGATTTATCGATGAAGCCGGGGAGGGAAAACTGTGGAAGGCTGCCACCTACATGAAACCGCGAGATGCCTGGGGTTGCATCCCAGCCCTACAAGACGGCACCAACGAATTCATTGACAATGAGGAGAAGGCGCAGGCCTTCTTAAACACTTTCTTCCCTGAGATGGATGACCCGCAAGAAGACCTACCGACCCAAGCACCCCTGGAACTCCCATGGCAACCAATCACCGAACTAGAACTTCAGCGATCTCTCCGAGTTGCGAAATGCTCTACGGCACCAGGTGAGGATGGCCTACCGTCGCTCGTGTGGAAACACCTGTGGAAGTATCTCAAGCAGTCTATCACCGGGATCTTCACCGCATCCATTAACCTGGGTTACCACCCGGAACGTTGGCGCAGGGCAAGGATCGTGGTGCTGCGAAAACCGGGGAAACCAGACTACTCAGCCCCTGGTGCATATTTACCTATCTCGCTCCTCAACACGCTAGGTAAACTTCTCGAGGCGGTGATGGCTAGACGACTATCGTATCTTGCCGAGAACCACGGACTATTACCAGACACCCAATTCGGCGGGCGTCCGGGAAGAACCACCGAACAAGCTCTCCTAATTATATCTAACGCCATCGATCGAGCGTGGAATCAGTACAAGGTAGTGACACTCGTGGCTTTCGACCTGCAAGGGGCCTTCAATGGCGTCAACAAAGCAAGCCTAGATTGCCGGCTCCGAGCCAGAAGAATCCCAAGCGCGGCTAGAAAATGGATCAGTAGCTTCATGAGCGACCGCCATGCCAGCATTGGTTTCGACGACTTTAGGACAGAGGTGGCACCACTATCGAATGCAGGGCTAGCGCAAGGGTCTCCCCTCTCGCCTATCCTATTCGCCTTCTTCAACTCAGATCTGGTCGACCAGGAAGTTACCTTCCACGGCGGCGCGTCGGCCTTCATTGATGACTATTTTCGATGGAGCGTAGGTAGATCAGCCGAGGACAATATTGCCAAGACCCAGTCCGAAGACATCCCCCGCATCGAAGCATGGGCCAGACAAACTGGTTCCCTTTTTGCTGCAGAGAAAACAGAGCTTATTCACCTAACCGGAAGATTGGCCAACAGCTTCAAGGCCACTTAGTCATGACCGGCAAGACGATCAAACCGACAACTACCGCCAAGCTGCTGGGTGTGATCTTCGATCAGAAGATGCGATGGAAGGAACACGTCCAGCAGGCAATCAAGCGCGCAACTCAAGTGAATGTTGCACTCGGTAGGCTACGGCACCTCCGCCCAGAACAGATGCGACAGCTTTATGGGGCCTGTGTCACCCCTGTACTAGACTACGCGTCGACTGTCTGGCACGACCCACTCGGAGACAAGACTCGCCTACGGCATCTGCGCACGGTGCAACGGACTGCACTCATTTGTATCCTATCGGCTTTCAGAACAGTAGCCACCTCAACACTCGAGATTGAAGCATATGTATTACCAACACATCTCCGACTGCGTCATCGCGCACAAAGCACCATCACGAGGCTTTACACACTCCCGAAGGACCACCCAATAAGGAGTACATTACAACGTGCCCAAAAACGAAGGAACAATATCGGGTCGTACTCTCGATTTCCACTCGCACAGGCACTGAAGGCAATGAACCTGGAAAGGTTGCAACATCTGGAAATGATTGACCCTAGACAGCGACCACCCTGGAGAACAGAGGCCTTTACAGAGATCGAGATTGAACCAGATAGAGAGATGGCAACACAGCGAGCTGAAGCCATTCAGTCTAACTCAGACATAGTCGCCTATTCGGATGCATCAGGGCGTCAAGGTCATCTAGGCGCCGCAGCCGTGATACTCAACAACAACCTAGAGGTGTCCAAGTTCTTACAATGCCAGGTCGGGCCTATGGATCGATGGTCTGTACACGTCGCTGAACTGATCGGGATCCTGCAAGCCATCAATCTTATCAACAAATTTGCTTTTGAGCACCGGCGGTCAACCGGTGAGCAATTCAGGCTGGCTACTATCCTCGGTTACAGCATCTCGGCGCTACAGGCAATCCAAAATCCGGGGAACAAATCGGGTCAACAGATTATCCATGCTATCCTACAGGCGGCTACGAACATAAAAACACACGGAGTTACCATTCGTCTCCAATGGATACCGGGGCATTGCGCAGCACCCGGGAACGATTCAGCGGACCGTTTGGCCAAAGAGGCAGCCATACCGGGCAAAACCCACACTTTCTGCCCCTTGCTGTCCCGAGAGAAAGCTTTCGTCCGCAACAACATCCACGCCCAGTGGGAAAAGGAATGGAAGGAGGCCGGAGAAGGCAGCTACCTCCGTACTATTGACAACGCACTACCTGCCAAGTACACCAGACGGCTCTACGGGCCTTTACCGAGGAATCGAGCCTACCTACTCTCACAGCTACGAACAGGACATTGCTGGCTGGCGACGTTTGCGAAGGCATTCCGCTTCCAGGACAATGACCGATGCGGCTGTGGCGACCGGGAAACACTGAAACACGTCCTATGGGACTGCCCTGATCTGCGTGAGTTGCGGCGGGAATTACGGGAGAAAGTCGGCGACGCGTTTAATAACGTGTCGAGCTTGCTAGGGGGTTCTCAAGAAGAAAGGAGAGGTCAGATATATCATGCCTCGTGAGCCAAGACGGTGGATGCTGTATTGGACTTCGCGGAGGCATCACAAAGATTCCGCAGTCGCGCGCCACGAGGGCAGCTTGACAATATTAACGGCAATTAGGCCACGAAAGGCCTTGGCGAGGCTCTAAGTTCGTTCCAGGAAGTGGCACACTTTACATGTACATACATGGATACATATAGTCGCTGTATATTGCATATCGCTTTGCGAGTTGGATCCCAGGTCACGTGATGTATATAGATCTATAGGAGTGGCTGCCTGTTAGGCAGACCCCATCCAAACATTTCTAATTTTCAATCGCCAGTGTCTCTACAACTAGTACGCTAGCCTTACTAAAATCAAATTGGGAGATAATGTACATGCTCTCTTATGACCGAGCAAATGTACAGATAAAACGGGGATGATTTGGACCCTGAACCCTAAAAGTTAGACTGAACCCAGGCGGGTCCCACTTTTTTTCTCCCATAGTAAAGCGAAACCCTAACAGCGAACTCCCAGAGTCCGCCACGCCCCGAGGGGTAGGTCATATTTCGACGGCGAATTTGACCCCCTGAACAAGCTCCGATGGCTTGGATAAGTTGATACTAGATAGAAATAACGCTTGTCAGACGGTAGAGAAACTTGGAGCTCATTTACATAAGAATTGCCGAAATAAAACCCATGTCACGGTAATTTCTATTCGGGACGTCAGCTTCAATCACGGATAACTTCATCGATCCCGGCTTGACCGAGAAGTGGAATACACCGTTCGATGACTCGCACGCAGGCCATTCGGATGGTGTATTGATGTTTGTGATAGAGAAGAGAAAATGGTGGTTGAATATGGTGGGTTTGAAAAACACGGTCGCGAAAACGCGGGTGTGGAGCCAGGAGCCCGGAGACTTCTGCGGTCCGACTGTACCTCGTGTTTCGGACAATAGTTCCTCCCTGGTCTAAAAATAAGCACATCATTAGTTAGGCTGATTACCAAGGTAAAACCTCCTATTCTTAAGGTAAGAGTCAGTCGTACAATAGGATATAGATATGTTCTGATCCTTAAGCCTGGTTGATAGGTTCATAAGTTCATCATGAATGGGATACAAGCTTTAGAAACCCTGGCTCGACGCACCTTCCAGGAAGCATACTCCGATCAGGCTTACAACGCGATGGCACGATCTCAAGCGTACTGGCGAGCAGTGTTTGGGATCCCCCGGCCTGCACTTTCTGACGAGGAGTTACATCAGCGAGAAGTTGAAGAAAGGCAAGCTTTAAAGACCCGACGCGACTTACAGAACCGAAACTCCGATCTGCTTCACAACATCGCGGCAATGCGTGAGATCCCCCGGCCTGCATATTCTGACGAGCAGCCACATCAGCTAGATGTCAAAAAAGTGCAAGATTTAGAGACCCAGGCTCGACGCTACTTACAGCAAGGATACTCCGATATGGCTCGCGGTGCGATGGCACAGGCTCAAGAGTGTTGGCGACCGGAGCTCGGGATCCCCCGGCCTGCATTTTCTGACGAGGAGTCCCATCAGCTAGATGTCAAAGAAATGCAACGTTTGGAGACCCAGGCTCGAGGCTACTTACAGAAAGGAGACCCCGATACGGCTCGCGGCACGATGGCACGAGCTCAAGAGTGTTGGTGACCGGAGCTCGGGATCCCCCAGCCTGCATTTTCTGACGAGGAGTCCCATCAGCTACATGTCAAAGAAGTGCAAGAATCAGAGACGCAGGCTCGATTCTACTTACAGGATGGACTCTCCGATCAGGCTTGCAACGCGATGGCACGAGCTCAAGCGTGCTGGCAAGCAGAGCTTGGGATCCCCCGTCCTGCATTTTCTGACGAGGAGTCCCATCAGCTAGATGTCAAAGAAGTGCAACGTTTGGAGACCCAGGCTCGACGCATCTCACAGCAAGAACACTCCGCCACGGCTCGCGACGCGATGGCACAAGCTCAAGCGTGTTGGCGACCGGAGCTCGGGATCCCCCGGCCTGCATTCTCTGACGAGGAGTCCCACCAGCTAGATGTCAAAGAAGTGCAACGTTTGGAGACCCAGGCTCGAGGCTACTTACAGGAAGGATGCTACGATATGGCTCGCAACAGGATGGCACGAGCTCAAACGTACTGGCGAGCAGAGCTTGGGATCCCCCGGCCTGCATTTTCTGACGAGGAGTCCCATCAGCTAGATGTCAAAGAAGTGCAACATTTGGAGACCCTGGCTCGAGGCTACTTACAGGAAGGAGACCACGATACGGCTCGCAACAGGATGGCACGAGCTCAAGCGTTCTGGCGAGCAGAGTTTGGGATCCCGCGACCTGCATTCTCTTTGGAGGAACAAAGACAGATTGAAAGTACACCTCCTTTCGCGCAGGATCTTACTTCCAGAGCAGCTCTCCATGGTTTGGCTCGAATTTTGGTAGTTTTAGAGGAAGATTGTGCGATATGCCTTGACACGATGAGCTTAGGCGAAATAGAAGCACAGGGTCCGTGTGGGCACATGTTTCACGACAAGTGCATCAGCAAATGGCTCATGGGGCAGAGCGCGTGCCCACTCTGTCGTCAACCATGCTAGGGAATTATTTGGGGTAATACTACTGGCAGAAGTGCTAGTGTCGGTGAAGTAAATTTTGTATCGGAATTCATAAGCTAGAGTTCATTATCGAACGAAATAAAAGCTCTCTATTTATTTATAGAAATTCCGGTAAAGGCGAATGCTAGAAGTACTGGTTAACTTAATCTATTGCAGTCAATACGAAACGCAAAACAGAACAATTGATAGCATAGATAAAAACCATATTGCGCCTCTTACTAGCGGTTGCTGCCTGCAATCTGCTGCTTAGGGCTGCGTGTATATTGTTTACTTATTGCTCGACTTTTTCTTCACATCGTGAACAAGCCCCTATCCCATGGGGGAGGGTGAACTGGGCCCCCAGTTGCATTAGGGTTTTGTTTTTTTGTATGGGAAAAGGAAAGTGGGTCCGGGCCCAGTTCAGTTAATTTTCACACCCCCAGTTCATTTAGCAGTTGGCGTCGGATCATACTATCCCATGGGGGTAAATTCAATGAGGCCCATTGAATTTATTAGGGTTTTGTTAAGTACCCGGTTCTTTGCCAAGCAACCCAACCCCCATTCGGGTGTTGGGTTACCACACCATAATACAAACTCTTGCTCAATGCAAATTTTAAAGAACGCACCAATTGTTTTTGTATTTTTCCCCCCCAACAACGCATATAAAAAATATAACAAAAATCCTAATAAATACTCAATTGCTATTTACATCCTCCATAGGTGGAATCCATGGAATAAATCGGGGTGCTGGTGTAGGAGATTCCTCTATAGCCGGCTGCTTTGCAATCCGCCGTTTCAACCTCTTCTTTTCTAGGGCTTGCTCTTTAGACTCCCGCGCCCGCATCATACGATTGGCATCGCCGGCAGTAAGGGGGCCCCCTATATTAAGCTGCCGCTTAGTTATAGGGGTTTCCCGGCTTACTTTATGTTCCAAAAGTGAGATATTGTCGGCAGCGAGTTGAGCGGCAAGCTCAGCTGAAATCCGTGCACTTCGGCATAGGAGCTTTGCTCGATGGCGGATAGAGGTATAAAGCTCACTATCTAGTAATTCGATCTCTGCCTCCAATTTCCGGGTACTCTCGTTTGTACGAGTGGTTCCACGGGGGGTGAATTGGTAATTGAGCTAGGAAATTCATCCTCTTCATCTTCACCAAAGATAACAAGATTATCACCATATTCTACCTCTTTTTCAAGAGGATCGAGCACCCTATGATACTCAAAAGGGGAAATGCCACAATTAGCAAATCCCGATTTAATTACACGGGGTGTAAGGGCATCGCGAACTCCCACAATTTCTCGAAAAAAATCCGATTTTCGATCGACAGATCCACCCCATTGAACAACAGTGTTGTTATTAGCCTGATAGCAATGCTTTAACGCTTGAAAAGGCTTGCTATCGAGCGGTTGGCAGAGATGGGTTGTATGGGGTATAAAGCAATAGGGTATAATGCCTTTTGCCGCTGCAAATTGGATAAATTCTGGCGTACGGTGGGAACCATGGTTATCCATCAACAATAGTCGTTTACCCCCTTTAGGAGTACGATCCTTTGTAGCCTCGTGGAAGGCAGAAATCCATTGAATAGCTATATCATTGGTAGTATACCCGCAAGGGGTAGTAACCAGAGTATAGTTACCCGGAAGGTTGGTCCCTTTATACCAATTCTCCATATGGTATTTGCCTTTAACTAGGAACCACGGTGCCATCTTCCAACCGTCGGCAGCAATACATTCAATGCCAGTAATACTCTCAGATACCCCCCCATTAGGGGAGTAAGCAGTCGGGCTTTTTGTAACCACTTTTTGAGCTTTTCCCTGGCCAATTTGGAAGCCGGTTTCGTCAAAGTTATAGATATCTCGCGGGCGTATTTCATTGCTTTGGATATACTGATTTAGTCGTTGATACCAAGCAGCAAGATACCCTATATTCTCGGCCTGCATCCTCTTCTTTTCCTTCGGTTTTTGCTTTAAAAAATGCATATGGTGGAGTGGTGGAATACGATTTAAAAACCGGTAAACCCAGTTTTTGTCAACCGGTGGTCGCGACGCGTCTTCTCGTAAGATCATAGCATTTGCACAGGCTTCCACCATCTTAGCGGTCGGTGGAGAGCAAGCATTATCTAGTAGATTGATCCAGCTGATTATAACTTGCTCTTGATCCCGGTTTAGGGTTGAATTGGCGGGCGGGCGCTTCGAACGAGATATGCGACCGTGAACCCTACCATAGAGGGTATGGTAAGGAACACCAAATTCCCGCGCCAATGGAGCGATTTTTGGTTTTTTACGCGTATGCCAGGCAGATAAAGCATTGCTAATACTATCTTCCAAATCTGGAGATTTTTTAGGCATGTTGGTGGGTAGTAAAATGGTAGTAAAAATGGTGTATTGCTTAAAATTTGCATTGAGCAAGAGTTTGTATTATGGTGTGGTAACCCAATACCCGAAAGGGGATTGGGTTGCTTGGCAAGAACCGGGTATGGGAAAAAAAGTGGGGACAGGGCCCATTGAATTTAAATTTCAAACCCCCATTGAATTTAGGAAGATAGGTTCGTAGAAATCCCAGATTTCGGTATGTTTTAAATAACGATTACATTTATTAGATAGCCGAATTTGAACCCAATCGGAGTATATTCAGGATTGATTTTGCCCGCCAGAAAGTTGATGGATTTTTTGATGGGGTAACCGCCAGACGCCGGTCGCGACCAGTTATTACCACCATCACAGCCAACCACCATAATAAGTTTAGCATTAGTTTTGTTTTTTTTTTTTTTCGGATTTCAGGGGTAGATTTCCAGATTCCCCAACATTATCCCATGTGATTTTAGAGCCCGTTCGAGCGACGTTGGAATTGTGCCATTCCCCAGATATACAATATCAGCCATTATATATATTTGCACATCCAACATGGACCGGGATTACCAGGCGCATGAATTATTTTGCGTTAATGCCGAGTTCCGGGTGTTGATTTGCCAGAAATGTCAATGTGCCGTGCGACAGGGCCAGGTCAAGACCCATTTGAGTAGTACCATGCATCGCATACCCAGTACATGGGCAGAGCATATCCAGAATATCATCCAGCAGTGGGATTGTATTGATGAGGAGCCCGAGGTGAACAGTTGGCCCCACCAGATTGATAAACCCATCCCGGAGTTGCCCATTTACGAGGATGGTATTTTATGCCAGCAATGCGAGGTGTACACATGCCGCCAGATCCGTACCATGAAGGCGCATTGGATCGAGACCCATGATTATCGTGTGCAGCAAGGCCGCGGCCGTCCCACGTCCACGCAGGCACAAATCATTCAGGCCACCATCACAGCCAATACCCGACCCGTTTCATGCCAACGGATATTCAGCCAAGGACCCGGTTCCCATTACATCCGTGTCGCGCAGCCAAATCCCAATGAGCCCCCCGAGGACCCCGTCGAAGATCCCGACCGTATTCGCCGGTTGATGCAAACGATTGAGGAGTATCAACAGCAAGACCAACAGGCCCATGAAACCGTCGTTCAGGCGGGGCATTTAGATGAAGCTACGCCATGGTTGAACCGGACGGGATGGGTGCGGTATTTACAAGGGACACCCCGGAAGCCATTGTTCGAGAGTATCCAACGCCCCGAGGAGGACGCCGAGGGACCCGAGCGCGCAGCATTGGCCATTTGGGAGGCCATGGAGCGATTGGCATCAGTGAGCCAGAAGATCGCCAAGGCGTGTGGGCATTTGTTGCGCATTGAAGTGGTCCGTACCATGAAGGACGAGAGCCCGCATAAGCCATTATTGGCATATTTAGATGCCACCGCCATCCAAAAGCACGTAGCACCATGGCAGCAGATTATGATGTTTTTTGCACGAACCCAGGTATGATCACGTCCATCCCGGAAATCCCGCGATACACCATTCCATATTACCATGGGCCATATTCCGGCGCACAGGCCCACCACATACCCAATGCCCGTTCCCATGATCTCCGGATATATTCCATGGGACACCACGATTGATTGACCATTCCAGATTGAACATAATTGGCAATCGCCCAAATATTCATTCACCCACCGCCAGCAGCATTTATGGGATGCCGTGTGGCATCATGCCCAAACCCATGCCAGTAGTCCCGACCCCGACGACGACGAACCCGAGCCATTTGAGATTCGTCCCATTGAACATGCATTGTTGAATTTTTGTATTGATTTGTTACGCCAGAAGATCCGCAACGATGAATATGGATGTGCCATGATTTGTGCCACCGCCGTGATTGGATGCGGGCAGTTTGATCTTCAAGAGACTCATGTGATATGCTAGATTCGGATCTACCTCCATGGTCAGCCTTGGCGTCATCAATAGAAAAGACGCTTTTTTTGAGAAATAATCGAGGTAGATAGTAACGGACCACTCTGTTCTCTGCATTTCGAGTTCGACATCCTCAAAAGTATGTTCTGAAATTTCAAACTGCTCTTAGATACTGGAAGTCTCTTATTTATGACCTAAACTCATGTTCTTATTTGGTATACCGCCATATGCCGAGATAATAGCGGTGTAGAAAACTTTTCTTCAAGTGCTTTTGCTTCGGATTACAAGAGCTCTTACAATGTATCTCTGGGCCAATTTGCTTGGTATCTCATGCATAGGACAGATAACTTGGTAGGTGGATATAAGACCTAGTATTGCATTTACTTCGCTAGACCACTTTCGATAGCGTAAGTCAGTATGGAAGATATACACTCTACTGGCTTTAATGTTTTCCGCATTGGTGGCCTCCCGCATTGGTGGCCTCCCGCATTGGTGGCCTCCCGAAATTTAGCCTGGCAGTTCGTATTGTACAAGTCGAACCTGCTGAAGCACACAAAAAGCTTGTTATGAGCCGATCTTACATCTAGCCTGGTTCTGACCATGCGGAACTCACGTCCTTTTTGTGAGCCCCCGCATCCGTGCTCATGTGATATCCGGCTTGTAACATTTCTACGGCTAGAAATGCCCTACGAAAGTTGAACGAGGGCAGGGTTCATGTTATTTCTCATTTACTGAAAGAAAAAGAAATCGTAGTTCAAATATTTACTTCCAACAGCACTACCTGAATCAAAAACGGTTCTTAAAGTAATAGCACTAAAGAATGGGGGTCCATGGGAAAGGGAGCGGAAAGCAGTGAGCGGCAATAAGCCAAGTGAATGACATTCAGCAAATGACATCAACCGTGGGTGGTCAGTGACAAGCAGTGGGAGAATATAATCAATCACGCATTGTGGCAATAGAAAATATTGCAGAGCTTAGTCGTGGGTTGACAGCTTTTCCAAGCTGGTCGTAGATATTTGATAACTGCCTGGCGCCTTGACTGTGAGTATCGTCTCATCCGAACCGTTTATACCTAGAGAAATAGGCTTTGGGGTCCGATCATGAGCGACTAGGCTTTATCTTGATTTGTTATTATTATTATTGGAATGCCTTGTTTAACAAAATAAGGGAGCACCTATATTGCTGTACTAAATCTTTCACTGAATATCACAACCTCAACTGGTCTAGTTGCCATGATCCCATTTCTCCATTAAATCATAAGCTCAAGAAATGTTCGGTATCGACTCTTGCGTTTTTTTTCTCCATCGTTTTCTTGAAACAGCTTGCTAATCACTCATGTGGTTTTATAGTAGCGCTTGCCCTTTGTCGTCTATCGCTGAAGCCGTTGCTGTATTTCTACGCAGTTCAAGAATACCCTACGGTGAACCAGAGGAGAGCATATAAGCCTTCGACAGTGTTGCACATTCAAGTACAACCACTAATTAAAACCTCTAAACTTTTTACGTGACCTACTTGTAAGCTATATTACCACACCCAACACGAATAAACGATTTGAGAGGGGTTCGTTTGCGAATCACCTTGTTGGTTTTGACTTCTCTGAATGTTTTAAATGAAAGCCTATCCAACCAAGAGCCCGACAAGAAAGAACCCGCCGTTTTGCTCTACATTCGCAGATAATGACGTCCAATCCACAAATGGTTGGCCCGACCTTTTACCAATATCAGACCCATGGAGCGCACCAGTGTGGGGCGGCGAGGGCCAAGCAGGTTAGTGGCTAATTTATTCCGAGCGAGATATAACTGACCTCCAGGGCTATAGGCCTGTGATTAATGCCCGGCTAAAAAGGTCAAGCGTGATGAGGAACGACCAAATTGTAGCTACTGCAGACAAAACTATTTGATCTGTGTTTATAAAGAGGTGTCGCCGCACAAGAAAGACAAGTCTACTTGAACTTTGCTGGACCGTTTCACGGTGATGGAGCACCGCTTGAGAGCCCAAACGTGGGTGCTACAAAAGGCCCAGCTAAGCCACCAGCAAACGGTGCACCAGTTGTCTGCCCAACAGAACCACCAAACCAGTTTTACAAGCCCATTCAAGGTACTCAGGAACATTCCGGTACCCTCGTATCTCCCCCCAGACAAGGCGAGCTACTGACTCATCTTACAGGTACGAGTTTATTAGAATCCGGGAGACAAGGAGTGGCTGTTTCGAACTATGGTCAAAGTCTTGGCCCTATGGATCCAACCCACGTCGGCTCGAAGCCTGAGGCTGAATATGAGCTTTCAATCTCCGTTGAACACACTACCGAGGCTCACAAGCTGTTGATGTGGCCTTAATTTAGCACGTGCTATTCTTAGAGGAATACGACGGGGATTATGTGATGCAGTTGGAAGAAGAGGGCGTTCTTCTTAGCATCTACGCTCATGGTGAGATCTCGGATACTCTGGACAACAGCCAATTACCATTGAATGGTGGGCTTTGCAGCAAACGATCTTATGGAGTCGGCATGGGGCTTAACAGAGACGTCGATGCTGATATGCTTGGTAACATGAAGCTGGATGGTGTCACAGCTCAACCCTACTTTGAGAGCTACTGCAACATGTATAAGCCAGGACCGAAGTCCTGATTTTTTTGGGCTGGGATTCCGGCCCCTTTTATATTTTTTTCGGCTACGTCTCTACCAAGAAACCGGTTGCGCAGATGGTAGCGAGAATCACTGTCTCGTTGATAGGCGTTAAAGCGAGTCAAACGACGTTGAAATGGTGTTTGGAGATTTTGTGGCCTACAAACTCAAGTTTCAACCTGAATTCATTGCTTTCAAAACCTGCGTTGAGCGTGGTGAAGCACATTCATCAACTGTTGAAAAGACAGTAACGCAAAAATATGATCCCTACATATCATTGAGTTTGTAATTAAATCGCTTAACGTGGTGGCACTCTACATTTGCCTGTTCTAGCTACGGCCACCGTCTCTTTCATGAGGGTTGAAGTGCTTCAACAGATGCCGAACTAATGGGTTGGAGACTTTTTGGCCGACAGAAACGCTGAGCTGTACCTGCGGTTGGCCGGAGGACCCTTTGGTCTCGCTAGAATCAATCCTGTTCATCCTTGGCCCCGCGCCGCTGATTTGTTGTTCCTTTCCTGTCTACTCGCTGCCAGCTAATGTTGCCTTTACTAGAATCTCTACTCTCTGGCCGCGCAGGCACTGACATACTCTTAAACTCAGTATGAAGATTGTCTTTCTTTGGGAAGGCATAATCAAAGTTTAGACCTCATTGGAAAACATTCTATAGGAAACCGAGCCTAGTTTTTAGGATAGCCATGTGCGTTGTTGCAACCAAGGCTCACGAGCTAGGTTCTCGTGATCGCCACCCCCTCGCAAGATTGCAACGCTACTATCACACTGATGAGACCCTGAATACAAATAGCACCCGACGGACCAATCAAACACCATGCGTGAATTTAGACAGACGCAGGTAAGGGTTTGCGATGCAGATCCCAGGGACGACCCTCAGGACAGTATATCAAGGAGGTTCTGTTTGTGGCCCGGAGAAGAGATTGGAAGGATTTGCAAAGGTCCGGACACAATCCACAAACCAAACTTGACGGCCCTCAGCCTGCGAATGGAACATGTCTTTGTTGCTTAGGAGGCACTGCTGGGGCAGGTGAGTATTTGGAATATCACACACACTTTGGCGACAGAATGGTAGGCTAAAACCCGATCCGTGGTTGTGTTCTCCTGGTTGCTCTCACAAGAGAGTAAGTTCCCCTGTCAAGTGGCAAGCTGCTCTTTGTCTATCCGGTGTGTAGAACGTTCTAGAAGCTATATATTCTGTCCTGCATGAACCTTCCTCGTTGTAAGTATACTCTCTTTGGGCCCGACACTTCCTCTCTCGATATGCTCAAATTCCACCGTCATTCCAATAATTTTAGCAGACAGCTTGTAAAAATCTGTGCCAATTATGAACAGACCACATGAACTTATGTAAGAATGTCTCCGGTTTTTGCACTAAAAGCCGAGAGACCGATTGGCTTCGGACATGGCAGGAGTCGTCGTTGTGGGCCGGCCCTGCGGTCCACGAAGTTTATTCCAAGTACCCAGCACATCGTGACCATGACTCTGGCGTTAGAGAAAATTCTAACACAGTTATAGTCGTTAAAATATCCTGTTAAAATATGCTATATATATTTTAACAGGCCGAGATTGTGATGAGTGTGGCCAATCTTCTTCTAGACCTTAAAGTTCATTGAGTTGGTGGATTAGAAGCCTGTAGATAAGCTTTCGATTAAATTCAATCTTAAATCCCACGTGAAGATGCTGCTGAAAATCTGCTCTCGCAATCATATGTGACTTTGTCTTCTGCTTGCCCGTCGATGAAACTTGAGGACGCCGAAAGCATATTCCACGAAGTAGAGTACATGAATGAGCACGATCCGTTTAGAGACCCTTCCCTGCGTCTTGTTGGCCTTGGCGTTTCTAAAAAGACTGGCCTGCTCCATTTTGCAATATCCAGGGGGTTTGAAATCGTTCTATGGGTGTCATGGGCCCAGGCCTCAGGCTGTGGGACATAAAAACATTTCGTTCAGTGACATATGGCATATTGCGTCGGATCCAGAGGTTTTTGTGGCTCTCTAAAGTGAAATGCGAGGTTTCCATTGGAGGCAAAAAGTTCTAGATCAGCCATTTGTGCACGCTCTTGACCTTGTGCACGGCTTTTCAGCGAGCTTGGTGATCTAAGCATAGATCCTGAAGAAGTTTTCTGAATCACTCGTGATGATGACGTAATTGGTGGCTGTGCCGTCAGCTTCGAGGGAATCCCAGCAGATGGGCCATCCAACGAATTAGTCCTGTCTTTGAAATAGTGAGAATCATTCTGACTAGTACTTATGTCGGGATTGATGCTTGGATTTAGTGTTTCAGTCAACTTACGCATCTCTTCTAAATATGCAGCTTTCGGAAGTTGGCTGTCGGGAACGAACATTGGATTGGGGACATGACTCTGCAAGGGAATTCCCTCAATCATAGATGGCCGTATCCTCCGTTTAGTTGTCGATGAGAAGCCGCGAGGATTGCGAAAGAAGTTACACGATTTTTCTAACCGAAGGCAATTTTCACAGCGTCCGTGCTCATCATGTTCGTCAACACGGCATCGAACCTTCCGCCTTCGGCAATGTTCTACCAAAGACGATATATTAGTCAAGGGTGGAAGAAAAGAGATTGATGTGAATAAAAAAAAAAAAAAATCAATCCTGAAGAATCAGAACGGAGTTCCTCGCTGACAGATTCTTGCAATAACCCAAAGTGTGGAAGGCACTTACCACAAGCAACAATAATCCGATGATATCCCAATTTTGGGCTTTGGTTTATCATCATCTCCACGATTCCTCAGCGAAATTTCAATCCTCTGGGCTGATAAAATGGATGAACGAGAGCTTGTTTTAACACATGTACCTCGAGAGTGCTGTGTGAATTTATAATCATCTGAAAAGGATGTCAAGGATATGTGGAGTTGGATACCCACGGTACTTGTACTATTTTCAGTCAATTGAGTCGTCTCTGTTTATTTGTCGAGTTGTGTTTTAATTTGTAAGAAGAATGCGCCCTTGCCTCCCAGTGATAGGTAAACCTGTGAGAGGTATGTGACTGGCTCGCATCGTCATTCTTCCGCACTCAACTGGTCTAAACCCAATTGAGAACCTCTGGGCGTTAATGAGGGCTGAGATCTATAGGCTTCGTCCTGATCTTATTCATATGGAAAATAGTGAGCAGACAAAGGCTATTTGGTAGCTACAGCACAGCTTGCACGGGACCAATGAATCCTAGAGCACCTAAAGCATCTCTGAGACGTTGCCGCATCGGGTGCAGGCAATTCTTGATAGTCAGGGATGGAATACACCGTGCCAGTTTAATAGCTTGAGTTTTCAAACCCGGCAGAATGTTACATGCTTTATTCTCAATACTCTATCCTCAACGATCTGCCTCTCAACTGTACCGTTGCTCATCAGTTTTTACTATGTTTTAAGTCCTGCGATATCGAGGGACGATGCCAGGCAGAGCACCGAATAGCTATATGCCGAAGTATTAGGCTATTCATGAGTGTTGTGATATGAGGCTGGTGTAGCTAAGGAACAAAGTCGCACCATCCGAAATATTTTTGGAGGTGGCTATATGAAGAAGCAAGTTGATTGAAAATCAACTTGAAGCTCATGCTGTATATATGACCTCGCGTATTCCTTCTAGAATGGACCAAGGAATTCTTCTGAATTAGAAAGATGACCCAAGCCATAATCAAGTGAAGAGTTACTAAAGTTCCAGAAGTATACGCAAGTAAGGATGTATGAGGGAAGACGAAGAACTAAACTAGATACACCATAACTGTCCTTATGACCTCATCAATAACGAAGGAAGTAGACTTTGATTTACTTCGCCAATAGTTGCAAACAAAGCATCAACAGGAAAATGGAGTTCATGTTGACCGATATCTCCCAATCTTCAAGACACTTAGAGTTCGACTGTCGTTCCGATTTGTGTATCATTTGCACTACAGTGACATTTTTCCTTAATAAAAAGCTTGACCATGTGGAAATAGCCTTCCATATATCCAAACAAAGATCCCTACTACTCAGACTTTTGATTTGCGTGGTATTCGGGTTCCATTTCTCCAGTCGCTCTTTGACCTTTTGGATATCTTTGATGTTGTAACTTATGCGTCGGTCAGCTCTGATAGCGAAATCAATTTTTGCACCTTTTTCGAGCAAGTATGAGGCCACATTTTTATGTCCATATATTGCTGCAGCGAAAATGGGAGTGCCGTATTCGCTCACTTCAATGCCGACATCGGCACCTTTATTTATAAGCAACCTTGCCATATTAAGATCCCCCTCAATCGCGGCAGACAGTAGAGAATTTCCAGTTCCAGAGAAATTCACGTCGGCGTTGTTTTCTAGCAGGAAGTTTACCATTTCATGACTTTTATTTTGAACAGCGGCTTCAAGAGGGCATCCGTATATAGAAGACTCTACATTCACCATAGCACCGTGTTTTAGTAAAGTATTGGCAATTTCGATATTCCCGCCACGAACAGCATATACCAAGGCAGGCCCGTAGGAATCGTCTTGGTAATTCACGTATGCTCCGTTTCCAAGTAGCGCATTGACTCGGGCTCCGTTACGGCTCTCAGCAGCCATGCAGAGCGCCTTGTGAACCTCTGGACCCCGATATTCGGGTTTTACAAGACGCTCAAATAACTCTTCCGCTACCTCAATGAACCCATTGTTCCATGCAATGTCGAGGGGGGTCTCATAAACTCCGCTGCGCATTCTCTTGGCCTCCGGATCTGCACCATGTTCTAGAAGTAATCTCACTGTCTCGCGACAATTTCCCCTGGATGCCAACAAAAGTGCATTTCCGTGACGAAATATCTCCCTTGTTGTCTCGACATTGTGGTTCTTTTCAAGCAGGCGCTTGACCAATTTTGGATCACCTATGTGGGAGGCAGCTTCCAAAGCAGTGTGGTATGGCTTTGGTGCGACGTTGATATCATCCACAGAGTTGAAATGATTCAATACGGCTTGTTTATATTGGTCGGAAATTGGCTGGTCGAACAAGCAATCGGCAGGAGACTGATACTCGGTTCATCATGAATATGTGAGAGAGCTGTAGATTTCGTTAGGGTCATGCGAACCAGCTTATTTGTATTTAACACTGAAGCTTCTCGATACTGTATGAGAATCTCGTAATGACGTTCTATATTGAGCGTCAGTTGTCTTAGGTATTAACTTTCGTTTTTTTTTCCTACTTGGATTGTGTCTATAAACAGCATGCCCATTCGTTTAGTTACTAAGACATTGATACATCAGCACCCCCTGTAGTGACTGCGATTATCCCCGTTGGGCTATTCTTCTTTTTATCTAAGTTTCATTTTTAGATATTACTTAGTCTTGTCATTGCCATTTTTGTACCATTATTGTCGACCGATGCGTCTTGCATCCAAATCTTAAAACGGTGCGCCATCGAGGCGGTAGAATTAGGCATCGGTAACTCCAAATCACACCCGGTGATTATTAATGAATCTATCAAAGAAAGGGAGGAGGCGAAATCGCCAGGAGATAACTAGACATATTTTTTAACCAACTGTCAACAGGTACAATATGTGTTTGTGTGTGTGATTCATTTACGCCGACCTCTCGTCGAAGTTGGATTCTAAACCACAACCCACTAGGCTGGGTACGGATTCGTATTTTGGTCTAGTGGTCAAATCAACTGTCGAAACGATAGACAGCCTACCACTACTATATATATCCTCCTATGTACATGTATCGTGTACCACTTCCTAAGCGAACTTAGAGCCTCGCCTGTGCCGTCGTTATATTCATGCTGCCCTCATAGCGCGCGGCTTTGAAACCGTTGCGATGCTCCGACTTGCTGTCACTGAGGATAGTGGCAGATCTCACCCGCGTATGGGATGTTCTCCAGTGTCGGAGAGCGATCTTGTTGATGATGTTGATGGCGTACAGGATGCCAACCAACTCGGTGGCATGTACGGACCATCGATCCATGGGCCCAACCTGCACTTGTATGCTGTCGATTATTTCCAGTGAGCCATTCAGCACGGCCGCTGCGGCGCCCAAATGACCGTGTCGTCCCGAGGCATCTGAGTATACCACGATGTCGGCGGTTGCTTGTGCAGTCTCGGCTCTTTCTATCGCGAGCTCCTTGTCTGATTCAATCTCGATTTCCGAGAAGGCTTCTTTTTGCCATGGGGGTAGCGGGTTGGGTCAATCATTTCGATTTCCTGTAGTCTCTCTAGGTTCATAGTTTTCAAGGCTTCTGATAGCGGGAACCGAGCGAACGATCCACGATTTTTGCGTCTTCCCTGGGCCCGACGTAGGGCGCTCCATATGGGATGTTTTTAGGGTAGGCTATGCAGTCTAGTGATGGTATTTTGTGCATAGTAGCGCAGACGAAGGTGAGTTGGCAGTACGTGTGCTTCTACGTCAAGGGTGGCTGTTGCAACCGTTCGAAAGGCAGATAGGGCGCGGATAAGAGCCGCCCGTTGCACAGTACGGATGTGTCGTAGATGGGTCTTGTCTCGAAGTGGATCATGCCAGACGGTCGAGGCGTAGTCGACAACCGGTGCGACGCACGCTTCGTGGAGATGTCGCATTTGCTCCGGGCGGAGCTGTCGCAATCTCCCAAGCGCGATATTGACCTTGGTGGCTCATTTGACGGCTTGCTGTACGTGTTCCTTCCATCGAAGCTCATGATCGAAGATCACTCCCAAAATTTTGGCGGTCGTAGATGGCTTGATAGCATTGCTATTCATGGTAAGCTGGCCCTGACTCTGTTCTTTCCTCTTCCAGGTAATATGAATAAGTTCGGTCTTTCTGCGGCGAAGCAGGACCCAGTTCGCCGGGCCCAAGTTTCGATCCGGGGTATGCTGTCGCACTGGATTTTGGCCAAGTTCACTACGGCGCTCCAGCCAACTCGCCAGCGGAAGTAGTCGTCGATGAAGGCGGATGCCCCACCGTGAAATTCGACCGGCTGGTCGACCAGATCGCAATTGAAGAATGCAAAGAGGATAGGTGACAGCGGAGAGCCTTGCGCGAGCCCGGAATTGTCTAGCGGTACCACCTTGGTTTGGTAATCGTCGAACCCAATGCTAGCCTGGCGCCCGCTCATGAAGCTCGCAATCCATGTTCGCGCTACAGAGGGGATACCCTTGGACTGGAGGCGAATATCCAGGTTTGTCTTATTCACTCTATTAAAAGCTCACTTCAGGTCAAAGGCCACCAGCGTGACGACCTTCTGCCTGTACCACGCCCGGTCAATTGCGTTAACAAGCATCAGGAGGGCTTGCTCGGTTGTTCGTCCCGGGCGTCCTCCGAACTGAGTATCCGGTAGGAGACCGTAATGCTCCGCGAAGAAGGACAGCCGTCGGGCCATCACCGCTTCCAATAATTTGCCGAGTGATCAAGTAGCGAGATCGGGCGGTACGCTCCAGGGAGCGAGTAGACTGGCTTCCCGGGCTTCCGCAGGACTACGATTCGCGCGTTTCTCCATCGCTGTGGGTGGTATCCTAGTTCAATCGACGATGTGAAAATCCGAGTGATGATGTTTCCGAGATATCTCCAGAGACGTTTCTAGATCAACGTGGGCAGGCCGTCTTCGCCTGGTGCTGTTGTGCCTTTGGAAGCCTTGAGAGATCGATAAGGTTCAATCTGGGAGATTGCATGCCATCGGATCTCGGTTGGGTCGTGAACGGGTGCTTCCTCTTGCGCAGGCGCCATAGATGGGAAGAACGAGCCCATGAACGCCTGAGCTTTCTCCGCGTTGTCAACTAGCTCCTTATCGCCAACCTTGAGGGCGGGAACGCAGCCCCAGGAGTCTTGTGGTTTCATGTACGTCGCTGCCTTCCATAATTTCCCTTCACCTGCTTCGTCGAGGAACTGCTTCCAATGGGATGTCTTAGCAGTACAGTAGAATTCGAAAACAGTTTACCCCCACGACACTCACGCTTTGTTTCTCGGCCCGTACAGGAAACCACGCTAAGCCAAGCCATGTTGATAGTGCGAAATACTCCATATCTAAGAATAGATCTTTGTCAGAGCATGGAGTGGTATCTTACCACTAGCAAAGCGATTGGTTACCCAGGAACCCACATTTCCTTGTGTTTTGTATGGTAAATTGTTTCAATTGGCAATCTCGGTATAATAACCACCGAGTATGGTCACGTTCCGAGGGTATTTCAACCTGCCCTCGACCGCATGTTTTCTAATTAATCAATCATTCTATTTATCCTGAATTGGTTCCGCTTGATCTCATTCGTCCTGAATGCATACTAGTCCATACAATTTTAGCTTGTTTTGACAGTTATGAGCCCGGTTGCACGCTGGTAACTCACTGGATAGCACGCATCAGTTCGCCACTGCTTTCCACCAGCGCGAGTCTTCTTGCGAACTCCTGAACGGACGCTGATCGCTGAATCGATCCGCTCCGAAGGGCCACAAGTCCTGATCAACGAAGACCCCGAATAGCCCTGATTTATATGCGAATATGGCGACTTCGGAGGGAGGTCAAGCGTTAAGTGCAGTCCCCTGGGACCAACGGCTGCGGTCGGAGGCCCAGTGGAGGGTTTGGATAAGCCACATCGAGTCTGCGGCAACGGCGGAGGAGGTCTGGGAATACATGGACCCCGATCTGTCAGATGAGAAGGTCAGCAAGCCGCCAGTGGACTCGAGAAAGACATTCCCTCAAGCAAGCGAGGTCAAAGAGGGCGCTACAGACCCGTCAGATCTCGATGAGGTTCAATATCTCCGGTTCAGCCGCATGGTATCTCTCTTTGAGAAGGAAAGGACCTTCAACAACTCTATCAAGAAGAGTATCGCCCGAATCAACGCCCGTATCCTCGACTGTGTGTCCCCCGAATATCACCATATCCTCTCTGATAAGAAGACTGCAAGAGAGAAGCTAGTGAGACTAGCTCAGCAGTTCAAACCGAAAGGAGAGACTCGACACCAAGATCTCCGTAACGCATGGCGCTATATGCTTCATACCCCGATAGGCAAGACGTCGATTGAACGATGGTTGACTAATTGGTCGAATCTGTATGATGAAGCAAAGTCAGCAGAAGTGCCTGATATCTGTTACCGCAGCACCGCTCATCCAGAGGACCGTACTGCTATCAGAGACTTCCTCCAAGCTGTTCAACCTCAAGATAGCTACTTCAGTAACCACTGGAGGGATAAGATTCAGCTTCCTGAAGTCAAGATGAGCTTTCATGAGGTTCTCTCAGCGTATCGAACTCATCGGAGCGTTCAGGAACAGTCGAAGAAAGGTAATTCGAGCGCGATTGCGTTTGCAGCGACGTTGAACGGTCAACAGGTCTTATCAAATCAGAAGAACCATCAGCAACGCTGCGTATGCGGGAGTTCAAGGCACCATTGGAAGGACTGCTACCATATCAACGCATCAAAGAGACCACCAGGCTGGCAGCAGTACGAGGGATCTCGTAAGAGAGTGGAAGATGGTATCAAGAAGCTAAGCGCTGTGGAACAACAGGAGATCGCGAAGATGAGAAGTGAAACGTCGTCGCTAGGAAAGACCGCTCAGTTAGCAATCACAAACGAGAGCGACGTACCAATTGAATCAATGGCCTTCTTCTCCGCCAGCATCTCCCCTGCTGTGTGTAACGCTGCAATGGTATTCCCGTTGAAAAGCAGCTGGATTGTGGACTCAGGAGCCAACGTTCACATCTGCAACCGCCGAGATCGCTTCGAAGACCTCGTGGAAGAGCGTCGTACCGTCACTCTCGGCACTGGAGGAACTATCACACTCGGTAGAGGCACTGCGAAAGTCATCATCAAGAATCCAACCACCGGCAAGATTCTCTGGGGTATCTTACAAGACGTTTGGTACGCACCAGACTTCCAGACGAACGTTATCTCAGTCTCTGAGATCAAGAAGAACGGCTTCTTCTTCAATAGCGAGCTGCCAGCGATCACTAGAGACGGAAAAGCGGTTGCAATATGCGGGGAGCAGTATGGATTGTACTTGCTAGAGCATTACCGCAACGGAAAGCCTGCTCTGCTCCCTCCAGCTGCTTTCCCTGCCCTTAAAACCTCTGCAAAACCTCTCGTATCCGTCGCGTCACCTCAAATCTGGCACCGAAGGCTTGCCCACATGTATGATCGACGTGTTGAGACGCTTGCAGGAATGGTAGACGGTATGGAGATTAAGGGAGAATCAGAGGATAACGCACAGTGCAATCCTGAGAGATGTGAGGTCTGTCAGCTTACCAGAGCCAAGCGGCAGATCTCTCGAAGACCGGCAGAACGGTCACATACCTTTGGCAAGTTTGGAAGACTGCATTTTGATTTAGTGCAGTTAGATGAAGCTTATAATGGCCACAAATGGATCTCTCACCTATATGTGGAAGGAATCAGGCTTCATATGAGTCAATCTCATGAGAAGAAGAGCGGCTGCGTTGATGCTATCATCAAGTTCATCGCAATCTGCCGTAATCAGCTAAGAATGCCCATCAACGTCTTCAAAAGCGATAATGAGAAGACCCTCGGCCGTACCATCAAGGAGTACTGCGAGGAGGAGGGTATATCAGCAGAGTTCAGTGTTGTTGGAACGCCTGAACAGAACGGATTCATCGAGAGAGCAGGAGGTATCATCATCACCACCGCAAGAGCTCTGATACTCGATTCAGGCCTTCCGAAGAAGCTTTGGCCAGAAGCAGTGCGTGCGGCCGTCTATCTGATCAATCGGACGCCCACCACGCTGCAGAACGGTCAGCAAATCATCCCATGGGTTGAAGCCATGAGGAATCAATCAAATAAATCAGATCTGCGTCCAAACCTCTCAAATCTCAGGTTATATGGATGTAGAGCGTATGTTCGCCGTCAAGGGATTCCACAGAAGGATAAGATGGCTCCGCGCGCAGATATCGGATATTTGGTGGGATTCGTCGCATCAAACATCTGGAGAGTGTGGTTTCCGCATCTTGATACCGTCAGAGAGGTTAGAGACGTCGTATTCGATGAGAACGTTCGATTTGACCCGAAAGAAGTAGAGAAACCACCTATCAGAGACATTCTTGCGGCTATGCCTTGGTCAGTAGGTGAATATGAAGAGGAGAGAGTGGTGACCGGCCTAGAAGAACTCACATTGACCTCACCCGTGACCGAGCGTCGAGAAGAGGACAGGAAGATTGAGCAGGGTGCCTCAAAAGCTAGCAAGCAGCAGACATGGCATTCTCCTGCTCCTGTCCTGGTAACGCCATCACCGACTATCTCACGTGATTCAACGCCAGTAGCGGCGCCAGCAGGCTCATTACCAGGAGCCTTCCCGGAGGAGAGACGAGTCATAGGGCCTCCAGTCTCCTCTAATCACCTCGAAGCTGAGGGGGTGAGAGAACTGAATCAACTAGGAGAACCTGATCAACAGCTTCAGGGTGATCTTCAAGCAGTAGTATCAACTCCAGCGACCCCAGACGTCTCTGAATCAACCGTGCCAGTAGGATATCGTCGTCGCGGTTCTCTCGCACCAAGGGATATCAATGCATCAATCTCTGAGAGCAATATCGTGACAAGTAAGCGGAAGAGGGCGTATTTCGCATCGGTTGCATCAATGGACAACTCGCAGGACCTGGAAGACTATCATGAAGGTCTTCTATTAGCGTTTACTACAGGAATGAGCTCTCCGCAAGCTTACCAGCGTCCTCATCGCGACGATCTGCCTCCTGAGCCCTCGAACTGGTTAGAGATGATGAGACATCCTCATAGAGATGCGTTCGTTGAAGCTGCTGCGTTGGAAGTAAAGACGCTGGAGAAGAAAGGAACTTACCAGGAAGTTGATCGTCCTACCGATCAAAGCGTTCAGATCCTACCGCTGACATGGGTGTTCACATACAAATTCGACAGCAACGGCCTATTGGTGAAGCACAAGGCACGAATCTGTGTTCGAGGTGACCTCCAGACGATGTCAACAGAGGAGAAATACTCAGCAACGCTTGCAGTACGCACTGCGAGAGCTATCTTCGCTCTAGCCGCCGCATTTGACCTCGATACAGCTCAGTTTGACGCCATCAACGCATTTCTGAACAGTCACTTGGATGAGGAAGTATATGTGGAACTGCCTCCTGGACTGTTCCCAGCCGGGCGAAGAACAAGATGTTGGAAACTCTTAAGAGCGCTATACGGCCTCAGGAAGTCACCAAGGCTCTGGCAGCAAGAGGCATCGAGAGTTTTAACCTCCTTAGGATTCAAGGTCGTCCAAGAAGACATCTGTCTATTCGTCACCGACGGAATCATTGTGATCTTTTATGTGGATGATATCATCATCTTCAACCATCCGTCTAACCGCCAACAGGCCGCTGATGTCGCCAAGAGGCTTAATGAGGCTTGGGAGCTTCGATCAATGGGTGAAGCACAATGGTTTCTCGGCATCCGGATCGTTCGGAACCGTCAACAGGGCGCATTATGGCTCTGTCAAGATGCCTACGTCTCAACCATGGCTAACAAGTATCATTTAACGAGGGAGAAACGCCTCGAAGTTCCTCCAGTCTCTATCACTAACCTGAAGCCGTTTACCGGGACAGCTACTGGCGAGCAGAAGCACGAGTTCTCAGCCAAGGTCGGATCAGCTCAATATGTAACGACGATTACCCGACCGGACGTAGCGAAAGCAACCTCGCATTTGGCTCAATTCCTATCGAATCCTTCTCCAGATCACATCAACGCAATCAATCAAGTGATCATCTATCTATATCACACGCGGACAAGAGCGATCTGCTACCGAAGACCCTCTAAATCAATCCCACAAGCTGTTCAGTTCTTCAGCGACGCATCATATGGAGATAACCATGATCGGAGGAGCTCCTCGGGATATATCTGCCTGATATTCGGCGGACCGGTAGACTGGAGAGCTACCAAGCAGAAGACGGTGACCACCAGCACCACCGAAGCCGAACTACTAGCGATATCCGAAGCAGGCAAATCCTTATGCATGTGGACTCGATTATTCGACACGATTATGTTCTCTCCCGGACACCCTGTCGTCCTCCAATGCGATAACCAGCAGACTATCAGCCTCTTAGCAAAGGAATCGCCTCAATTGCGCACCAAATTGCGACATGTTGATATCCACCAGCACTGGTTGCGTCAGGAGGTCCAGTCAGGCCGCATACCAGTGCAATGGGTCAAGACGTCCGATATGGTAGCTGACGGCCTTACCAAGCTTTTACCACGTCAAAAGCACGTCGAATTTGTTCGCTTATTGGGCATGGAAGATATTGGAAGCTTTCTGCAAGGACTAGTCGACGACTAGTGGAAATGAGACGAAGTGGTAGTGCAGCGAATTCCCCACGGGGACTTCACTGAGGGGGTGTGTCAGAGCATGGAGTGGTATCTTACCACTAGCAAGCGATTGGTTACCAAGGAACCCACATTTCCTTTTGTTTTGTATGGTAAACTATTTCAAATGGCAATCTCGGTATAATAACCACCGAGTATGGTCACGTTCCGAGGGTATTTCAACCTGCCCTTGACCGCATATTTTCTAATTAATCAATCATTCTATTTATCCTGAATTGGTTCCGCTTGATCTCATTCGTCCTGAATGCATACTAGTCCATACAATTTTAGCTTGTTTTGACACAATCATACCATGGTCACGATCGCGTAACGTGGATCTTGGAATACCGCTAGATTTCGATAGGGCGGAGTAGATTAGAGGCTGTCCAGACTGTTCGTTCAGGGCGAGCAAAGTTGCTGCTGGGTCGTTATACTCCCATAGAATTTTGAAATGTATGAGTGTGAGCGGAAAATAGACAATTTGCCCCGTAGATGGGCAAGGCGACTGATCCTGAGAGGCACGCTGGCCAGGGATCTCTAAAAATAGATTGCCATATATTACCAGGTCGGTACGGTTTGTATGTAATAAATTTGTACAGATAATCCTTAATATGCAGACCTTCATGTGCGGGCAACCAATAGAAATATTTCAGACATGGAATGGGTACAGTCCTTCCGAAAATCGGTGTCACCATGGACACTCTTCAATTAATTACCGAGGCGTCAATAATGGAAATAAATGGTAATATGCACGAGGGCTTCTATGCTATTTGTACATTACTTATAATAAGTCTAAAGTTTTGACTATCTAATTTATTTTATTTACGGCATGATTCTAATTCGGTGTAACCTAGTCCTTTAGTTGAGAAGATCAAACACTCCTAACAGCTCTGCGATAGCGCCAGTAGCTACAATTATAGACCATAAGCAAAATATAGCGCCAGAACGATTCATATGGCTCCAAACTTAGTTGTGTGGGTCTCAATATATCGACTGACCCAGCCGAGCATTCAACAAGGCTCTATCCCATGGGGGAGGGGGAGTGAGGCTGACTCGGATTAGGGTTTTATTTGTATGGGAGGAAAAACGTGGGTCAGGGCTCACTCGCTTTAATTTTCAGACCCCCACTAGATTTCGCAGTTGACGTCGGATCATGCTCAGATTTTCAGAAGTTGTATTCTCAGTTGTAGATTTTATATAGTTCCAATTTCTAGTAGATTCGATAAGTATTAGTGGATGTTTTCACGATTGAAAACCGGGATTCTTTTGGTGAGGGCCCAGATGTGGATATGCGACCGAGGTCAACCACCCACGACATCAACATTGGGGTTAACAAAGTGATCAGTCCAAGATCCAATTAGACGATTACGGGACTAGGATGAGATTCAGGGGTAATTAGAAGTCCCAGCTGTCGTCCAGTTTAATTTTAGAAAAATTCCACCACTTCATCCACCCCAGTTTGTTGTACAATTGAATATTTGTTTGTATATATTTCGCCACGTCAATATGGAGAACCAACTTTCCACCAAACCCGCAGAATACCCCATTATTATTTGCAGACGTTGCCAGATCGGTGTTAGGCCTAGTGAAATCAGTCGACATTTACGAGGCACATACCACAAAACAGCAGCAGCCGATAGCCGACAGGTACAATATGCCATTGAACAGTGGGACGGAGTTCAGCAGTGTGAGCTAGACCTGGCTAGGAACCGCGGGTGAACCTCACGAACCGCAAGGAGGTTCACCCACCCGGAGGTTAAGGTTCCATGCCGGGCGGTTCTATCTTGGACCGAACCTCATGGAGGTTACCCGCGGGTGAACCTGAGGGCATGCATTAATGAAGTTTTGGTTTATAATTACGAGAGAATACAGCCTATTTCTACATAATTTATACAGTTGACCCTAAGTCCCGTTTTTTACCTATTTGTTATGCTTGTTGAACCTCAGGTCCACCCGCGGGTAACCTCCATGAGGTTCGGTCCAAGATAGAACCGCCCGGAGGTTTTAGGTCATGGAACCTTAACCTCCGGGTGGGTGAACAGGTTCGTGAGGTTCACCCGCGGTTCCTAACCAGGTCTAAGTTTAGTCATATCAATGAAGCACCGGCGTATGCGATCTAAAACTGAGGCTGAAATGCCTTTAAAATCATGATCAATAGTTCCATTGCATTAGCGATCGTATGAAATTTTTGATATACAGAGCCTGTCATTATATAAAATATCAAATTTACTTTTCCTAGAGAAAAGATGCGATGAATCATATCAGCACCCAAAATCACCGAGTGATGTAGTGACAGCATATCAGTACAGCGATACATAGTAAAGAAGGCAAATATTGAGTTACATATTCTGACCTTGAATTTGGCATGTACTACTATCACCTTTTGACGCCTTGATTCCTCGCTCCCCGTTTTGACTTCCTGCGGTGGTTTCTGTTGTTACGATTACCTTCGTAATCATGCAGTATCTCCCTGAGAAGAAACCGAAGCAGCCCACCCTCATACGCCTCTTCTTTAGGGAAAAATTTACCCTCATTGATTGTGTAGTCTCTTGAACCCTCTTGGGTAGCAAAGCACTCTGCGGGCGCCCCAGCACGCATAGACTCCAACAAATCAACCAGATTGATGTGTGTGCGTAGTACTGCCTAACTTAATGAGCGTCGCATAGAATCACTCAACGGATATATGGGGTTCATACCTGTCGGGCTTCAAGAAGATTTTCCGGAACAGGGGATATTCCTATGCAGCGACAGATGCGTTTCCATGATTTTAAGCTGTCGGCATCTGCCCCGAACGTTGAGTTGAAGGCTTGTACGATGGCAATGCGAAACAATCCCCAAGCTTCCTCACGCGCAACTGGGAATTTGCCATTCGCCTGCTTGTGCCATCCAAACATGTCACACATGCGATAGACTCAACATATACAGGCTGTTCTCTCTGATAGGGAAACCTGGTGTACTGGGCAAAGAAACAATCAATCTCATCCAGATCGTGTTGTTGCTGATTCGGCATCGTAGCTAGAAGATTCGAATATCGAAATATTGGGTAAGGAAATGGAATATCGAAATCATCAAGGTATGATGGGTAGGTAACAGCCGCCTCTATGAATTTGGTGACCCGGTGATGAAATTTCGATTTTTGTCCGAGTTATAAGCGTTCTGAGTTGCGACCTACCTAGGTATACTTTTGGGGGACGTATAGAAGACAATGGTTGCTACTAGAACAATGAGAAGAGATGGCCTCCCGCATTGACTGCCTCTCGCACTGACGGCCTCCCGCATTGACGGCCTCCCGCATTGACGGCCTCCCGCATTGACGGCCTCCCGCATTGACGGCCTCCCGCATTGACAGCAGCCTCCCGCATTGACAGCCTCCCGCATTGTCTTTCTGAGGATGATGAAATGCCGAATCATCTTCGACTGGCTTAATATTCCTATTCTATGGTGCATGGGTTTGGGCATACACGAGGATCTAGAAGTTTATCCCATGGGGGAGGGCCGACTGAGGGCTGGGTCGGATTAGGGTTTTATATTTTTGTATGGGAGAATAAAAGCGGGTCCACCCCCAGTCGAGTTAATTTTCACACCCTACCCTAGGGGGAGGGGGGGGGAAGGGGGTCACCGTGACTCGGATTAGGGCTTTGCATTTTTGTACGGGAGAAAAAGAGTGGGTCCACGGCCACTCGCTATAATTTTCAGACCCTCACTCGTTTTTGTATTTGGCGTCGGATCATGCTCAGATATTCCTAGTAGTGAATTTTGGATAGTTTCAATTAATAGTTAATTTGACCAGTATTAGTAGAGGTTGTGCGATTAGAAATCGGGAGTTTTTCTGGTGAGGGGCGCAGATGTGGATATGCGACCGCAGTCAAACCACCCATAATATCAACATTGGGGTTAACAAGTTGATCAGTCCAAGGTTCAATTAGACGAATACGGGGCTAAGATAAAAGTCAGGGGTATTTAGAAGTCCCAGCTATCGTCCAGTTCAATTTTGGAACTTGACTACTTCATCTACCCCAGTTTGTTGTACAATTTAGATATTTGTTGTATAGATTTATCCATATATATATATCTACACGACATGGAAAACCAAACTTTTTCCAAACCGGGGGAATTTCCCATTATTACATGCAAGGATTGTGAGATTGGTGTTAGGCCCAGTGAGATCAGCCGTCATGTGCAAGGAGCCTAACACTGATTAGGATTACCCACCGGTAGCACCAGCTTGCCTTCGGTTTTCGAGATATAACAGGCCCTCCTCCAACGAGATGAGAAAATGAGTGATGCGTGAGGCAACGGAGTAAGGTAGATTTCAATGAGTAATGGATTTGAAGCAGCACAGGCTTTGTTATTTAATCCAGAATCTATGGGGCAGATTCCCTATGAAATATAAAAGTAACACAATATCAGAAGGGTATTAGTTGTATGCCTAAGCATTTATTATGCGTATATCTATGATTCGCTTCCACCATCACACAATTATATATTAATTTTGAACCGAGACCTCGAGGCTGTCTGGTACCGGGCGGGGTAAAACCGAAAATCTTTTGATTTTAGTTGCCAAGATGAGCGCCCAATCAGTGAGAGGAAGCGATTGGGTCATACCAAACCAAGGCGTCAACGTGCGGTGAATGTTTGGGCTTCTTCTTATAATACATCCCAAAGTTAATTCTCAACGATCTCCATCACTTAATTCTATGATTATCTGCCTCATATCATTCAATTTGTCACGATGGCCTACATGTTAGAACTGGATCAGCCTACAGCTGAGTTGATCGTTCAGATACAACTCCAAGATGCCGGCCTTTATTCAGAAATCTCCAAAGGGAAATCTCGGGATCCTACCGACGAGGAGCTGGCTTTTCAGTTACAAAACGAGCATTTGGAAGCAATTTCTAATTTTCTCAAGGATAGGCGAATGGCCATGAGTTTCGCAGCCGCGGTTCAAGCTGATGGGCGCATCCTGGCTCAGACAAAAGTGGAAGAAGAGAGCGCGTCTCAAGATCGAAGTATTGCGCGTCGATGGATGGATGATGAACATCTAGTCTCGGGAAATGACTTCGAAGCAGAAACATCAGGTTTAGACGATGAGACTCTGGCAAAACTCGAGATCTTGTATGTGTCCGGCTTGGAAGGGTACTACAACACAGAGGATGGGGGCATGACTGGGGCTGAAACTGAGCAAGCCGAGTCATCTGCTTGGGCAGCTCGACGACTCCGTCAACCACGATCACAAATTCGTCAATGTGTGGCTTGTGGAGATGATACAGAATTTTTCAACGTGGCGCGTGTCCCATGTCAACATGAGTATTGTCGTTCTTGTTTGGAAGCTCTTTTCAAAGCCTCAATAACAGACGAATCGTTATTTCCTCCACGATGCTGCCGGCAACCCATCAATTTGAGCATGGCTCGGATATTTCTCAAGTTTGAACTCGTCCAACTGTACGAGAAAAAGAAGGTTGAGTTTGAAACACCAAACAGAACGTACTGCTACTCTACTGAGTGTTCTGTTTTCATCGGGAAATCTCATATCGATGGTGAAGTAGCCACATGCCCCAACTGCCAGCACACGACCTGCACAAATTGCAAAGGGCGAGCCCATATGGGCGATTGCCCAAACGACCCTGCTATGCAACAGCTTTTGTCAGCGGCACAAGAAAATGGATGGCAACGCTGCTATTCATGTTGGCGACTAGTGGAATTGGACCATGGTTGCAATCATATGATGTCTGTGTCCCCTTTCTTTTCTCTCACAACTCTGATTTCTGACGGAAAATGACGATAGATGTCGCTGTGGTGCCGAATTCTGTTACAATTGTGGGGGAAAGTGGAAGAATTGCGCATGTGAACAATGGGACGAGCATCGTCTCCTTGCGCGTGCATACCAAATAGTCGATCGAGAAGCGGATCATCTGCCTGCCGCCAACCCCCCGCCAGCTATTGATGAATATCGGCTGGAAGATCAACTTGTACCAGACATAGACGAACCTCATATTGAAATTCAAGAGACAGAACCAAATGAACCTCGTGTATTCGCAGAAGGTTCAACGTTGTCCTTTATGCAGAGGCGTCGAGATACTTTGATCGCAAGAACAATGCAAGAGCTCAGAGACAACCACGAGTGCGGGCATGGTCGATGGAAATATGTACGAGGATCCCATCGATGCGAAGAATGCTCTCATTATTTGCCTCAATATATATTTGAATGTTGTCAATGCAGGCTCCAAGCTTGCAACCGCTGCAGAAGGAATAGACTCTAATACAACCATTTTGTGACTTAATTTCCTGCCGGCACATAGATGGGTACCTTCACTTTTGACAATTTATACCTTCTTGTCGGGAATTGCACGGTGATAGACCTAGAAGCCGTTTTCGAAACTCGAAATGAGAGTAGTGGCCAATAGAATATCCTTGTCTTCCTGCTGTGGCTGTTGCTTAATTACTCGAATAAAGCAACAATCGAGTCCCAAAGCCGGGGCTCATGAGTCTCGCTTACTCGAATTATCGAAGCACTAGAATCCATCATCCTTACCCAAATACAGGTTGAGACAAGCGTTAACCGATTTGGCGTTTGGTTTTCTGAGCACTCAATCCTGTGACTTATAAGTAGACTGTGCTAGGTAAAATATATGAACGCCACCAACGAGATAAACATATAGCCCCTTATTCTATGGCAAATATTCATTGATAGATTGATATTCACGATGAGTCACTCAAAAAAACCTACGCCTACGTCGCGTAAGCAACGGTTTCTTCTAAGCGATTTGGGTATAATGTCTTGATATTAATCTGCCGCTTAGTAGGGAGTAAATATGACTAAAGGCAAATAAAGTAGGACCCAGAAACAGCGGTGGAATTTTCCTCGATGTCTGTATCGTCGTTTTCTATCACAAACTACCGGCGGTGTATAGAACCATATTGCTATTCCAAATCTTAAGAAAGGTTTCGACTTCTCTCCTTTATTACAAGTGACAAAAGTAAACTGCTCAGGTGTATCTGATGCACTAGTAATACAAGGGACTTGATAATCAACGCTCTTGGAATTGGTCTCATCAATTCTTCCTTTCCTTATAATTAATTTGAAGTTCGTGACAAAAACGAGAGCGTCGCTTCGGCGGCTCGCACAAACGCTTCAGCTCTTGATGAACAGTGATTGATAGACGCTACTTCTTCACCTTCCATCCAAACAGAGATATCGTGCAAACTATTCTCGGTTTCTTTCACCCGAAAGTCGGCCTTGCGTGTACCCATAATACGATCCATAGCACTCTTTGGGTGTTCTAACTCTACATCATGCGCCGCGAAACGCTCAAGATAAGCCATCAACTCGATACGTTCCAAGAAGCGTTCACATGCATCCAGGTCGCCACCACTTTCAACGAAAATTGCCCCAATAGTGCTCTCAATAAGGTCTGAGTAGAACTTAGATGCTCTTAGCTGGGCAAGCGTGGCCCAAGGATATGAGCGCCCACTTTTTAGGGGTTTCTTGACTGCATCTCCAAGCATGCGATATATGTTGCTGCACGATGTCTGCATCTTAACAACATCTGAAGCGTCATGTCGCATGAACATCCATAATGCGGTATTTCTTGGTTGAACGGTCGCCCCAAAATTGCTTGCTGTTATCTCCTGCCCGTAGTAACATGTCTCGGTGGGAGCGAAATCCATGCAGAGGAATGCCAAGAAGTCGGCATTTACCAAAGCGGCTCGAATTTCCGTCATTCGACCTTCCGCAAGCTTTGGAACCTGAGCGTGCAGTCTTCTTGCAACGAGAAAGTCCAAAACCGCATCTCCCAGGAATTCAAGTCGTTGGTAAGACCCAGTTGTTTGGTCTCTTTGCCATGATGGGTGTGTGAGCGCCTCCCAGATCAGAGCCCGGTTCTTAAACTTGAAGCCAAGAAGTTTGTCAAGTTTGATTTCCAAATGGACCGGGAATTGGCAATTTTTCTTTGGTTGTTCTTGGGGTATTGGCGTGAAGTCGGAAATCTCCGGTAGAAAAATCCCGACAAGCTTTCGGGAGAGCGAATTTCCACCGTGTTCATAGGCAGCGGCTACGAGAGCTTCTACCACATCAGCATATACTTTTCTCGGAATCCCTTTGTCCGCAGCGTCTCCTTTATTCTGCCAAAAGATTGGATGTTTTCGCGTGATGAAATCAGCGCAGATAAATTGTTCCAAGTGAGCACTCACGGCCGCTTGCGTCAGTCTCTCGTTTGAGACTAGCAAATCCTTCATCTTTGATAGGTAGCCTTCATGCCATCGAGGATAAGTATAAAAGACATGCGTAGAGACCAAGAACTTGATCAGAGAGTCACCCAAAAATTCTAGTCGCTGGTAATTTACTGGCCATTGAGAAGAAGGAGATGTGATTGCCTCCGCTAGAGAACTCAATCCGATTTCAGGCACATCTCCAAAAATTTCAACGCGCATAGACTGCGCCATCAGATGCTGATGCAGTAATTGTATGATTGGCGGAATCAGGAGGCTGGTCCGACCCAGTTCCCAAGGCAGGAAATCAATGGTGCACTCAGTGGCAGCTATACAGGCTGTTTTGGTGAAAGTTTGTGTGGAGATTTGATCGGCCAACGTTGCTTGCTGTATGAGGTTCCGCCTTTTTTCAAACGGTCGACATTCGATTGTAAATCCACTTGCATCTGGGTTTCGAATCCACCTCACAAAGATGTGGGGAGTGAAATGAAGCTTAGGGCTTCGGATGAAACCCCCAGGGGAAAGAAGAGGCACACGAGTTTGCTCACTCCAAATAGCAAGGGATCCTCGATTGATATCAAGCCAGTCTTCTAGCTCTTCTAAGGGGAGGTCCGGAGTAAAGAATGGAAGAAACTCCGAATAATCTTCTTGTGGGGATTTTCCGCGAGTCGAATGGAATAATAAGGTCGTTATCTCCCGTATGATGGACCTTAAAAAAGGTGAGAGCGCTGTTTCAAGGTTGAAGGGCTGCAATGTTACCCTAAAGGTTGTTTGGTTATCCCAGTATAAGTCCACATTCGCATCAATTGGTAGCTTTACTGGTGTAAAAAGAGCCATCGCAAGATCTGATTGTACTTCCCCATTTTTAGAAACCTCGATGCGACATCTGTATATTGTTCGTTCGGTCCAATGGCCTGGAACGTCTTTCCAGAAGCTGATAAAGTTCTCCACTAAGGGCAGTTCGGCAGCCACAGCTTTTTGTTGACTCATCTCAGCCCATGAATTATCCTGGAACAAAGGAAGGAAATGGTCATTGATGAGACTTTGGCGGTGTAAAGCGTGAACGGCTTGAAAAGCCGCATCCTGTCGTGCTGACTGCTTTGTGGCCCACCAATGGCGCCCTTTCGCTACTCGTAACGAACTATCAACACCACTCGGCAGATAGACTGTAGATCGAAAGTGATTTTTTTCGTTACTCTCACATGAGAAAGAAGGAGAGGTTCGGCCTGGTGTCTCACTTTGCAGAGTTGTGCAGAAATGGTATAAATGGGATATGGCATTCTCTGCTGTCAGCAGCGCCCTGTGAACGGAATTTCCTTGCGTTAGCCATAAGGACAGAGATTATGGCAGAGAAGACAAACCCTGTGTCCAGAGATAACCGGAGAACTATGTTTTCAGATTCTCCATCGTCTATCTTCACTATTTGATGACGTCGATGATGGTCCAAACATAGCTCCTGCATTTTCTTTTCAAGCACATTCCATTGACGTGAAGCTAGGGATTCACAATTATCTTCTTCCATGATGACGAATTCAGAGATACTCTGTCGTGCTCGGCCCCGGCGTTGGATGTAGGATGTCATGTTGTCTGGAAGTTCGAATGAAATGACTAGATGACATGCTGGAATATCAATGCCTTCTTCGAGCACATTGGTGGCGACGATCAAATTTTTTGTGCCGCAGCGGAAGTCAGTGACCACTTCCTCGCTCTTCTTTAAGATCAAAGAGTTATCTATCGCCCAGTGTTCAGAGTGAGTAGAGCTGCTCACACAAGGCGCGCATCGAAACAGACCGTGGGTCAGTGGGTGCTCATTAAGCAACGCTGATAGAACGTAAGCAGTCGCTCGCTCTCGAACAAAAATAATTCCCGAGAGGTTTGCACAGGCTTTTGCCTTCAGAAACAATAAGAGTCGCTCAACTTTATTGGACATATTACCGGGCGCTTGCATATTGCCGCCAGTACCGTCAGAGATACTTCTCAGCAAAGTTATCAAATTTGGATATCTGTGGCTGGGCCACCAAACCGAAGAAGAGTTCCTCGGTCCAGCAATTCGCCCGGCAATGTGATGCGAAATTCTAGTGAGGAAGTAACTAGAAGCCCAATTGCCCAATTGATACCAAATCATACGGGCTTTTGTATGGAGGTTGGAAACCTCGTCCGGGAGGGATGGCCCATGGTTTTGCTGTCTTCACGCAGTTCCATGACAATCTTTTCTAATCTTTGTAAATGGAAAGGTAAGTCTGCTGCGTCGTTGCGGTCTCGGGAATAGACAATCCTGGTTAGATTCTGGTCAGAAACATGTTCCGCTAACTCCTGGCGCTGAACCAGGGGCGCCCGACAAGTTGCATCCAAATTCTTTTCAAGTTCCCTTTGAACCTCATTAGTATGCTCTATATTTAACTATTATCAATTTCTTTTTCATTCGCTCACCGGACTTTCTTTGGATCAACGGAAGCTGTCAAGCCAAGAATGCTTGGAACAGCTGCACTGCTGTTCTCGGCTTTAACTCTGTGATAAAAATCACGCATGATACGGTTCCCTGGATGCGATTTCACGCAATGATGAGCTACGCTAGCGTCAGTTTTATTAGATATCAAAATAATTATTTTTATTTCTCACCCTCATCAAAGACCAGCAAAGCCAAGTCTTGTAATTTAACAAAGCCGTGTGTGAGCGCATCGGCGAGGACAGCATGAGTAGCAAATACCACCTTCAATCCCCGAAGAGCGGCATCCCAAATCTCTTGATTGCTCCAACATTCCACTCCATCGTCCCCTGTCAGCATTCTCATGCTGACTGCGGGTATGTGACGCGAAATGTATGTCAGTTGTTGAATACATAATACTTTCGTCGGAACCAAAAACCAGACCATCTAAACGACGTGTTGTTTAATAGCAGTCGTACTTTGGCCTCAAACCATTAGCTTACCTGGTTATCTTGGCAACGCTCCAATTCTGCCATAATCCTCATGCTAGCTCTAAGCATCGTTATTATCTTTGAGGTTGCCCGATAGGGTGTCAAGTAATTCATACATGTAGGTCTTTCCACTTCCAGTTGGCATCTAAATTAGAAACATTAATGCGGGGCTCAATAAATATCTCTACGAGTTTAGAATGCAAGACTTACCACGGCGATGATATTTTCTTTCATACTCATCTCAAACATTTCGAGTTGATAGCTACGTGGCTGGAGATTATCCATGTTTGGGAAAGTGTGGGTGAGTCTGATTTATTTTAACAACGGTGACTAGATGTTTAAAATTGCTGGGAGTTACTCCCCTTTAACCTTTAACCTTGACATATGCTTGAAACGTGGTTATCTTCCATGGTCTGGTTTTCGTGGGATGTGTGCAGTGATGCATATGATATGTCGAATATGCATTTGCATTGCCAGAACTCCTCATCCGAACACCAATCAGGCTATGCGACGTGGTGCGCACTTGTATAAATGATACCTTCTCGCTGTCCAGATGCACGGTCCTCTTCATGGGCCACGTCTTTCGTCGACAGCGTGGGAATTTTAATTCAATAATTTATCGACTCTTGTCGTAAGCATCATAAAATGTGTTAGAGTATCATCATCATCATCCTCACTATCTTGTCCATTGTCGTCGTCTTCTTCTTCACTTATTCAGCATGGGCGAAGCATCCATGGATTTCATCCGAAGGCTAGTCGGATGTCAAGAGTTATCGGAATCTGAAATACATATTGCTCTTAAATTTGTATAGAGTCAGCTAAAGCCATCATATCTAGCGGGTTTCTCTTTACATACCACAGAGATATGTCTTGAGCGTCTATATAAACGAGATAAACAGCTTCAGAATGAGGCAAACTGAGTAAAGAAAGACTCCGAAAAAGAAGAAAGATAGTAGAATGATGATGCGTATTTTAAAATTTCCATGGGTGCTTTGTCTATTTATCTGGATTTCAGGTTGAAACTAGACCATTCTAGCGAGTCCTTGAATTTCTCTCTATTCGGCCAATTAGTTGGAATTTTCTTAATAACAATACGCATTATTGACACTTACTGACAGAATATAGTTTCTAAATATTTATCCAAATCTCATTCATCAAGCTGCAAACATCCAATTTGGAGAAAATCGATATAGACAACAAAAACCAGAAGGATCAAGCACATAAACAGATCAATAGAAGAAAAGAAGCAGATACAGAAAAAGCAGAAGGCCAACACAATAAAAAGTAGAAAGGCGAAAAGAATAAAAATCGAAGAAAGAAACCACTGAACAAACCAAATACCGGGATATATATAACTTCGAATCAAACAAAACCTGAATATTTTCAAAAAAGAAGAAGCAAACAGACCCCATTTGTACCGGCACCTGTCAGGATGACACTCGAGATTTTATACCACAATAAAAATATAAAAAACTGAAGACAACAACAACAAATCCCCTGGCAAAGCCTTATGATAAGCCCTAAGTTTGTTGACCAGTGCGATCACTCATATATGTTCGTTAATACCTATACCCATACCCATGCCCCATTTTGACGCCGTCTGCGTGTCAAACATTCGTGACAAGAACCTCACAACCTAATAGTATAGATGATGGTGTGGGAGATAGCATCCCGTTAGAACGCGGGTGGTCCAGCGATCCTTTGGGGAAAGACAAGGATCTATGGTGGATGGAGTTCATGTCGGGCAGCTGGGCATGGCGATGGGGCATGTCATGCGCGTGCGATACCGTGGGAATCTGGTAGTTCATTAGCGGCTGGGGCGTACCCTGGCTAGGTACTGGTGTAACGTGGGCGACAGGGTTGAAGATGTTATGGCGGAAAGACGGTGTCCAGGTATCGCAAGAGATTAACCGTGAGATAACCATAGATAATCGCACAACTACACGTCTATATCCAATCTAGGCAGCTGTTCCGGCAGCTGATCCTTTGCAGTGGCTGGGTTACATTAGTCCCAAATTTTCTGTTCTTTGGCAAACATCTTGGTGCCATCGAACTATCTGGACCACTGTGCCGGTTCTCGAAGTTTAACGCCATTCTGGGCGGAGAGTATCGCCTGTACATCCATCTCAATAGACTGGGTGCAGGGGTAGGTGTTGAGGTAGTTGAATTGCGTTCAATCGGGTTGGGAATAGGGAGTTTGAACCGCTAACGTATTTCACAAGCGAGCGGCGCACCCAAGCGAGTGGCGCACCCAAACCAACCTACTAATTTAAAATGCATATAACTCAACCAAAACTCCATTAAATTAAATACACTAAAATCATCATCTATCTGGACATGCATCTCTTCTATGACCCTGGTTTTTACATAGCCCGCACGTTGGTAATGCTCTCGTTCGTGGTTGTAAAAGTGGCGAAGGCCTTCTTCGCTGGGGGCGGGGGAGTGCTTCAACTACTGCCACCGGCTCAGTAATCAATTGAGAAGCTTCCTGTACTGAGAGCCCTCCTTCAGCTGGTATCTGCCTTCGGGATCGAGTGCGCTTTTGCTTCTGCTTCTCGTTGGCGGCGCGTAATTCCTTGTTTTCTTTAGCAAGTAAGATAGCACCTTGCATTGTAAGACGGAAGCCTTTCATAAGCTGGTTTAATGCACGATCTGACGGGCTGGTGGACTTCGAGATCTTGTACGAAGTATTGATAAAGCCTGCCGGCGTAGTTCTTTCTCTGTAGCTGGCGTTTTTGGTGTAAAATTTCGACTTGATTCACTACCCCGGCCGGGAGGGGGGTAGGCGTTCGAAGCCGGATATTAAGCTTTGAAATCACTTGATCTGATGTAAATGGCACTAAACCGGTAGCTCGGAAGCTGCTTTTAATTGTCTCCGGTTTAAAAGCTTCAATTCGTGCCTTTGGGTATGCTTTAAGAAAGTCAAGTTTCTCAATATGGTTGATCCCGTTCCGCATCTTCGTTTCAACCGCCCGACTATAAGACCGTTTTAAGACCGCAAAACAGCCGACATCGAGAGGTTGTAAAGGATGGGATAAATGAGTAGGCATACAAATTGGTATCATATTATTTTGCTCGCAAATTTGATCAAATTTCGGCGTTAAATGACTTCTATGTCCGTTAAGTATCAAAAGCCGATACCCACCCCCTTCGTACGTGAAGAAGTAGTAGGAATAAAGAGCTTTTCAAGCCAGCGAAGTCCAATTTCATCCGAAGTCCAACCATTAGGACTCACTTCAAGACGCCAATCGTTAGGAAGGCCGGTAAACCAGGATTTAAGGAAGACCTTTCCTTTGGAAATCACACACGGAGGAAGCACCTAGCTAGAAGCATTTGTACATTCAATCACCGTCACCCACTCTCGATTTCCAGGTTGTTTAAGTGCTCTCCGCCCGGAGTATTCACTCCTCGTAATAACCCTCGTAGTTGTCGTTAATCCTAAAGCAAAACCAGTCTCGTCAAAGTTATAAACGTCATCGGGGTCGATTCCAAAATTTGGAATCCAAATTGAAGGATCGTTTTTTGAACCAAATCAAACCATTCCCTAATAATTTTCGGGTCTTCACATTTCGCGCGCTTATAGTTATACCATTTCGAGAATCGGGAGGAGAGGAGAGGGTGCCTTTTAACAAAATTCGTCACCCAGTTTTCGCCGACCGAAGTAACCGGGGTGGTTCCACGTTGTTGAAGGAGAAGATTAGCTCTCTCTCGAACCATAGAAGGCCGGGGCGCTGATCCACGAGAATCCATAGAGAGTATCCATTTTTGAAGTGATTCCTCTTCAGTTGCAGTCAATTTATGTGAATTGGCGCGAGAAATCGCGCGGTGTTGTATACCACTTAGGCGGCGGCGGAGGGTGGATTCGGGGATATTAAAAAGCGGGCTGCTTCACGAATTGAGGTGATTTCTTGATTCTTAATAGCCTGCATAGCTAGTAAGATCCTACTCTCTTGCTCTATTGAATTCCTAGGGCTTTGAGAGCGTATTGGTGGCATGGTGGGTGGTTGAAGTAATTAAGTGCTAATTCTTGGACGCGTTTTGAGCAGGGTGCGCCACTCGCTTGTGAAATACGCTAGTGAGGTCGACAGCGAGGTTCAGGGGTCCGCAGTAGTGGAACCGATGGCTTCCCAGACATTTCGGGGACGATTTACTAATTTCTGGGGGTTTAAACAGGGCTATGCTGTTCGAGCTCATAACTGTTAGAACAGTATACAATTGGCCAATCAGGAAAAAATAGGAGAACTCTGTCTTGTTATTATGTAGCTACACTACATAGCAATATAGACGTGTAAAAGTTTAACCATTCTTTTACTTTAAGCACACAATAATTCTTACTAAAATTGATACCAAATGATTGAGACTTCATTCACAATCTATATACCTTCTTATGTTCTCCCTCTCTAGTCTAAGGGTAGAGAAAATTGAATTTACGATTATATTGCTTGGAAGTATCTTTTGTATGGAGTTTCTATATAAGAGATACTTAATTTTGCAATTTGTGATCCAGTGAGAATTTGTTATCCGCTGGGGCCCACCAATACCGGTAGGTGTTGGTGGGCTTGGCACGATTACAAGGGTTTTTTGGGAACTGAAATCCAATACCGATGCAAGACGTGACATGGTAAAGCAAGGTTATTTATTAGGAAACCTAATAGGGACTAGCTCGGTTTCGGGTACGAGCCGAGAAACAACACATGTGTCCGCTGGCGAAACTGTTTTCGACTTCTACTGTAGGAATTTCCAAATTGAAGTTCAACGTTGTATTATCATGGTCAGGTATCGAATCTATAGAGATCGGCGCGTCTCGCTGTTGTGTCGTCGAGAGGCCTAAGATTTTGCGGAGAAGGAGCATGTGGTCTTTCCCCGCTTACATAATGCATATGCCCCCTCTTAATGTCGCATTCTGGCTTTAGCCCCTGATTCCAATTATATCGCGCTGGATTCAACCATCTAAAGAACATAAACAATGTCAGTGGTAGCGCTATACAAAAGCTCCAAGGAAGCCGAGGGAAAGGCGCTTGAGATTGTATTTGGGAATGGAGTTAAGTATCAGCACTGGACCGTGAACACTTTGATGGCCATTCTGCATAGGCGAGTAGTTCGCTTATCCACAGAAGAGAAAGCTGGGCTTCTGGAACATCTTTCCAGCGCTTGTAAGTGCCGAAAAGCTATCGCGATTTTCTTTGAGAATGCTCCTGAACCGGCGATCCGAGGGCACGAGTACTATCTCGGGCGGTTGGAAGAGTTCTGCAGCTCGTTAGAACCTAAATGGATACCCAGCACTGAGCCAATACACCACTATCCTGAGCACGATGATGGAGAACGCCCACTTTCAAAACTCTATTTCGATCTGCTTTTATCGAGTGTCGATGAGATCGAACCCCGTCTGGCCTTTATTCAAGACATTCATCAAAGGTCCCTGGAGGGCAGAATCTGTATTGGCGCTCTTCCGATATGTAAGATTCCGAAGCCTCGTGCTACCTATATTGCAGCTCACATGCTCTTTTAGTGTGCGATACCCAGTACAAAGAGATTTTTGCTTTGTGCGAAAATTTTAGGCTTCTTGCAGAAGAGCTGGGCATAGACGCGAATAGCTGGGATGAACTTCGACGCAGGGTTGGATCTTTCGGAGTCAAAATGGATATCTTCCCAGCATTGATCGATAACAATGAGGCGGTCCCAGGGTATGACTATCTGCTAGGAAACTAACAGACCCTTCTGAAAGTGGGACCTCGCCTGCCCCGGTCCTTCGAGCGAGGCTCTTGGATGATCTCTATGCCTGTAAGCAGAAAAGAAATCTGGACTTCTACTTGGTCACTGGTAGCCTAGCTGCGCATATAATTGTACAGCTAGCGGTAATCTGGGAACCGTCGAGCCTGGAGAGGTTCCGAAAAGACACGATCTCGGAGATCATGTATCTTCGGGCGCTGTTAAAATATGGGCGAATTCAAGAGATTGACCAGGTGGACGCTCTTTCACGTCTGCTCGGTGAAGACCAACATGACGCACAGGGTACGCGTGATATATCTCGACTTGCTGCCATATACTCATGGTTAGTCCGAAATATCACTGCCATCGGTGAATACGGTTTGGCTATGCCGGTGGTTCCTGCGGTGGCTCATCTTTATACCTGGCCGTGTTCAAGTATCACTTTCCGCATGATGAAATAATGGATAAACTCTGCAATCGGTTTAGAAATGCCCTTTTTTGGAACGGATGTTTGCCCTAGAACCAGAACGATTGGGATAAATCTTTTATGAACTGGGTTCTGTGCGGATACCAGCCTCATCGGCCACGTGATCAATCTAAACTATGGACTCGTCTTGGCAACAGCAAAATTCAACCGACTTTCTTTTGCACACTCTTTGACAATGAGTATCGACTATCAGAGGCATCGCGGAGCGGGAGATTGAAGCGATTCTACCGTCAATCTGCCGCTGAATGCCTTGTTGAGCTCGATTTGGAAACAAGAGACTGCCTCGTACTTGATCCCTTTTTGATCATTCAATCGACCTTTTCAACTCTTGAAGAAATTGGCGGTTCTGACATTGACGCTTCCGGGTTTGATGCTTCCGAAGCATCTAATCGCGATATGAAATTTGCGGAATTCATCTATCAGAAGAGGAACGATGAGGGCTTCGTGGCTAAATTTCTCTCTCACTTCTTGGAACGTTGGGGTAAAATTAGGAATGCCAGGCTACCCCGGGACTACAGCACTCAACATATGCATTCGTTGGGCAAGTGGTATTGAATTCAAGCTGACTCTTTGTATCTTGCGGTCCCTTAAGTTATCAATGTCTCTTGATAGAATAGAAACGGGAAATAGTTTAGTTTGCCGTGGTTCAAAATTACACAGCCCGCAGGACTGCACCGTGGTGCCAAAGTATCTAGCTATATCATCCAGTGAGACTCCTTTTTGCTTGTTGATATGATGCTTTAAGAGATCAGGAACGTTGCCTCAGTCGCTGCCGAATAGGATTCATACTGTTATATTCCCGCCCGGAGTGGCTCCCACTCCGCACTTTTTGTCCGTGCGCCCCATAATTTGGCAGAAGTTATGAGTTTCATTTATTCATATTTGTTCTCCGTGAATTACGGTACCCTAATTCACTGTCGAGTGGGCCACAGCAAAACCCCATACGCCCCCGACGTGTGGTAGACCGGGTTTTCCTTGGGCTCCACTGTGAAACGAATCTGGGCCCTCAATCGTTCAGCGAAGCATCGCGCGACACGCTTTCGCCAACTACGTTCAACCCCGCATGTAAACGATTATATGCCTCTTCGTTACCTTCGCGCGTCGAGTTCAAAGACCCATTGATTTAGTGGCTGTCTACTTTGGCGAATAGCGAGCCCGGCGCGTATCTCTTAACTCGGTATCTACCTTGTGAGGCTGGTATGTTGGAATCCTCACAATCGTAGTACCGCCTACCAGAATTAGTTACATATAAAAAGCATTAAGTAGTTTGAGAATTCAGTTTGACCTCGCACTCTTCCGACTTGATTCCCGGAAAATAAATCTGAAATATGCTAATCCAGTTTTGCGTCACCCCTCGATTAATTGTGCAGAACTATGGTGGTAACCGTGCCTTCCAGTGCCCCCCGCACGTTGTAGGCCTCGTTGGAACTTCGGTGTGAGGGCCTCTGTAGTGAATATCTTCGAAAGCTTTTTTTGATTCTTCTCGAGGTCTTGGGCACTCTTTGGAGGGGTGTTTTCCACACTAGAAGAAGAGATATTCGGGGGAGGTGTTGATTCACCGTATGCATAAAGATCGGGCGCGAAGAGGTCTGGTATCGGCGGAAGTGTATCTTGAAGTTTTTGAATAACAGTATCGCCATTCGGAGGGTATATACCACGTTCTTTAAAAGAATTTGGAATGATTCGCTGGTTGAAGGTCTTGTTGCCTACGCTCACGATGTCCTTAAGAAAATCCGCCTTCCGCGCGGGGATCCCACCCCACTGAGAAATGAGGTTATTTTGCTTGCGAAAATATTGTTTATAAGCAAGAAAAGGCTTGCCATCAAGAGGCTGGCAAATATGAGTCTTATGAGGCCGAAAACAAAAAGGGATAATGTCGTAAGTCTCACAGAGTTGAAGAAATTCGACGGTCTTATGGGACTCATGACCATCGAATATCAATACACCGTTTTCACCCCTCTTTACCCGATCTTTTGTAGCTTCATGAAATTTTTGAAGTCATCCAATAGCAAGGAAGTCATTGATATATCCTGTAGGCGAAACAGCCGTCCAAAAGTGTGGTAGATCAGAGTGATCATACCAACTTTCCATGAACTTCTCGCCTTTAAAAATAAACAGCGGCTCCATGATCCACCCATCAGCAGTGATACACTCGATCGCTGTGATATTTTCTGTGATATTTTCAATATGATCGAACTCAGCGAGATCAGGGCATCTTCCCTTCGTGCCAATAACCTTCCGAGCCCTTCCCTGGCCGGGTTGGAAGCCGCATTCATCGAAGTTATAGATTAAGTGTGATGGGAGACCTTTGAGTACGTTCGCAAGCTGGTTATACCAGTGCTGTAGGTATCCTACATCTTCTGCTTCAAGACGTTTCTTATCCTTCGTTCTCTGTGTCACAGGGCCTAACATAAGATGTGGTGGAAGTCTTTTCTCGAAACGGTACGCCCACATCTTACTGACTTCATGATTTGAACCAGCACGCACGAGAGCCCGATACGCCCACTCTGTGAGCATCTCAGGGGTAACGGGGAGGTATAAATCACGCATACGAATGATCCACTGGACTAGAGCTTTCTCCTGATACTCATCAAGAGCTTTATTCTTAGGTGTATAGGCGTTACGAGCCTGTCGTCCCCGGCGAACGCGACCGCGCAGTATCTCATACGGAATGTCATATTCCCGCGCGATCTTCGCAAGATTCGGTTTCTTTTCGCGCTGGGCGGCTTCGCAGGCCTCGAGTACATGGGATTCGTCTATTTTGGGTGCCTTTGGCATGGTGGGTAGGTGGGAATAAAGTCAAGAAGATGAATGGCTTCAAAATTGGTTTTCCGGTGTGAATTGGTTTTCCGGTGTGGTGCACCCCCATCCCGAAGGCGGTGGGGGGGGCACTGGAAGGCACGGCTATACAGAAGTCTTGGGCGGAACAAGGTAATTATTAAATATTATGAAACTGCGTCAACATGAATGCTGGGCAATTTTCACTGTCTCAAATGACTGAAGCAAGGCTATTTTTCTCACGACTGCCTTACCTGATGTTTTAGGTGCAGAGTTCTTTGAAGTCATGCCTAGGCGCGGGCGAATACGGTTTTACTGGACTTTGACCAGAGTAGATTATGTGACCTGTATCAATACCATCAGTCCAATGGTGTTATGTGTCATGACTAACGGCGAATCAGAGGTCGGAGACTATGTGATCAAAATGGCGGTGTGGCACACAAAACGAGGCCTAGACGTGCCGCGGTGGCACGTACAGTGTAGATAAGCTTGTATGTGTTCATCAAGGTCTATAAATACAAACACGAGGGATACCCCTGGACACAGTACTCAAAGACTCCTGACTGTGCCTTCATGGTCTATCTCCTACGTCGTATCTTTCCTCACCAAACTCTAGGGCTCAAATTGATATGGAGGAAAGCAAAGATATCAATCGACACGGACTAGAAGGTCATGTTCTGAGGATAGCAGATCTGAAAATGAGCTACAGAGATTCGAAGGGCAACGAGCCCTGGTCCAAGATGAAGGCGAATCTTGGAAAGATTCTTGTTCTTAGCATCCCACCGAGCAGGGCATCTCGACGTTTCCAGAATGGTTGTTGAAGTTGCTAAGGCTTGATATGGAGATTGGGCGGGTACATTGTCGCCTTGATGGTGTGTTGCCTTTGATATAACACGTGATTGAACCATTTCTCAATGCTAAAGCAAGATGATCTAGAACATTACAGAAGCTGTGATAGCGACACGACCTGCCGGGTGTCAAAAAAACTACTTTGTCTGATATACAGATGGCTCAAACCCTCTTCTACATGAAAACCAAATCTTACGTTAAGGGATTTCCGGATGATCTTCTTAAGAAAGAGGAGATTGATAAAGCTTGCGCTGGCATGTTTCCGTAATATGACGTCTTACCTGTAATGAGTTTAGGGTAGAGTACAGAGTATTGTTAGCTCTCAAAGCCTGTCAGCCTCTCCCATGGGGATGGTTACAATGATTTTCACTATATTTGCGTCGGCATTCCTTTTGTATGTCGCCCATGTTTCCGGAGGCGGCTGAGTGTTTCTTTGTTGGAAGTCGTACCGCTGTAAGAAGCCCAAATTCAACGAACTAGCCGGTGATGACGGCCTCGAACGAGACGAGTAGAGGTTTTCACCATAATCGAATGGTCCGGCAGGGCTCAATATCACTCTTAGAACGATGCTCTAGAAGATTGTACCACACACGCAATTTCGACGGTATGATAAGCTCCATCTTATCTTCTCAAGGCCTGTTTTGGAGGCCGGTGACACCACGGGAAAGTGGTTTTATCTAGTAGGAGCTTAAATCAAGCCTGGAATGAGATCAGTGAACATGATCTGTATCAATGACGTCTGCAGGTCAGTATTTCTGTGGTCACCCTTCCTCGGTAAGCTTTGAACTGCTGAGAAGTGCTGTGTCTATTATGCGGTCTGATCAAAGGATCTCGCACAACAAGATTCCTGGGTTCATGTCAGCTATGTTTGAGAAAAGCGACAACCTCCGAGATTCGTATCAGCGGCCTATGGAGCCGGATGAGCTTTTCCAGTCGGAATATCGTCATGTTTCTCACCAAACAACCTGTCAGCTGTGTGACAAAATAAAATTGGTCCATCGTCAGCACCGGAAGCCGACTGACAAGATTCATTATGGACTCATTGCCTCTGGAGATCAAGTCATAAGGAGCGCGTCAAATGCAGCAAAAGTAGATGGGAGGGTGGTTGGCGATATCTTGTGCTTCGAGATGGAAGCGGCGGGCATCGCGACGGGGTACTCGTACATCGCCATCCGGGGCATGTCCGACTATGCAGACTCTCACAAGAACGACATATGGCAGCATCATGCTGTGGCTGCGGCTACAGGGTGCGCCATGGAGCTCCTTTCATACGTGAGCCTACCGCAGCCTTCCACCACGACTGAAGTCCACGGTCGGCATAGGCCTGAGAGATCAACCGGCAGCTCTCTAGCTACGCAGTCCATATTTCGCGGTCAAGGAATTCAAAACTCGGGGTCTGGCAAAGTCTCTGTAGGTAAGGATTTGAACATCGGCAAAAATTAACCCGTAGCGAAGGAATTCGGGAGTTAATGACTCAATAGAAGTTATGCAGCTGAAAGTCATAGTCATTAGGGAATTTAGTTTAAGCAGTCATTGTCGTCGTTTTATGGCTTTAACGTATCCAACGTCAGCATAATCGCGATCAGTTAGTTCAGTAGATGCTAGTCCTCTATCAGAAGGCCAAGCCTATTACAGGAAACAACTCTCACTAGTACTGTCTCTATACTAGGGCTGTTGACGATATTGCCGATATACCAATATTGACGATACGATATCGGCTGCTTTTGAATTTGTCGATGCTGATTGCCGGTACAATATCGGCGGGCTTCAAAGTTGACGACATCACCACTCACGATATCGTCATATCGTTCGGCATCGGCACATTTTTCCTTTAGAATCATCTAGAGAGCGAACGGGCTTTGGTCCAACAGCAGTTTTATTTGACACTTTATGAATGCAGAACCGGAATATTGCGATGGCATAATTTA